CCAATCCCAGACACCCCAAGGAGGTTCTCTGGCACACGTTGGATGTCAGGCATGCTCTGAAGATTTACATTATCAGAACTGAACCGATCAGGAAGACAGATTTTATGTTCGTTAACATCTCTTCGTTGAGAGTGGGAGACAGGATATCCAAGGCATCCATCAGCACTGTTCTCAGATCCTGCATCTCGTGGCGGGACTGGACGTTCCGCAAGGGATTACAGCACACTCACTGAGAAACGCCTCGACCAATGCAGCCTTTGCCAACCAGGCAACAGTTGATGAAGTATATAGGGCAGCGACCTGGGTGTCCATCTCCACGTTCGTTAAGCATTACAAATTGAACACGTTTGCCTCAGCCAACACAGCGTTTGGAAGACGAGTCCTCCAGTACATCCTGAATTCGGCTGACAATGATGACCCACCCAAATGAGGGACACTGCACTGGGAGGTCCCATGGAGATGTCCTCCACCTCAGAGGGAGAACAGCCATTGGCACTTACCGTGAAGGGTCCTTCTCCTCTGAGTTCAGGAGGTCATCTCAGCCCTCCCGTCCTTCATCATCGTCTCTTTTACTTCTTGGTGCTGATCTCTTCTTACCTATTTTATCTCCTTCTACGACCTTACTGTCATGCCACTTACCTTTCAGGGGAGGTACTGGTGGCAGTTGTATTATAGTTCTACTTATTATTGTTAGCAGAGTTGTCTGTTTTTTCACAGAAGTAGTTCAGTTAGCATTTTACTGCTTGGGGAGTTCCAGAACTGAGGGGCTGGGCTATTCCCAAGGCACCAAGAGGAAGGGGGGAAAGTGTTTCTTCCCTCCCTAAAGGAATGATGGGAATAACCCGTAGAAATATCCTCCTGACCTCAGAGGAGAAGGACCCTTCACTGTAAGTGCCAATGGTCATTCTACCTCAGACACTTCTGGTATTTGTATATAAACATCTATAATTCCCCAGACATGTTAGACCTGCAGCCATCCTCCTGTGGCCTCTAGACCTTGTCAGGCAGTCAGTATTGTTCGTCATCCTCTCAGTGGCCAGTCCTAACCCATTTCCCTCTAGAATAGTAAAAGCTACTCCTTCACCTCTTAGAGATGAGTAATCCTGAGCTTCCAGTTTATGGCGACATGGAGACAGACACATCTCCCAGACGTCCTGGGGATGTAAACTGCCCACCAGCGTGTGGGAGGGGATCCACTGGGTCGCGACCCCCCCGGAGCCTTGGTAAAAGGCTCCCAGCCAGGGGGCTTTTTAGGGACGACCTCTTCGATGGCTGAAAGCCGGAGAATTGAGGCGCCCCTCCGCCCTGAAGGTCCTGATGCTGAGTGACCGCATGGTACAAGTGCTGCTGACCGGGACAAGCGTTGGAGATCGGGCGAAATAAATGGTGACAAGCAAGGCCGAATGGCCAACAACGAACTGTGAGTCAGGTGAAGCGAGCATAAAAATATAAAAAGAAGCTGCCCCCTCTAAAAAGAGCAACGGGAAAGCGAGCGGGGGAGGGGCCCCTCCCAAACGCACAGACGAACGCGGAAGGAAAGAGGGGGGAGTGGAAAAATAAGCATTTAAAACTGTTTTGAGAGACTTACAAGAGCGCAGAAAAGCATTCGGGCAAACATCAGAGACTTTAGCAACTTCTTTGAAAAGTAAACAAATCCAAAAAGATGGTGGTGGTGGGGGTGGGGAATCAGAGAAAGAAAAGCTGTTGAAAGCGAAACTTGGGGGCAGTCCTCGAACAGAGGAGGTCACTGAGCTCGCAAAACTTTTAGCTGACCCCGTGCGCCCTCTGCTGGATGAGATCACTGGCATTAAACAACTGTCAACAATTGGACAGAATCTAGCAGATCAGCAGATGCAGTTGACTAAATCCTTGAAAGCACCAGAGCAAATTGGAGAGAAGGTGAAGGAAATGGACGTCACGACTAAAAAGGTTAAGAAAAAGGTGCAAAAGCTGGAAATGAAGCAAGCTACGGATGAGTCAATGCTTTAACAACTACAAATGGATAAAGCAAACTTGGTCCTGCGGTTCCAAGGGGTCCCGGAGAATAAAGGAGAGAATCTGAAGCAACAGCTGAGTGAAGCATTAACCCTGTGGCGCCCCTGCGTCTCCTGATCAGGTCGCCCTCCCGTCGCCGTGGTTCCAGGCGATACTCACAACCAGGGATTAAGCCGAGGCACCCGTTGTGCCAGCACATGGAAGCAGGGAAAAGCACATAGCAATGGAAGGGGGCTTGCCTCAGATGCGGGGCCGTCAGGAGGTTACTTCACTTCCTTAGCCCGCCCTGGGTCTGGTCCGCTTTGGTTGGAATGCGTGCGTTCTCTCTGCCTGCTAACAATCACACCAACCGGCCAACCAGCCCAGCAAGTCCTCATCGGCTCGCCTCTCCCTCACTTTTATTCCCTCTTCCTGAGCTGACCCACCCCTTGCCTTGGCCCCTCCCCCAGCTAAAGAGGAAGACGCCGAGGAGGTCACCTCCGCCTCTCCGCCCCCGGGCGCTCCCGAGACCCTTTCCCGCAGCGTGGGTGCAAAATGTTGAAATAACTTGGGGATGCTCAGTTAAAGGGATGGTTAAATGATAATGAATTTAACACAACCAACTAAATTCATTGTATTTTTAGTAGCTTTCTTCTTCTTTTTAAATAGTATGGAGTTAAGCTGATGTATGATCTCCTACTCTTGGGTTTTTAGTTAGTTGTAGGTCTGTTTTCTTTCTCCCTCTAGATGTAGGTACCCTACCCCATATTTTCTATTGTAGTTTTGTAGTCTTTAAAACCCCCCAATAAAAACTTCCCCCCAGGGGGATGCAAAAAGAGAGAGAGAGAGAGAGATGAGTGATCCTGAACCAGAAACATTTCATCTCCTGTTGGCTTTCCCCCAAGATTTAGCTTAAAAACTGCTCTGCCACCTTTTTGATTTTAAGTGCCAGCAACCTGGTTCCTTCTCGGCACAAGTGAAAGCTGTCTCTTTTGTACAGGTACTGCTTGTTCCAAAAAGTATTCCAGTGCCTAACAAAACCTTTCTGCCTTACACCATCATCTCATCCCTGCATTAAGACTCCTAATTTGTGCCTTTCTAGCTTGCCCTGCATGTGGAACAGGCAGCACTTCTGAGAAGTGCTACCTTAGAAGTCCTGGCCTTGCGTCTCCTGACTAGCAGTTTAAATTTTTCCTCCAGAGCCTCACAACTACATTTCCCCACATTGTTTGTGCCAACATGTACCACGACCACTGGCTTCTCCCCAGCACTGTTTACCAGCCTATCTAGACCACATATAATGTCTGCTACCTTCGCACCAGACAGGCAAATCACCATGCGGTCAGTATAAGGGTTTGCAACCCATCTATCTATATGCCTAAGGATCGAACTGCCAACTACCAAGAGCCCCCACCACCACCACCAAGGGATGGTTCCTTGGTGCGAAAGAATACCTGTTCACCAACTATAGAAGGGGTTCCTTCTCAGGGAACATTCCCCCTTTCTGCAGCATGGTGCCTTGTTTCCCCTTAACCCTCATGCTTCCTGACAGTGGCAGGACTGCCATTCTTGGGTTGGGACACATCTAACAAGTCCCCGAGTGTCTAATCCATGTGCCTAACTGACTGTTTCTGTTTCTCTAGGTCAGCCAGCTTGGCCTTTAAGGTGCAAACTTGTTTCTAGAGAACCAGGAGCAACTTGCAACAAGCACACACCCATGACTTCTGTCGAGCTGGCAGACAGTAATACATGCTGCACTCAGTGCAATACACTGGATAGCCCCCAGCCCCCTGCTGGCATTCTACCTTTATCATTGCTTTTTTGTTAATATCCCCTTTTTAATACATTTCCTATTTATATAGATTTGTTAGTGGAAAGTGTGCTTTCCCTTTTTACGGACATGGAGAGACCAGTGCTCTGGCTTCTGCACCCTGCTGCTGAACTCGCAAGTCTGCTTAACACACCTGTTTATTCCCTTGTTCCTGGAGCTGGGACACTTGGCCACTGGAGCAGGGCCTGCAACCTCGCAGAGTTGGGGCCTGCTCATAGGAACCCTAATAAATAGCTTGGGTCAAACACAGACTCCCCCTGGGAGCCAATCACACTGACTGGGAGCTAACCAATAACGGAGGATGAGTGAGTCAGCCTCTGGTTGCTTAACAATAGGTACTGCTGAAAGGGAGCTGCTAAGACAAATGTTCCTCTCCTTCCCAGGCTGCCTTTTACTTCAAATGCTAATTTAATTTCAAATGGTGATTTAGCCCTACTGGGCTTGGATTAAAGGGGACTCTACCTGAACAGCCTCAGCAGTTACAGGAGGTATGCAACTGCTTGTTTTCTTATAGGGGAAAAAACCCTTCTTAAAAGAATGTGAGAATTAGCTTAAAATTTTAGGTTTAGTTTAAAATTGGACCCCCTGTTTTTTAAGCCCTAGCTGTATTTAAACCCTAGCTGCAGTTTGTTTTGTTTCCCTTTTTCTGTTACAAAAACCTGTCTAAGGCATAGCCTTATCTGTGAACCCACTGTCCCTAGTTTCTAGTATTAGTACTTTAATCAGTCTCTGGTATTAGTACTTTAATCTATAAATGTAATAAAGTTTCAAAGTGATACCAGAGCTTAAACTAGTCCTGTGCCCTCCAATTTTAAACCTTGTCCTTTGCTTGACCCTCTGTCTAACCCTTCCTGTACCATAGTAAAACTAGCCAAGAACCTCTGAGCCTGTTTAGAACCTCTGAGCCTGAGTAGTTTGAGCAGCTACAACACTGAGAAATTACAAAATGTTGGTACCTAAAACTCCACGCCCCCCCCCAAAAAAGGTATTTTAAACTACTGGCCTTTTCACTTAGCCTATCTTGATAGAATTTTATACTAAAACACACACACACACACACACCTACCTTCTCCTTGCACATTTGCTAAACTCGCCTGTTTGTTCCCTTGTTCCAGAAACTTCATCACTGCTATCTTGCAGAGCAGTATATATTCATGTCAGAGACTGACTGTACTTGAAGCAAAATGTGAATTACCTGAGTGTAGGTTCCAGATGCCATGTATTGCACATAAATTCTCTCCAATCTACTGTAGTATAAGTAATGTTGTCTTCTCTCTCAGTAGTGCTGTCATCAACTATGCAGACTGGACTTTTCTGTCCTGGCCGACTAGATAAAATGCGAGGTGGAAAGATGGCTAGAAGAGGATAAAAATAAAGTTTCGATTGTTAATATAATAAAAAGGACAGTGCTACAAGATTTACAGACAAATAAATCTATAAATCTATTTTAGTGCAAGACTGGTTCTTTGCCCTTTGGATGAGTGCTTTATTTTGTATGAATAAGACAATTACGAAGGCCTTCTATGCTGTGCAGTCAGCATTAGATCTAGGCTTGCTGACATGTCTGTCAGTGGTTCCTCTTATTCTGACAAAGCGATGCTGGTTGGCTGGAGGTAAGCTGGAAAGCTAACCAGGATAGACTGAAGTGGGGACTTCTTTCTGATCTACTCAGGCCTGATTTAAAGAGGCCAACCTTGAGCCTCCTCCTGCAATTTTATTGGATGTTTATCTGGTTTTACCCAACTTTGGTGCTGGTCATTTTTTTAAAAACTTTATTTTTTTGTATACTTTTTTGGAGGTTTTTCAAAATGGCTTATACATTCCTAAATACAACTCGCAGAAACAATTATGAGAAAGGGTAGTTACAACAAACTTCATTGCCTTTTAGTAATTTTCCTAAGAAAGTCCCTACCTGTTCAATTACATTCTAAGTGTACTTTTTCCATGGTCAGAAAACAGATTTTCCCCCAATGTTTACAATTTGTGTATATTTATTTCCATGAGCATCTGTACCTAAAGCAATTTGGGGCTAATCAGCAGAAGACAAAATGCTGTAATGCACTGCCTTCAGAATATCACCAACCTTAGAAATAAAGCCTTGAAAGGGGAATCAGTCAGTTTTTACACCTGTGACAAATGGGACTGTGGAGTTCCTTCTGGAGATCCGAGGGGATCTCAGAAACAAATAGGCAGCCACTCATGTTGTTTCAAATAGGGTTTTTGTGCATGGCAGTCCAACCACTTGAGAAGTGGGTTACTGCACTCTTTATTAACTGCAGGTTTGGAACTATTTTCAAGTATAGGGATTTTTTTGTCCAGATTTGACATCTAGTTGTCCTGATTTTTGGGCTTGTGCAGTAGCTTTAACAGGGCAATCAAAAGTCGTTGGTTTTTTACACTGGCTACATTTGGATGTCATGACAAAAAATGGGCTCTAAAATGGATTAAACCAGGACTCTAACCTGAAATTAAACCTTGGTTTAAAATCCCAGTTTGTGGAGAGGAATCATTCTAATTTGCCCAGAAACCCAGCGGGCCAAGTAATGTGAGCTGCCCTGAGCCTGCTTGCAAGGCGGGCGGGCTAGAAATACTATAAATAAATAAATAAATAAATAAAGATGTCACAACAAACTGGAATTTGAATGAAGGCTTCCCAAATCAAAAAGCTTTCAATCACATTCTGTTTATGAGGGGAAGAGAGAAGCGGTTGATTTACACGAACGTAAGCATCCTTCCACTGCAAATTCACCCCTCATGTTTTTCTTGGGGATCCTCTATCCCTCAGGAACATCGTTTCAGGGAGCTCTTTGGGCCACAGCAAGATGGGGGAGGTGAGAAAATCCCATCTGCTCAATGGAAAACCTTTACACTGAATCCAACCCAATATTTGTGCTTGTCATGAATAGGGGCTTATTGTGAAATCTAAATATAGCCCTGGTGAAATCCAAAGCAAATTTCGTTTTTCTATTATGGCTCTGGAACACACTGTGCAAAATGATTGCTTTTTGCAGCAGAGAAAAAATGCTGCAATTTCCCCAGGAACTTTTCTGCTCTCCAGTTATTCAAACTGACATACACAGAAAACCATACATTAAAACAAATGTTATCATTATGAAATATTATATAAATAATACATCAGTAGTAGAAAATGTTAATTGATTTGTAATGTGAATAAAGACTGTGATCTGTATACCTTTTTCCTTTTCTTTAAGGTAAGCAGATACTAAATCATGCAGAAACATGATCAATTCAGCATCCATAGTTACACATATGTGATCAGTGAATTCTGTTACTACGCTGCATTCCACCTTTGGCTTAGCATCAGCATCTGAAATGAGATTCAATAAATCAGTTTGGTAAACTGATTACATGTAAGCATGGTCATGTAAACAGACACACTTGATGGCAAATATTTAAAATGCAGACAATTATTTCTATCAGTGTGATCTTGAGGTGAAATTCCTGACCATATCAGTGATTCAAGGAACGTAGCCTGAAGACAACTCTGCCAAAGTGAGGCAGGCACACTAGGTTCAACACACAGCTATATGTCATAATCACTATACTGTGGTGTACCATGGCTGCTTCTATCCCATGGTGATTTTCTGTGATAGTCTGCTTGCTGATACAATTATGTGTGAAATACCCTTGCAGTGGAGATTCCAGAAAGCCCAGAGTAATCCATTTTCTCTCCATTTTTAGTAGTTTCCCTTTCATGCCTGATGTGCATTGAAGGCCCCCCCCCGCCCCCATTGTCTGATCCTTAGGACTCTCTGCCAACCCTTCTGTAGATCTGTCCACCATGAAAAGGAATGCAACACAGGACTAGGGACAGAAAAATTCTTCTATGGAGAGTCAGTGAGGGCATTAAAACTACAAAGGAACCTATTTTGAAGAGTCCTCATACAGAGCCGGGTAAAGGCCCTACTGACATTGTGGGAGCCATGAGACCCAGCAATTACTGTATGGATTTAGTGGACTGGAATCTGTTGCAACAAAAACTGAATGCCAAGTTGCAGATAACCAAAGCTCTGTCACCTGGCAACAAAGCCTTGCCAATTGTGGAGTCCAACCAACCCCCTATGAACAATATAGTCTGCAAGCTTCTCTGGACTTCTCTTCATTCCCTATAGTCCTAGTGACTGTAAAGTAGAGAGAGCCAAGGCTACATAGGGGCTATGAAAAGACATTCATTGAAATACAGGTATATGGTACAACCCTTGAGGTGAAGGTGCACAACTTCCACTGACATGCCCTTGGTAAACACCCTAGGGCCATTGCCAGGGCTATTTTTGGGCAGGAACGCACAGGAACAGAGTTCCGGCTGGCTTCAGAGTTGGCCACGCCCACTACAGCCAAAACTTCTGCGTGCGTGGCTACAAAGGGAAGGCCTGGAGAGCGACCCCCCCAATTTCTCTGAAGTGGGTGGGCCAGGGGGGCCCTGGAAGGATCAGGGAGGCATTTAAATACCTTCCCGTGCCTTCCCTGGCTTGTCCAAGGGCCGGCTTGCTTGGGCTCCCTGCAGCCGTGAGGCGCCCAAACAAACCAAGGGAAGGCAGTTTAAACTGCCTTCCCTTCCCTCCAAGGGCGGGCTCCCCGCAGCCACAGGGCGCCTGGGCAAGCCAAGGGAAGGCATGGGTGTGGCCTAATATGCTAATGAGCTGCACTGGCAGGGGTGTGGCCTATTATGCTAATAAGTTTCTGCTGGGCTTTTTCTACAAAAAAAAGCCCTGGCTGTCGTCAAGTCAAAGGGTGGGAATGCAAGATCCTTTTACTAGTCTGACTGATGGAAATATACACCCTTCAGGTCAATAACAGCAAACCATGTATCTGATTCTGACAACAACAGCACCTGTGAAAGTATGGTCATATGAAATTTGGGGACATGGAGAAATTTGTTCAGGTCTCTGAGTTCCAGAATACTGTCCACTGCTGTCCAACTTATCTACTAAAAAGTATCTAGAACAGAAACCAGACCAAGTCTCTGACTCAGGCATAAGTTCAATAGCACCTTCATTAAGGAGGTGCGAGGCCCCAAGCTTCAAAGTCAGAGCTGCAACAATGGGACATGGTGACGGCAAGCAGTCAGAAGGTAGGGACTTAAAAGGACATATAAAAACCGTTACAAATGATAGACATTACCCAAGCATTTTGGGTGATGTCTTCCCATAAATGAGCAAGTCCAAACAAACAAAATGTAAACTGGGCTGCAGACATGACTGAGGCTCCCCGCTAGTCACTGATAGGATTTTCCCCATTGAACAGATTCTCTAGGGGATTAGAGGGATGGATGGTTGCGTTGCTTTCCCTGGTGCTCTTTGGGGTGCTATTGTGGCCCATACTGAAGTCTAAATGAGGTATCCTGATGTTGCTGAGGATGATACCTGTACAGTTTGTGGTACTGCAACTGTGGGAGGTGCCTTGGAAAATATCTTGATTTAAAGGACCAGGGCGGGCTAGTGATATCAACTTGTTAACTTGTTTTTACGCAATCTGTCTAGTCAGTGCACTGAAGTGTTCTCTTCCCTCAAAGGAAGATAATCAACCCTTGCCCTAGTATCATTGGGCAGAGCAGTGGAATGCCACCATGAAAGTGACACAGTACAATGGGTGATGCTATAGACCTATTAGCCAAATCCATTACATGGCAAGTGGCACTGATCTGATGTTTTCCCAGCTTAACACCTTCGGCCTCTATGAACTTTGCCAAGGTCTTCCCATCTTCCAGCAAAGCATCAATATACTGGAAAATATGTTCCCTGAGGAACATCTGATACCTTCCTTTTACGGCATTGAAGTCGGCCATGAGGAGAATCAGCGCACACGAGGAATAAATATTTCTCCCCAAACCATCCAGCTTCCACCCTTCTTTGTAAAAGGACAAAGTATGTGCCCAAGACCTCTGCTTAGAAGGCATTACTTCAGTAACTACAGAATTAGTCATGGGGTGGGAAAACAAGAACTCGCATCCCTCCTCCCTCATGTTGTACATGTTTTCCAACTTTCTAGCTGAGGGAGAAACTAAAGCTGGCTTAGCCCAGGCACCCTTAACTATGTCAAGTCTTCCCTGCAGCACAGAGAATGCTATAGGCTGCAAAATGGCAGAGTAGAGGACCTTGAGGTTGTGGATATGAGCAAATGATGTCTAGTTCTAAAGTGCCATTTGAGTAAGTTTATCAGTGTAGAGGCAAAGATCCTCCATCAGTGAAATCGCTGCCGAGTCTTCCATTGCTTCATCTGGGAAAGGATCCAACAGGGCATACAATCCTACTTCTGATGGCATCATGGCTTCTTGGGAATCAGAAGCTGGATGTTCCTAGTCTGAGGGCTGGAGGGGAAATAGCTTTGAAGATTGTGGAACGAAGAATGTCGAAGCTGAAAGAACTCACCTGGAACTGACAATGGGTGCTGCTGCCAAAGATAGTGCCTGGTGATATGGGGCATGGTGTTCCAGGGTAGGTTTGGAGGCCAATACATAGGTGTTGGAGCTGAAGGGTATAGAAACCTCAGCCCCTGAGGTGGCCCTCAACTAGGAACATATGGATCCAATGAAATTGCCTTTTTTCTCCAGGTGGGAGGTTGAATCACTTCAGGAGAAGACAACTGGACTTCGCTGGACTCATCATCAGATGACTGTAAACTAGCCATCAATGTCAGAGGAAGTGATTGAGTCTGAGGTCAAACCAGTCGAGGGGTAGGGACCTTGGAGGGTGAGGAGCACTTAGGAGGTAAGTATTTAACTTTATGTTTGAATTTGCCTTTAGCTTTTTTAGCGAGCACTACTGATAGGCATACAGAGGGCACTGACCCCCAAGAAAGGAGCCCCCGATTCTCTGGCCCTCCAAACAGGGTGGTCTTTATCCAAGCCTCCCAATGCTTTCTCCTAAAGAAAGGCATTAAGACAAGACACTCTGTGGGCCTTGGGGGTGCACTGATGACAGATAGGCCCCAATGTTGTGGAACTCACCCAGGCAAGTTAGACACCAGTTGTGGGCATCAGACTAGGCCATCTTCATCCCACATTCACCACATTTCTTAAACAAGGTCATCCCAATGAAAAAAAATGCTAGAGTTATCTCTCCAAATACTTTCTAAGAAAAATGAAGAGCTAGAGCTGAGAGGGTCCTTTTTCCACAGTGCTGAGGACTGAGGGAGAAGTGCTGTCCCTGCCTCCATCACATGCCAGTTTGCACAGGAAAACGACAGCGCACACCAGAAGAGAAGGGGAGCACTCCTGCAGCCTTAGAGAAAGCTAGAAATCTTAAGAATTTTCTTTTCCATTACTGGCCTGTGCATGTGCAGTCCACGTGGCACTGCATAGAAGCCATGAAGATAAACTTCTTCCTTCTCTTTTCTGAAATGCTGTAAGTTAATAGCTAATTCGAATTTTAATAATGGTGACATTTTATCTGTTTTTACCAGTTATGGTACAGTACCATAATTACACCAGAACCTAGTGTTAATTTAAACTTTATCACTTGTCCTTAAGTTTTCTTATTTGCTTATGTATTCTCTCCATCTAGTTTTCAAGGTATGTTTGATAAATATTTCTGTATTGCAAGTGAAGAACTATTAAGTTGTTTGCTGTTTAAATGCAAATTATGTTTTGATAGTTGTTACGCACGTTATCATTTCTTTAAGAGTGAAGGTCTATGTCTCACTTCCTTCTCTTCTGTCCTTGGTATGCAACAACTGGAAATAATTTGCTGAGCTCCATGAAAATGCTGTTGTTTCAAAAGCAGGCAGGACTGTAACTAGGAAGACTCCTCCCACTGGAGAGAATGAAAGATGAAGGCACAATTCTGCCTCCAAAGCAAGATGGAAGCATAACTGCACCTGGAATACCTCTGCCACTTGTGCATCTGATTGTACAAACATATAGATTTGCGATCAACTGTGTGCATCTGAGGGTGTTCAGCCTTTAGTTGGGGCTGTTTGGACCTCCTCAGCCCTGTAGTTTGGGGCGAGTGGCTGAAGGGGGTAGAGTTCAGTGTTGATGTTGATTTAAAGGCCTGCCAAACCTCCCTGCTTATTGCTACCACATCCAGCATGTTACTGTTGTAATTAATATTAGTCCTAGTAATCATTACAATTTTGCTTTTAAAAATGTAATCATTACAATATTGTTTTTAAAAATGTAAATTTTATCTTTGTATAGACAACAAACAAGAATTCACCTACAACAGTAATTAAATTTTAGTGTCTCAACATTTTTATGTCAGACTGGGAACTAATATATATGACATGCAGTGGGCTCACAGTGTAAAAGAATCAACCACACACAATTTACCTTGCAATGAAGGTTCCTGTGGCTGTTGAACATGAATGGATTTGAAGTCCAGCTGCATCCTTGGTAAAGCAAAGATAGTTTCAGTCTCATGATTGTAGCTGGAACCACCTCTGAATCCACTTAATAAGCTGGAGCTTTTCACTGTTGTGCTATGCTCTGTGTTATTTGCATCAACATTTCGAAGGAGATTTAACTCTGCAGAAGCAAAGTAAACACTATTCATAGTTACCTTGCATTAAGCCTCATCATTAATTTGGGCAATTTCAGATCAATTGTGGTAGGTTGATAGCTTCAACCATTTTTCATTCTTGGTATTTACACTAACAGTGCCTAAAGATACGAATTCTAATATCCTTACAGGATTCCCCATTCTCATTTTATTACTCTTGGATTTGAACCTTCCCCCCCAATTACCTTCATACAAAAATGCAAAATCTCCCAAGGTCAAGTGACGTATGGACTAGATGGGTTAGACTAGATGACCTAGATGACTCTGGAGGTTGCTTTCAGCTCTATGATTCTATGAGTATAGTCCTTGATATATAAAAATTGAATTTAGAACAGATAGTGTGAAGCATGCATTGTCTGTGGAATGTTAAACATTATAATGCTTCACTTCTTTACAGAGGACTTTTAGTGGCATAAATTGACCTTTTTACAGATACTATAGGTTTATAGAACAGTCCCTCCATTAATACAAAGCAGATCAAGCAAGAGACCATATGCCATTTACAGCAGTGACTAACAATGCAATCCTTTACAGATTTACTGAAATCAATGAGCCTAGACTCATGTAACTGCATAGGATTCTATTGAACTGGCATAATAAAGGAGATGCAAGAAGTGCTTTGCACCTCTCCCATCCCACTTAAATGGGGCAGATCTGTCCTACCTACTCCATCTGTTATGGAATCTTCTCACCTATATCTTTTTCTTTAAAGTTAATGCTGCACAGCCTCTGCAGCTCAGAGGCCAGAGGACTAGAAGGCCAAAGGATGCTACACGTAGGCTCTTTGCTCAGCCTTCTCCCCCCCCTTTTGTGCTCAAGCAATAGTTATTGTGTATCTAGTGCAGAGGGTTCCAATTGCTGTGGTAGCACCACTGGCAGATGATGATCTGGAGTGCAGCTCTAGCACTGCGCAGACAAAGGAATGATTTTGCTAGTACTGTGGTTGATATCATAAGGTTTCGGCTCCACTATACACTCTGAATACCACTCAAGTAAAAAATGAATATACATCAACACATCTGCATGAAAAGAGTGCACTGAACAGAATGAAAACAACCTTTACATTCTCAGATAAAAAGCAGGCTTCTTTCCAGATATTGCTTACATAAAAAGCCAACCTAGATGTGTGAGATGGTTAGGACCCTTAGCATTTAAAAATGAACTAATCAGCTGCATCAGCTGACTGCTTTGAAGATCTGGAATAAATGCTAGGGGGGTTAACCCTTTCCTTTCAGCCACAATTTAAGTGATGCCTTCTAAGAAGTTACAATTACTTCTTCATATGGAGAAAGACGCAAGGGACCTGAGTTAACTTAGAGGTATTTTTGTTGTTGTTTTAAAAAGATCCTAATCACGTTTCCCCCCCATGTGTTATCTAGGGTGGCTTTGGTAGCAAATATGTAAAAGTATTATAAAGGAGAAAAACAAAACATGCCACACTTCATTATAAGCAAAGGTTAAAAATTCCTAAAATCTAGACTAAGTCAAAATATTTACTATATATATCAGAATCAAATACTTTGTAGACAGAGTACTGTGTGTGTTAAGTGCCATGAAGTCACTTCCAACTTACAGCAACCCTATTAATTAATGACGTCCAAAATGTCCTGTCATTAACAGCCTTGCTCAAGTCTTACAAACTGAGGGCCATGGCTTCCTTCATTGAGTCAATCCATCTCATGTTGGGTCTTCCTCTTTTACTGCTGCCTTCAATTTTTCCTAGCATTATTGTCTTTTCCAGTGACTCTTGTCTCCTCATAATGTGACCAAAGTACGATACCCTCAGTTTGGTTGCTTCAGTTTCCAGGGACTGTTCAGGCTTTAAATTCACTTAAGGACAGAGTACCTGTACTCTGGACAAGAAGCTACTATTAGGACAGAACAAGTGGGGACCCATTTTGTTGGATATGCTTAGCAGAGTGATGATGCACAGCAGAAAAATGATGCAGACATAGACATGTGTGCTTAGCTTGTAAGAAAAAGATGAGATGAGAAGAGATTGGATTTATACCCCGCCCTTCACTACCTGAAGGAGTCTCAGAGCGGCTTACGATCCCTTTCCCTTCCCCTCAACTGCCCTTGAGAAAGAACTTATGACTTTAAAGTTTACTAAAAGATTAGAAAGGGTTACATGGATGAAAATAACAACATCCTATGTGAAGAAATGCATTTTCACCTGAAGGGAGGTTGGCAAGCAGCAAGTCTCCACTTGGCATTTTAATAGGGTTTTTTTCCTACAGACTGGGAAGGCGGAAATACTAATGAGAGTAGCTAAAGGCAATGGGCTGCTTAGACTTCCCCCTTCTCCCCCCTCCCCTGTTCAGGCAGAGAGCTGAGGTTTGAAGGTGTAAAATGCGAGATAAAAGGAAAAGATGCCTTGACCTGGGCTGACCGGAGTCAAGTGGGTGGAGACAGAGAGTTAATAAAACTTAATTGAAAGAGGAACTTGGGCTCTCTTTCATCGGAAAGCTGCGCTGAGGACAGCTCTGAGCTCTGGTCTGCAAGCAGGCAGCCATCTTCGACCATGCAGCTGGCCTGGAGAACTGGAGTAAGCCTGAAGGTAAGGGCAACACTGTAGGTGTTAGCCAGCAAGGAGCTTTTTGCCCGCTGTAGGAATTAGAAAAGCTACATTAAAGAGCCTGTCCTATTCTTCCATCTGTTAGAGCATGTATAGCAGAGGGGCAGAGGATTTGCATTTTTCTTCCAATTTCTTTTGTTCGCCATTGCTCAAATCGGATGCTGTGCTAAAAGTACGCTTGTAAACATTTTATTTTTAGTAGATACTTTAAACTTCTGGTGCTAGTAGTGGTTCTCTGTACCACACAGACCTCCAACTGTTTTGGACATGCTATTCTAAAGGGAGCTCCAGGGAGGGGGGTTGGCAAGTGGCTATCCCCCCAGGAGCACACAAAGCAGTAAACTGTCCCTGTGGTAGCCAGATGCTGTGCTAGTGGGAGACACAAAGGTGATGCCTCTGAGCTCAAAAGGGGAGCTGAGGGTCCCCTCAGCAGTGGAAATCTCTCTACTGATCAGCAGTGGAAATTTCTCTACTGATCAGGCAGTGGCAGTGACTATTCAAGAGTAAAGGAAAAGACCTTCCAGGGATCTGGGAACCCCCAAGGATTAGGAAGGGTTACATGGATGAAAATAACAACATCCTAACTAAGTAGTTCTAAGCTCCATTTTGTCTTTTTCACTTCACTTTGCTTCTGAGTAAGAGAACAAAGGAGATAAAGTTTACACCCAAAGCCCCAACCTCTTGTGTACATGACAAACAGCATGTAGCATCCTCCATTTATTGATCAGCCAATAGACATTCACAAACTCATTAGGAATAGAACCTTCCATTCTCTGGCGGGGAAAACGTGCCTAATACCCAATTAGTTCTATCCTAACTAGATAACATTAACATACATTTGTTTAAGTCTTTCATGACGGAAGGAGTGACACTTGCAAATTCCAACACATTTCCCCCACCTTTCCCCTCTCCTCCTACCTCTCTTACATTCTTTCTCATTTCTGCCACCCCTTTTCTTACTTTCTCTCTCTCCTCCATGTGTGTCACTTCCTCTTTCTTTCTGCACCCATCACTCTCTTTGTTTTTCTGCCTCCCCACCCAATCATTCTCTCTCTTTCTTTCTGCCCCCCCATCATTATCTCTTTTTGCCCCATCACTCCTCCCCCCAACAGCAGCACTGGTGACAGTGTTCCCAGCCGCCCACCTGCTTCCGCTCCCCCACAGCAGCAGTGGCAATGGCAGCTCTCCAGGAATCACAACAAATCTCCCAATTAGAGATCAATTCCCCTTAGGGTTGCCAGTTCATGATTGGGAAATGCCTGGAGATTTGAGGGTGGAGCCCTGGGATGGTGAGGCTTGGGAAGGAAAGCAACCCCAGCAGGGTATAATGCCATAGATTCTACCCTCCAAAGCAGCCATTTTCTCCAGGGGAACTGGAATACTATGGTTGCCTAGCAACAGCCAGTGAGGGAATCTGTTTTTTAAATATACAGGTATATTTTGATTTTTGGCTTTTTAAAGCTACCCAGTGTATTTTTTTTAGCTTTCACATTTTTCTGCAAACCTAGGACTCTTTTCAAGTTTATAGAAAAATCTGCCTTGCCTGTCCACAGCTCCAGTCACTAGGTTTCAGTAGCCAAAGATATCCTGACTTTGCTATCAGGATATAACACAGAGAAAAAGAATGGTTTCCAATTGGCAAAGGTATCAGACAAGGATGTATTTTATCTCCCTGTCTGTTCATTCTAAATGCAGAAGATATCATAAGAAAAACTTGATTAGATTTAGATGGAATAAAAACTGGTGGAAGGAACATTAACAATTTGAGATATGCAGATAATACCAGATTACTGGACTGACAAGCACAGCCCTCTCAGGAGCCGATCCTGCAGGGAGAGTTCTCCCTCAGGCTCTGCTGGGTGGGCCGGTTTTGCCGGTAATTCCTGAATATATCTGGGATTTTTTTTCCAGTTCTCCTCAAAAATACTGGATACATCTGGGAAGTCGAAATATACCTGAAAAATACCAATAAGATGTTTTTCAGGTATATTTCCAAATGCACACCCCTATTACTGATGGAGATTAAAGTAGAAAGTGCCAAAGCAGGATTACTGCTGAACTTCGAGAAGACAAAAGTCATGACTATTAGGGAATTACACTACTGCAAGTTTGATGAAGAAGAAATTGAAACAGTTCAAGATTTTCTATTCCTTTGCTCCATCATCAAAAAAAGGGAGACTGCAACCAAAAAATTAGGAGATTGAGACTGGATAGGGCAACTATGCAGGATCTAGAGAAGATTAAGTGTAAGGAAGATTAAGTGTAAGGTAACCACGATCAAGATAATTCATGCCATGGTATTTCCCATTACTATGTATGGGTGTGAAAGTTGGATAATGATGAAAGCCGACAGGAAGAAAGTTGATTCATTTGAAATGTGGCACTGGAGGAGAGGTTTAAGGATACCATGAACCACCAAAAAGACAGATAATGGGGTGCTAGATCAAATCAAGCTTGAACTCTCCCTGGAAGCTTAAATGACTAAACTGAGGCTCTTATACTTTTGGTCACATTATGGGAAGACAAGAGTCACTGGAAAAGACAATAATGCTAGGAAAAGTTGAAGGCAGCAGGGAAAGAAGAAGACCCAAAATGAGATGGATGAACTCTGTGAAGGAAGCCATGAGTTTGCAAGACCTGAGCAAGGCTGTTAAATATAGGACATTTTGGAGGTCATTAATTCATAGGGTCACGATAAGTTGGAAGTGACTTGATAGCACGTAACACACACGCACTACTAAGATGCAAAAAAAGTGTTGCCACAAATATTTAACCGTTAGACTGGGTGCACAAGGCAAATAGGTGGAACAGAATGGACTTCGATTGGAGTGAAAAGGGCTGTACCTGACCAGACCCCATGTCATCACCTGGCCTCCAGAAAAGTCCAAAGCATACAAGAGATGAAGGCTTTCCATTTATAAAGTCTCTGCCCCTATCCTGTTCTCAACTCTTCTTTCGTTTCCTTACTTGTAATTTGGGGGGGACTGAGATACTCTTGGGATCTGGCACCCCATATGGGACAGTGCTTCTCAAAGGTACCTTCTGTAATTACAGGTGGGAGAGGACAAGAAGAGCTGAAAGCAGGCTAGATGTAGAGGCTTTTTAAAATGGAAAGCCTTTGTCTCTAAGTCTGCTCTAGACCCAAGGAGAAGCAGCAAAATAGAAGAAGAGCCGGTACCGTTGCTCTGGGGCAGCAAGGAGAGGGATGATTGTCCTGGCTGCTCTCCAGAGCTGGTTGGCTGCCAAAATGAAGCAAGTGGCCACTCAGGGCAACAAATCTGTGGGAAGACCCCTTGAAAAAGTGGTTGCGAGTTGTGACACAGAAGGCATGTGCTTACTTCACTTTCATCCCCTGAGAAGCACATTTTGACCCTTAGGGGAGGGAATATTTCTTTGAGGGTCGCAAGAGGGTCATAAGCCTCTCTGGTGCAGTGGAGAGATTAAAGTTTCATAGTAATGTTCTACAGAGGAAAGGCAACCTCTCCCCTGAGTCTCCTGCAAGCCTCTTGGTCTCAGGCTGAAGTACGGGTGCCTCACCTCCCTAGTTTCATTGAAGGGGGCACCATGAGCTACACAACATGGCTCCATGATGTGGAGGTTTTATACCCCTGAATTAGACAGTTTCTGATTTAACCTTTACAACAATTCAGATTTTTAATACCTCTACTCATTGATCACTTAAGAGAATACTTGACATTTAAGTTAGCATTGTTCCACTGAAGTTGGTAGAATGATCTTTAATCAACAGGCCACAGTCCAAGGGAACAACTACTTCCTAGAAACACTATCCACATTCTCAGCAATAGTACTTCTGTTATCTGGTTGTTTTACCAAACACATGTTGTTAACCACTTCTAAAGGATTTAAATTGGAAAGGCTATAAATCTCTACCATTCAATAACCAGTAATCCAGTCAGAAAGCAGAAATCTGGCGGACTTGCAGGCCTCACCTTCATTCCTTGTAGCTGTAACATAATTGAACCATTCTTTCACACTTGCCACTCCATGTGGTGGGTTTTCATGACGCCGCCTTGTTATTTTGGTGATTGTTGCCATTGGACTTTCTAGAGCGCCACAGGGCTTTGTGACCATAGTATTATGTCCCAAATGGAAGTCCAGCGTTTGTACAACATATGTAGAAGGCTCACTAGAACCTGTGGGGAGGGAAGTTTAAAAACGTGGTTATTTGATCACAGAATCTATATATGGAATAGCCACTTTGTGTGGATACTTATTTCCACCAACAGAGGGCTCACTCTCCCCCAACAGCTTTTCCTGCATAGTCAGGAGCCTTCCTGGGTTTCCAGAAAAATCCAAAAAATCCAGAAAATCCATTTTTTTCAGGGAGACAGACTTCTGCTGTCTAGACTCCAGTTGTAATTTTGGGGGGTCTCCAGGTCCCACTTGGAGATTGGCAACCCTAGGCCTGGCAGCAGTCTAGGGTTGCCAGGTCCCCCCTGATTTGCACGACTCGACTAGGCCCGGCTGCTTGCTACCATTCACCAGCAGCCACCCTATGAAAGCCAGTGAGGTGCGGCAGTTAGAGCTTCAAAGTAGGGTCTGCAAGACCCAGGTTCACATCCCCGTCTTGCGGTGGAAGCTGAATGGGTGATTTTAGACCAGTCACATACTTTCAGTCTAACCAACCTCACATGATTGTTGTGCAGATAAAAGGAGGAGAGAATAATGTAAGCTGCTTTGGTTCCCACTGCTGAGAAAGACTGTAATTTTCCTAGGTAGGGGCTGTGGGGGATGGGGGTGGAGACAGAAAGCAGAAGACAGAGAGGCAGATAAGGTAGGTTGACTGCTGGGTGGGAAGGAAATAGGGTTGCCAACTCCAGGTTGGGAAATTCCTGGGCATTTGAGGGGTGGAGCCTGGGGAGGGTAGGATTTGAGGAGTGGAGGAACTTCAGACTGGAGTAATGCCATAGACTCCACCCTCCAAACCAGCCATTTCCTCCATGAGAACTACCGTTGCCAGCCTCTGTGTGAGAGCAGGAGATCACCCAGAATTAAAACTGTTGTCCAGGTGACAGAGATCAGTTCCCCTGGATAAAATGGCTGCTTTGGAGGATTGAGTCTATGGCATTATGCCCTGCTGAGGCTGCTTGCCTCCCTAGGCCTCACTGTCCCAAGGCTCCACCCCCAAATCTCCAGGAATTTCTCAACCTGGAGCTGGCAGCCTTAAGGAGAATTGATCTCTGTAGCTGGGAGATCCATTGTAATTCCCAGAGCACTGCCACTGCTGCTGTGGAGGAAGAGGAAGCAGGTGGGTGGCTAGGAGCACTGCCACCGCTGCTGCTGCTCTGTGGAGTGGGGGAGGAAGCAGGCAGGAGGCTCGGAGAGTGATGGGGTGGGGACAGAAAGAGAGAATGATGGGGTGGGGGCAGAAAGACAGAAAGAGTGATGAGGTGGGGAGGTGGGGAGGCAGAAAAACAAAGAGAATGATGACGGGTCAGAAAGAGAGGAAGTCACATGCATGGAGGAGAAAGAAAGTAAGAAAAGGGGGGCAGAGGGGAGAAATAGTGTGAGAGCGGTAGGGTGTGAGGAGAGGAAGCAAAGGAGTGACGAATGAGATGACCATCCCGCAAGTTTCTTGTGGGTTTCCACTTGTACTTCATATTCATGTTAGTTACAATTAGTTAAAAACCAGTGAAGTTGATCAAAACCCAGTATTAATAGAACAACATTAGGTCTGACATACAGTCCTCACTTTAGTTAGCATGGTTAGAGTGTCAGGCTAGGGCCAGGGAGATACTATGGGCGCTTTCACACATGCTAAGTAATGTAGTTTCAATCCATTTCAGCAACTGCTTGTAAATGGATTTTGCTATTTCACACAGTAAAATCCAGTTGCAAAATGCATTGAAAGTAGATTGACAGTGTATTTGAAAGTGTTGAATACCCTCGGCCAGTCATGATCTCTTATCCTATCTGTTCTCTACACGGCTGTTTGAAGACAAAATGGAGGAAGGGAGAACAACATATATTGCCTTCAGGTCTTTGGAGGAAGGGTTAGATGAAAATGTGAGAGTTACCCTAGCTAAGGAGATCCACTTTTATAAAACTTAAAAGATAAAGAGTTACAAAAACATTTAGATACCGTCTTGCCAAATTTTCTGTGCTTCTGTCCAAAAGGCAATGTTAGGTTCTTCAAGGTGAAATAAAGCCCATGATTTTGAGCGAAAATTAGGTCCGTGGAAACATGCCAATGTCATGTGATTTCCATGCAAGCTCATAGAACCCCCAAACTGCATTCCATCTTCTGGTAAAGGATTCTGAAATAAGGATATGTGGCACCCTGATACCACCTTTAAGACCCCTGGCCAATGGCGATGATGTGCTGCATCCAGTACTACAAAATAGACAAAATAACACAGGAAATTCAAATCCCTACTGACATGAACTTCAGAGAAGCAAACAATATGTATACAGTCTAAAACTTGTATACCAACTCAGAAATATGAGAAGGAATTTCATTAATATACATACAACTGCTGAATTTATTCAATCCTACAGGTACATTTTGGGCAGAAAGAGAGAAACAGCAATATCAAGAACTCCTTTTGTGGCTAGAGCCAGATTTGGCCATTAAAGAACTTCAACCAACCCAGCATATGAAGTTACTTTTCATATCAGCTTGGAAACAACTATACTACTCACCAAGTTGGATCCAACAATCCATAAGAACAAGGGCTATGGATCTTTCCCTTGTTACCCTCCTGCTTGCTGTCCTTTCGGAACCCAGGAAAGTTGACTCACACAGACTAATAGCCATGTGGTCAGGCAAGCTGTACTGAAGACAAACTTGCCCTTTCCTCACTCTTCTGTCAGCACACTTTCACCGACAGATGAATTAAGAGGGGCGATTTTGGCCCCTTCCTCCTCATCAGTACAGCCTGGCTATGTTTCTACATGTGTCCCACAACCCTTGGAGTGAACTTCCCTGGAATCAGACAGGACTGCTAACTGGAGGGGAACAAGGGAAAGATCAGTATCTGTCCTTGCTCTCTAAAAATGGATTGCTTGATGCAACTCATGATAGGTCAAGCTTCCCAAGTACTTACCGTGATCCGGCGGGGGAAACATGCTCCCCAGCTGGACCATTCCTCCCTGTAACACACCATGCCGTCGCCAGGAAGTGATGCTGGGCGACGCTCTGGCAATGGGGCTAGAAACTCGATGGTACCTTTGAGTTTTCAGTCCCATTGCCAGAGCGTCGCCCAGCATCACTTCCTGGCGACGGCATGGTGTGTTACAGGGAGGAATGGTCCAGCTGGGGAGCATGTTTCCCCCGCCGGATCACGGTAAGTACTTGGGAACCCTATGATAGGCTGACCATGGTACAAGAAGCAAATTTGTTTTAAGAATTGTAAAGTGCCTATACATCTCCTGTGCCGTGTAACACGGATGAACATATAGACTGTATGTTTAGGAGCACCTTGTGCTTCCCAAGCTGCTTCTTTTTTGTCAATAGAAAAGGAATCTTCATCTCAAAACAATTATGCTTAATGCTGTGAAGTTTTATAACAACATTCCAGAATTTGTTAAAAGTACATGTGATAATCTTTAATACTAACATTAATATTTACATGTCCAGTGTATCTACAATAAAATTAACCAGTTACATGGCTAAGTATGAAATGTAGCTTTTAACTGAGAGAAGAAAACTAACATACAAGTAGAATGAGCACTTTAATACATACATTGCTGATGTGAGCTTTTCTCTACAATATTAACCACAGTTTTTGGGGGGAGATATGGAACAGGTCCCCAGGTAGATAAAGCTCTCTTGCTTGTATCAAACTGCTGAGTAAAGAATTCCTGAAGCTTCATTCCTATTTTGATGAGGTCTGGAGTAGTTGATCTGGAAATCATTACTTGAAAAATATCCCATTTCAAATCTCCATGGACAAATATTTCACTAGAATGCAAAAATGAGAATATCCAGCAGGAGTTTTATTTAGACCTTAAGAATACAAAAATACCTGCCTATGGCTGTTTAATAAAGAGAAATAAAAAAATGGGGTTGCACTAAAAGATGGAGTAAAGCTTCAGTTAAAAGCTTGGATAAACACAAATATATTTTACTATATTCAAGTGCCAGACTATAACATAGGGGATCTGCAAGGACTTTCCCATTTCCTATTTTGCCTCCCTGAAAGCCCCTATAGCCCTTCCCTCTTTACTATTTCCTTCTCTCCTTCCCACTCACCAGCCAACCTACCTTTATCTGCTCCATCTTAAGTTTTCCCTCTTTCTCTCCTCCTGGCAGCTTCTCTTTGGGAAAACTGTACAATAGTGGCCACTGTGCCAGGTCTAGTTGCATAGCAGGCAACCTGCCAGCACTTGCCCTCTATTACCCCCCCCCCACTATTTCCTCTTTCCTTCCTTTTGGCAGCCCCCATATCCTCAACTTCCCTTGCTTCCTTCTCTCCTTCCCATTCACCAACCAACCTAACTTTTATCTGCCCTCAATCTTCAACTACCTTTATTATTTATTTACTTCATGTATACCCTGCATGTCTCCACAATGGGGATCCAAAGCAGCTTAAATAATTATCCCGTTTTCTATTTTATCCTCAGAACAACCCTGTGAGGGAGGTTAGGCTGAGAATGTGTGAACAGCCCAAGTTTACCTGGCAAGTTTCCATGGCAGAGTGGCAATTTGATCCTGGGTTTCCCTGAGCCTAGTTTCCCATCCCCTAATTTGAACCTGGGTTTTCCAGACCGTAGTCTGAAACTGTAACCACTACACTGTTGTGTGGTGGCTGATGTTGAACAGGAGCAGGTAGCCAGGCCAGGGTGAGTCATGGAAATAGCTTGGTAGCAAGTTGCCTGGTGGTTTCTGATGCCAATGAGACCTCATTCAAAGGCCAAAATAGTTGTAGTTTCCTAGCAACAGCCACTGAAGGTATTCATTCATAAGGCTACAGGCACTGTTTCCATTATGGGGGGGTTTTTTTGACCCCTCAAGGTTTTTGTTCCAGATTTCAGATTTTCCTGCAATTCTGGGGCTTTTCTCAGGTTTGTAGAAAGATATGCCTTGTCTGTTCACAGCACCAGTCTATGGATTTAAGTATCCACAGACTGGACTATTTTGAGAATGTATATATATGAATGAGAGATATTACTAGTGAGCCTCAAGGGGGGGAAGGGCATTCCAAAGCTCAAAGTGACATCACTAAGAAAGCTCTGTCTCTAGTCACGTCATGTCTCATTTCCGCAGGGGGTGGCAAAGACAGCAAGGCTTGGGAGGAAGATCTTAACTGGTGAGCTGAAAAGTGTGGGAGGAAGGGGCCCTTCAAGGATCCCTCCCCCAGCCTTAAGCTGTTTAGGGTCTTCAAGGTAAAGAAATAGGTTCGAGGCAGGCCATTTGAACTGAGCTGAGGAAAAAAATGGAAAGCCAGTGGACATCTTTCAGGGGTGACAGGATGCTGGCATCCAGCTGCCAGCAGTAGCACAGCTGCCTCATTTTGAACTAGATGAAATTTCCAGACAGTTTTGGAAAGCAGACCTACATAACTGCATTACAGTAATCTAGATCCAATCAAAACATGGCACAGTGTGGCTGAATTACACCTTTCAAGGACCAGCTACAGCTGGTGTTATCAGCCAAAACTAATAAGAGACACTGTAAGCCACGGAGAAGATCTGAATCTTCAACTGCAAGCCAGGATCCAGCAGCACCCTAAAGCTATGAACCCGCTCTTATGAAAAGCAACAACCTTCAGGACAGGCTGAATCATTCATTCTCAAGCAGCTTTGCCATTGATCAACAACACCTCAACCCTATCTGGACTTTATGTCAGTTAATTTACCCTCATACACCACATTACCTTCTCCAACCATTTCTGCAGTGCGCACACATATGCACACATGATTCAGGAGGAGAGATGGGTGTCAATATTGTTGGCACTTCACTCCAAACCTCCATATAATATTTCCCAGTGGTTTTGTGTAAGTATTACATAGCATGGGGGACAAGATGGACTCTTGCAGGGCCCCATAGTATATATGCCATGGGGGTGAGCAGCAGCCTCCCAGTACCACCTTCTGCAACTGGCTGGCCAACTAAGAGTGCAACCACTGAAGCACAGCGCTCCCACTTCCAACCCAGTTGACTTATTAGAAAGATAACACGGTTGATGGTACTAAAAGATATAGAATCCTGTCACTCTTCTAGCAGTCAAGCAGGGTAGCGAAGAACGTTTCTCAAACCCAAACTGAAATTGGTCATGTTCTTTTGATTCTGAAGTAAGGCTGTTTAATATATACAAATTTAGCAACCACAGAATATATGATACAATAAGGAAGCACTGTTTGATTTGAAATCATATGTGAAAAAGAATATAGCAAGACATCTTACCTTTTATCAGTAATACTGGAATCCAAAGTGTTGCATAGATTAACTTTCCATTCATCCTGTACTTTAAGGTCAGCATTACTAAAAATGCCCATTAGGATACTGGATCCCATATAGTCAACACGTGCTTCAGTAGAGCCCATGGTCATTTGAATTTTGTGACTTGGTTGCTGGTTGGGATGTTCAGAAATATGAGCTGAAAAACAATTATTAATTCATTGGCTTAGCAGCAAAGGGATTTCCCCCTCTTCAGTATGGTCTAGAGTTCCCCATCACTTTCTGAGGAACAAATACAAGTGGCCCTCTCCTGCAGTAGTTGGCTTAGATTGCATAAACTATCTGCAACTACTTGCTCTAGTTGTATTCCCCCTTCCTTTGAATTTAAAGCAATTTACTTGATAACGAAAGTTCAACAATTGAGAATTAAGCAGCATAGCAAAACAACAACAACAACCCCACAGGGGTTGAGAAAAACTTGAACAGTTAAAAAATGTATCTGTCCTTTCATGGTCTTCCTTTAATAGGATTTACAACAAGCTAAATAGTGATGTTCCGTGTCTAATATCTACAGGAAGCTGATTCTGTTAGGGGGTAAGTAAAAAAGTAAAGGTTTCCACCCAAAAGACCCTATTTCTCATAGTTGCAGACCTGGGTAAACAGTAGAAGGGTCTGCCAATAAAGACTGTACAGCTGATCTTGAAAGGTGTGTGAACTCATTCTCCTGGGTTTTGCCAAAACACCAGCCATTTCCTGAGCAAAACATTTCCTGTCTAAAATGGCAAGAGAGTGCAGGAGCTAAGCCTCTACAAGGCAAAAATACAGTTTAACACTGTATTTTTAATACTTAATATCATGGGTCATTTGAGGCTGGAGCAGGATGGAGCACTGCTCCAGCAGCCCAGGAGTGGATAAAATGGTGGCAGCGGCGGCAAGCCCCACCCCAGCGGGCTGGCAAGGGAAGTTACGCAAAGCGAGGGAAGTGGGTTGGCAAGGGAAGTTAGGGAAGTGAGGGAAGCTAGGCACCTGCCTAGGGGTGGAGACCTCACTGGGGCGCAGAACTGCCTGCTTTCCCTCCCTCCCGGAGACACATGTTGGTTGGGGGTGGGGAACTAGCTGCTGCCTCCACCCCTGTGCTCCGCTGCGTTCCACTGGACTGGGATGGCGGCGGGAAGGACTGGCCTCTGGGGGCGGGGGCCTGAGCTGGGACAAGCCACAGGAGTGCAAAGGCATCCACAGGCAGCCTGCACTCGGCCCCCTGCCCTGCTCCTTGATGCCGGACCTGGCCGGGGAAGGCCCTGCGCTGCACAGAGCAGGTGGCGGGCCTTTCCGTGCCAAGTGCCCCCCCCCCATTCTCCAAGAGGACACCTCTTTCCTGCTGCCCCACCCAGGGGGGAGAGAGTTCGCCCATCTCCTGCAAGTTCATCAAGTCACCGGCTGGGAGCTTCCTTCATCCTTATCCAGCTTGGGCCACTGAGTGGGGTGGGAGGGCAGCAGCCAATCAGGTTTGGCCCCGCAGCGGCTTCTGCAGCCCTCTCGCCATGCCCAGGAGGCTTCTTGGTGTCACTGTGGGGAGACCAGCTTTGGGTGGGCTGAAGGAGAGTGAGCTGGAGTTTGCCTATGTCCCCTTCACCTCCCTCAACTGCCCCAATTTGCTGAGAGGGCTGAAAAGGCTGGGGTCCCCCATGCAGGGTTACTCGTGAGCTGCATTATAAGGTGTTGCTGAGGAGGGCAGCCTGGCTGAAGTCCATCCCATCTGTCCAGGCCTGGGCGCGGCGCCTCATAGGGAGGAGAGGGCTTTTCTCCTTCATTCCTCTGCAGCACTCAAAGGGTTAAGGTGAGAGAGTGGCTTCCTAGAGAGGCTGAGCAAGGAGAGGGGGTGGGAGAGAGGAAAAGGGTGGGAGAGGAATGGCCAAAGAAAGGAGGAAGGGCTTCAGAAGTGAAACAGGAGGGGGAAAAGCCTTGTTGCAGCTGAGTCCCGGGAAGGTTTACTCACAAGTAACTCATGGGGGGGGGGGAATAAATTTTTCAGTTGTGGAAGAGAGAAATGCAGTTGTCGAGTTAATGTTTTTGACAGGGGGAGTTGGGATTAAATGGTTCTAAAACATCTGTTCCCTGTAGACAAAGTTCCTGCCTCTCCTTCTTCCTCCTAATGGCTTTCTCTGCTGCCCTAGTTAGCGAAGGGTACCCTGCCCGCCTGTTGGGGAGCCTGGGGGCAGAATTGGGCATGGGGTGGGGAGCCAAGTCCTTCCTCACAGACCGGACCCACAGAATGGGCACTTTTCTCCCTGATCCAGGGAACTCTCACTTTTCTTCCTGATCCAGGAGCCAAAGCAGTTTTTCACATAGTACTCCCCCCTCCTCCATTTAATCCTCACAACAGCAATTTTGGGAGGGGAGGGTTAGGTGCTTGCATGCCTCCCCAGCACCCAAAATAAGTATTTGTATTTATTTCAGTCCTGAGCACGGGAACAGATGACTCAATGGCCTGGCTCAGAAAAGGAATATTTAACAGACATACAGACCAAAAGGAAAAAGCAGGGACATACTGAGAAGAAAATATGGTGTGTGTGTGTGTGTGGGGGGGAAGCTTCAGAGTGCCTCCTTCCATGCTTCTGGTCAGGTTTAAGAATGGAGCCTGGCAGATCAAAGGGCATAGACCTAACAGCTGGAAACTGAGGTGGAGGGGAAACAGTTGAATCTTTCCCATTGCAGAATTCTTTTTTTTTTTTTGGTATTAAAAAATCTCATTCTCTGTCAGAGCAGCATCCATAGTTCTCACCTCTCTCATTTTATTCTCACAAGAACCTAGTGGCTAGGTTAAGTTGAAAGAAAAAGACAGAGAGAGCAACTGGCTGAAGGCCATGAAGCAAAAGTCATGGCTAAAAGGGGATTTACTCCAAATCTCCCAGCTCCTTGCCCTACAGCACATTGATTCTCATGGTGGATATAAGTCCTTTCCTGGGTAAATGCCCTGCCCCATGCATCTGACAAAGCAACCTGTAGTCTGTGATGATTTATTCCAGAATAAAATCTTGTCTGTAGATGCCACAAGACTTCTCTGTATCGTTGCTCCAGCAAAGGGACGGGGTGATCCTGCTGTAAATCTCTGAATCCCTGAGCCTCTATGTTTTGTTGGTGGCCCTCCAGGGCAACTAGTTGGCCACTGTGTGAGACAGGATGCTGGACTAGATGGACCCTCACTGGTCTGATCCAGCAGGGCTCTTCTATGTTCTATGAGTTCTGACTGGCGGGAGGAAGGGGCGGCTGGGCTGAAGATGAGGCAATGCTGGGCAGTGGAGTTAAAGGAAGCAGCTGATTAATTTGGGGTTGTCAATTTTATCTTAAGTGCTTTCAGATGTTCAGGTTTCATTTTGACTTTGGCCCTATATACTTAATGCTAGAACCTAGTGTTAGAAATTTTGCTGCAGATCAAAACAGCATGGTAGTGTATTGGAGAGCTGTATAAAATGGCATCCATCCTCCCAGGCTGTAGCTAAGAGCAGTCTGACTCAACCTGACCTTTTGTCATAAAGCAAGAGCCCTTAAAGAATTGTAATCTGGCCCTATTAGTTGCCAGTTTCTTCTGTAGCTGGTGCCCAAGCTCAGTAGCATCTCTTAAAATGTACATACATCTATACATCTACAGACATGGTCAGCAGCTCATTGTCATTTAGACTTGTATGTTTTTAATAGTTTGAAACATGGTTCACAACTGACCACTTGGAGATATTTAAACTGCTGGTTAGGAGCCTTCTGACACACTTCCGGTGATGTCAGGGTGTGTGGCATATGCAAACAAGTTATGCTAATGAGTTATGCTAATGAGCTCCTGCACCTCTTTTTCTACGAAATGACCCCTGCTTAATATATTATTTTGGAACAGGCTGCAGGAGGGATTAAAAATTGCAATAACTCTACCATGTATATAGGGGCATTCAAGTGTACTAAGTGTTTCACATACCACCCCTTCAAAAATCCTTACAATAGCCAATTTAGGTAAATTAGGACTCTTTGACAAGCAGTATTTGAGGTGATTTAATTTGCCTTTCTACTGATGCTTGTATTGAATATCCAATGTTCAGAGAGTTAATAGCCAAAGTGTCATTATGTTTTGCCAGCTAATTAAGTGCCCTGACTTGGAGAGCCCACGGTAGCCTGATTTTGCCAGATCTTGGAAGCTAAGCAGGTCAGTATTTGGATGGGAGACCACCCAGGAATACCAGGGTCATGATGCAGAGGCAAGCAATGGCAAACCACCTCTGAACATTTCTTGCCTTGAAAATCTTACAAGGTCGCCATAAGTTTTGCCAGCTAATTAAGTGCCCTGACCTGGAGAGCCCACGCTAGCTAGCCCGATCTTGTCAGATCTTGATGGCAAAAAGAACAACACAGCTCATTAAGTAAAATGTGCTATGGAAATCAGATGTCAAAAATCTAAACTGCACTCCAGGAAATGCCCATGAGCAGAAAGGAAAGAGCTAGAGCTGGGCATAATCCATTGCAGTCATGCCTTTTAAGAGCCAGTGAGTTCATAGCTTAGAATCACAGGAATCGTAGGATTGCTTCCATTCTCTTTTTCATAACTTGTTCTGACTGTGGGGGGGGGGGGAAACTGAGAAAAAACCAAAATGACTAATGCATACCTTTTTAAAGAACATACCTTGCTCAGTCAATACAGTGCGCAATAAAAGATGCAAGCTGTGTTTCCAACTTACCCACCATCTCCAAGGTGTTAACATCTATGGTACCTCCAACCACGCCACCTCTAGAATCCAAATGGGATCTTCCCAGACCAACTGACATGCTAATTTCCCGATCCCTGTTACTACCCACAGATAAACGACCTTGGCTTTTCAAACCACTGGTAGTCCACCTGGAATAGGCACAAAGAGAAAAACTGTATGCTCTAGCACATGCACCCATCGTATGCCAAATACACCCAAAGTTGTAAAAACCATTTAAAACTGCCAAAGTAGTAGCTTGAATGGTTTGTACATTATATTATTGTTATATTATTATGGCAATAGGTAAAGAATAGCTGTGTAGTATATCTCCAGTTTAAGAAAGAAAAGGTACTTATGGATGTGAGAAAACAACTGGTAACTCTCTCTCCCTAAGCCCACCTAGAGGAAGAATTTATTGCAGGATAATAGATCTAAGGATATCTGCTGCATCCTGCAAGCAAGATGCAGTCCTCAGTGTTGCTCACTCATGTTTGAAGACTTCCAAACTTATCTAACAGTGGACCAAAAACTGATTCATGGACCAAAAGCTGATTTTTAACACACATAAACTGTTGAAAGATTTCTTCTCTTCACAGAATATCAAAAATCGTAGTTTAATAATATATTTACTTACGTAGTGTTTCCCATGACATTGCTCATGTTCATCTGGACATTTAGCTGTTTTAAGTTCATAGCAAACACAACCAGCGTCTCCCATGGTGTCACTTGCTGACCTCCGGCTTTGTTGGATTTATTGAAAGGAGTCGAAGTTTTTGAGAGTGCATCTAGACCAAAACACAGCCAGGCCACTTTAATTTTAAAACAGTAGTTCCTCAACGTGCAGAAATGGGACCTACTTGTAAACGCAAGTCTGTTTTTATTGTGGGGGACCACCTGGAAAGAATTCCCATTTTATTTTTCATTTTTAACATTTACAAATATATACCACTGTTGCGTAATGTCTTTCATAGACATTTCCCACATTATGCAGAGGCAAACTCAAATTTGCTCTCAAGTCTCCTAGGAGTTTTCACTCCCAGCTCAGTATGTTCCACCTACTCCTGTCTCACTTGGCAGGCCGCCTGTGAGACAGCTGTTCTGCAACTTTTGTCATCAACCCACATTTTCCACAGCAGGTAGAGGGCAGTGAAGCAATGCAAGAGGCTGGGCAAGAGGTTGGATTGCTGAAGGAGCAGTGCTAAGACAGAGGCCATGCACACATACGCACCTGTTTCTGTTCTTCTCTGGTTTTTCTTTTGGTATGTTGAACAACACCCACCTATTCTTCAGCCTCCCCTCCTTCTTTCAGCTACTACAGTGAAGTTATTAGTTCCCTGACAGCTTCCCCCCCCCCCATTATTATCACAATGGAAGGGGAGACGAGAGCGTAAGAAGTCCATGAGGAGGAAACAAAGAGAAGGATGAAAAGGGTGGGAGCCACCACTAGAGACAGATGGCCTACAACCCACTTTCAAAGGTTTTGTGACCCACTTTTGGGTCCTGACCCACAGGTAAAGAAACACTGACCAAGAGCATCCATTTGTCCTATTATGGAATATTAAAAAAAAAATGGAAATGCTCCTAGCCTGTGATATTGAATCATGCATTTTCTTTTCTCTTGTATCTGTAGAATTTGAATTATGGAGAATAATTTTTTTCCTTTAGGGGAGCTGTTTTGGCCCCATGATATCACACTGAAAGTAGAAATGGCACGTAGTGAGAAGTTTTACCTATAAGTCCTAATGATTGTATAATTTAAGTAAACAGATTAAGTAAACATAATTTAAGTAAACAGATCCTCCTTAGCAAATTACTGGCTATTAATAATACTCTTTATTCATTCCAGCTCCTGCCAACCTAGCAGTTCGAAAGCAAGAAATTGCAAGTAGATAAATAGGTACCACTTCGGTGGGAAGGTAACAGCGTTCCGTGTGCCTTGGTGTTTAGTCATGCCGGCCACATGACCACGGAAACGTCTTCGGACAGCGCTGGCTCTTCGGCTTTGAAACGGAGATGAGCACCGCAACCCTAGAGTCGGATTCGACTGGCTTTCGAGCAAGGGAACCTTTACCTTTACTTTACTTATTCATTCCAGCCATGTACATACTCTTAGAAATATTCCACAGTAGTCTATGAATTTAAACAATCCAAATGAAGAATGGTCTTTGTACCTCTCTGGGGAACTGAAGAGTCCGACACACTCCTGGATCTTGACACTGCTGGGGATTTTAAGTTATGAGCTGCTGTTCCAGGTGACATATTACTGCTTGTGCCGTGGTCATTGAAAACATTAGGTGACTGAGCCATGTGGGTAAATGAAGCAGATTGGCTGGGCTGCTCCCAGGTCCTACAGTAGGCTTTTCGTGATGATTCAGGAGACATGTGTTGGTTCACTCCTTCGACAGAATCTGGAGTCCCAGGGCCAGATGTTTCTGCAAAAATTTTATTTCACTTTATTTTTGCTTCTTTTTAGCACAGCATTTCTAGCAGCTAAAATACAGTGAAGTGATTAGAGCATGCATTGCTCTGTGGAGTACTCTGTTTTAGATGTCTCTCCAATGTCAAATGGTGAGTTACTGCCATTAACAACTACTAACACTGATAATTCAAAATATATCTACAGATATTTTTTTAAAAACTATCTGATCAATAATATTTTCATACTAGAGGTCTTTTCTACACAATGTTCTTTCAGCATCTCTCAGTGCATCCTTTCCAAGTCTCCCATCCATACTTACTACACCCTTCAATTCATCTGCTAAAGAAAACATGGATATAAGAAATGAATTATTTTGTCACAGTTATAAAGTGATGTAATCTATTGTTATACATTTTAGAGTACATTAAAAAGAATTTATAGGCATAACTTTCCATTTAACTTAGTTTGGTTAGCTCAGTTCCTGAACAGTTAGAACAATAAACAACTCTGTTAACATGGTGTGAGAGAATAGTAGCTCTGTTAGGTTTGGATGTTGGACTACAAACAGAAGGACTGAGCAAAGGTGTATCCAAATTTTGGCAATTCAGGCCTTCACCGCATCACAAGGAAGAGAACTGCAGCAGATTATAGATCAGTTTTACCCCTTTATTTGCCTGTCAGGTTTCATGCACTTATTTCCAAGCAGCTGCTTTGCCTCTGAGGCAACAGTGACTGTACTAATATCACTGTGAAGATCCTTCTCTTGTTCCTGGAGGGACCCAGAAAACAGCAAGCAGAGTACTGTGGGTCAAGGCAACCTCAAGAAAACAGAAGATGTAGCAAGGGAAGACATTATGGACAATGCAGAAACCCTCCTTGCATGAGCATCTTTCATTTGTGCAAGGGGCGGGGAAATGATGCTTTGATCAACTCTGCTTTCGTAATTGCAACCAGTTACTTGTTTCCCACAAATCAATAAGGCAGCAAAACAGCTTCTGGTTTAATCAATTTTAAATTAAGGGAAGTTCAGAAGATGACAATGTAAAAGAATTGCTAAGAGAGAAATTCAGCCTTCCCTTTTAAAATTTATTTCCATTATGAAGAGCTATATGTGAACCTTCAAAACAAGCAACACTGGGTTGTCCTGCACTACCTTTGAATAGCTACATTTTCTCATACCCTCAGCATCTAGTCATTGATCCTCATGAAGAGACTGCTTCACAAACACCTTCACTGCCTTTTACACTTACAATATACATTCAACCACAAAAAAGTCTGCAACTCAAAAAAAATCCCAAGGGCCCATTTCCACCACCTTTGAGTGTTTTCTTTCCAACTTCAACTAGCCCTATGGTTAAAATACAGCCATAATTATGTAAACTATGATTAAATTATGCCAATTATTAAACACATTATTACCATAAATTAAATAATAGAGGGCTAGCATTGTGTAGTGATTACAATGTCAGACTAGGGCCCCTTTCACATTACCATTCTCAAACTTAAAAAAAATGTTCTAGGTTGACTGCTTCAGCAGCACCATTGAGATACACTGAGATTGCGGCTATTATTACATGGATACAGGAGAAGAGAAGTAGCTCACTGGGCAGCAGGTGCTCAGGACTGTATATAAATATTGCTTCTATATTCACATGCCTTCTCCTGTGATGTCTTTTGATAACATGCTGTGTCTTATTTCCTGTTGCAAGCCAAATGGTGAGGCCACATGGCCTCAATAGCCATGCCATAAACCCACATTCTTTCACGCCAAAAGCCAGACCTCATGGCTACACTTTCTGGCCCACGTGCGACAAGTCACGTACTCAATGAAGTAGCTGGAGTTTGGGTCACATGACTGCAGGCAGGATCTCCAAACTTCCAGCCAATCCCACAAACCTGATGTTAGCAACCATGGCAACCAACAATTGGCTACACCCATGCCCACTCGCAATTGGCTGATGGCCACAGCTAATTTGTGACTGGAATTGGAGTATAATTGATTGATCCCTATGGGAGTGAGCTCTCTTGCTTTTTGCTCTCCCTTCCTCCTCTTCTCATTGTCTGGTTTATTGCACCTGAAATGCTGTCTCTTGGAAAACAAAGACCTGCTTTGTGACTTGGAGCACATGGGTGTGCAAAAATGGGATTTCCCTTCAAAATCCCATGGACTATTCTGGACTGTGGATGTTCCTGTTGTGGTAACTATGTATCTTCAATGTGTAGTTAAGGCAAATTGCCCTAGCCTTTGTTATTTTGTAATCTCCTAGTCTGTTTGCTGTGCTCTGTACTGAATAAAGATCCTTCTTATTGCTAATTTGTCCTTGATGTTGTAACTTGGATACCAAGTCTGTCTTGTGCCTAACCCTGACCACATGTGCTACCTTGGTAAGAGTAAAAGCGTGCATCTCTGGATAGAGTTGCTACTGTGTTAAATCCCGGAAGCTAATTAAGGGCTGGAATCTCTCCCTTAGGAAAGGCAGGGACTAGTGAAAAGAGGTTCTGGTGGCAAATTGTTGTGAAGACCAGAGATGGTACAGACTGTCTCGTAGCTTGTTGTTTAATGTACTGAAAAGAGTGGTGTCCATGCCCTCAAAGATGCCCTCCTGCAGTACATGGCGGATATGCCGCTTCCAAACATATCCTAGATCTCTGCACAGACTGACAATGTATGTGCAGAAGCACTTCCTAAAAGTTAACTGTGCAGTTGATCAGCACCAGCACTTCCAGTATAAGTCAAATCACAGCAGAGATACTGACCATGATTGAAAGATTACTAGCCTCACAGATATCCACACAAAACATTTGGCAACCTTCAACCCACAAAGAGAAGATGTTTGCCTCCCTGAGATATATATCTGAGATTCTCTTGGCAACAAGTCACTTACCAGCCAATCACATCTGGGCATTCATGGGCTGCATGGATGGGTGGAACATCAGGACATTTGCTACAGACACCGTTTGTTAGCAGCTTCTGTAACACCAATCACTGATGTCCTGAGCACCTGCTGCCCAGTGAGCTACTTCTCTCCTCCTGTATCCTTGTAACAACAGCCGCAATCTCAGCATATCTCAATTGTGCCAAGGCATCCCAATGGTCCCGCTGTAGCACTGAAGTGCTATATTGATCTAGCACTATAACACTCAACTTAGAATGCTCAAAAATGTTCGAGGAAGACAGCGTGACGGAAAAGGGTGGGTAAAAAAGCAACGCTGCAGACATTTTAAACAGCAAATAAGAGGTGAAAATGGAAGAAAGCAGTTTACCTCAAGAATCGCTCAGTCATGCTTTCCTAATTGGATGCAAGTAGCTTTGTATGAAAAGATAAATAAAACCAGTTAGTAGCCAGTTGCTAAAATGGCTGTGTTTGAAATGACACAAAAACCCCATTAGCAACCAGCTACCAAAACAGATTACAAAGGTTGTCTGAAAGGGGCCTAGGACTTGAGAGACCCAGGATTCGAATCCTGACTCTGCTATGGAAGCTTGCTTAGAGACCTTGGACTAGTCACGTACTCTCAGTTTAACCTACCTCACAGGGTTGTTATGAAGACAAAACGGAGAAGAAAACAATATAAGGTACTTTGGGTTCCCATTGGGGAGAAGGGCAAAATGAAATAAATGAAAAAGTAAACTAAGCAGTAATTTAAACCTTCATAGTGTAATGCGGGCTGTTTTTCTCACCAAATTCATTATCAGCATTCCTAAGACTTGTTAATTGTTCACTTACCTGGCAAATTTATGGTTTGGTCACCCAGAAAAAGGCGCCTTGCAATACTCCTTCTGTACCAGGCTCTTGGGAAGGCTAAAATCTCACTTAGTCTCCTCATGTCATACTTAAAAGAAGCCGATCCTATATCACAAACAGCTAAAAAAATAAAAAAGGAATCAGCTTTACACAAAAAGTTGTTTATGTTTTACCTTATACTCGTACCTGGAACATGCAAAACATTTATAAAGGCAAACAGAAGTAATCTTTTACTGATTATAATGCAAAGAAGATTGGAAGTTGAGCAGAAGCTTTTCCTCTGAAGCTTCTCAATGCAGACCCCTTTCACCTATCTGCTCTTCATCTTCTCAGAGTTGCGGCCACTGCCAAACTGGTCTATACCCAGGCAGCAACCATGAAAGTGTGCTTTCTGTGCTACTAAGTCCTATTAGATTGTTCTAAGTTTGCAACCCTTGGCAATATATGCTACGTTTTCACCTCAGTAGCTAATGCCATAATTTTTTCTCATTAGTCATACAATACAGACAGAAAAACAGATCAAAGTTTTAGCTTGGAGAAATGACGACTGAGGGGAGACATGATTGAGGTTTATAAGATTATGCATGGGATAGAGCAGGTAGAGAAAGAGGTACGTTTCTCCCTTTCTCACAATACAAGAACTCGTGGGTACTCAATGAAATTGCTGAGTGGTCGGGTTAGAACGGATAAAAGGAAGTACTTCTTCACCCAAAGAGTGATTAACACTTGGAATTCACTGCCACAGGAAGTGGTGGTGGCTACAAGCATGGATGGCTTCAAAAGGGAATTAGATAAGCATATGGAGCAGAGGTCCATCAGTGGCTATTAGCCACAAGTTATAGATAGGGGCTCTGGGGCAAGTGATGCTCTGTCTTCTTGGTGCTTGGGGGGGGGGTCAACAGTGGGAGGGCTTCTAATGTCCTGGCCCCACTGGTGGACCTCCTGATAGCACTGGTATTTCTGGCCACTGTGTGACACAGAGTGTTGGTCTGGATGGGCCTTTGGCCTGATCCAACATTGATGTTAATTTCCTCAGCAACCCTTTCTGCACGGTCAGAAAACGGCAAAAGAAGGCGGCCTGTTCTAATAAGAACAGTGTCATGTAGTACTATGATCACTACAGTCCTTTCCTTTTCACAGGTAACTGAGTCCAGCACATGACACAGTATAGATTTTACAGAATGTATGCTCACTACTCATATGGGACTGCAGTGTTTCAGTACAGCTTCAGAGAAGACAAAAGCTATGCGTTCACAATGCTGGGTGACCAGTTTCTTTAACCTTAAATGACACTGTGCACCACAATGTCTAGATAATAAAGGAAAAACACATGATTTGCAAGGGGGATAAGGCTTTAGTCTGATACCCAAATATGCACTGAAGGATATGGAGCAATGATGCCTGATGGACTGAGACCATCAGTAAAAAAAAAAGTATACATACCAGATATGTTTATTAAAGTGGTGTCCATCTTGCTTGCAGTTTTGCTTGCAGAGGGACTCTCAAAAAAGGAAGCACCACCTGAACGCCTTATTCTTGACAGACTAACTTTCACAAACTCAAGATTAATGCTCAATGAATCTTTTCGACCAGTAACTGAAGAGGGTTCTTCATCTACATTTCCTGAAAGCATGAGACACAAAATAGCTGATTTCACTTGAATAAGAAAAACACAAAGTACTGCCAATTCTGAGTTGAGTTATATAATGCCAAAACTAGAATATTCAATGTTTTATGAACAAAACTTAGCAAATGATATTCCATGTATCATATCAGGGAAAAGAAACTATATAAACAAGAATTCTAAAATGAAATGAGCATATGCAGAATATTCACATTTTGTTTACTCAAATAGTTTAATACTCTAATAGTTACTTTTGAACTATGATTGCACATTTGACTGGTCATAAAAGAGCTAGTCAAGAGCTGCATCCATCTACCTGAGGCCCTGGCCCCAATATTAACAACATTGTATCAATACTAACATCAATATTACACCAAGTTGAATAGCCTATGCTCCTCCAATACGACCAAGGCCATGTTGACAGTTGACTGTCAGATGCTCACCATCGTTATATTGAGCTAGCACTTTATGTATTGTTTTAGACCTATTTTATTGCAATTGTATTTAATTAATTATCTTGTTATAATACTATGTAAGCCGCCCTGAGTCTGCTCCGGCGGGGAGGGGGGATATTTATTAATTAATTAAATAAATAAATAAACTGAGCAGTCAAATATTGGCCATATTTTTAAAGAATTAGGTTTACTTAGAACAAAAAAAGATCTAAGATAATAGATTTGGCACTTATGTCCATTACCATAACAAACCATTTTTTAAAAACAATAAACGTTAGTTAAACATGCAATAACTTTTGTTAAGTTTTCTGCTATTCACTGAATACTTCTTCCCTTTGGCTTTTACCATGGAACACCAGGTCCAGCTACAGTTACAAAGTTTTGAAAAAATGAAATTAAAACCAAAAGCAAAACAAGTGACAGCCAACTATTTATTTATTTATTTGTAACAGCACTAGGGTTGCCAAGTCACAGCGGGGGATTCTATGTCTTCGCAGAATCCGTGCCGCAAGGACGGCGAGACGCGCTGCACCCGCCATCGCCAGGATTTGACGCTATGCGTCATGTCCTGGCAACGGCGGTGCAATGCGTCTTGCCATCCCCGCGGCATGGATTCTGCGAAGACATACGGATCCCCCGCCATGATTTGGCGAGATTTGGGAAGCCTAAACAGCACCCACTAATTGGGCCAGGGACTACAGTGAACCAGATCACTGCTCTGGCAGTGCCATGGTTGGATCACTCTGCCCTGAGGGCCTGTTTAGATCCACTCAGTCTAGAGGAAGTTGACAAATTGCTCTTAACTGTATACCCTACCACATGCCTCCTTGACCCATGCCCATCATGGCTCATCAAAGCAGGTCACGAGGGGTTTCGAGGTACCCTAAGGGAGATTATTAACAAATCCCTCTCAGAGGGCTTGTTCCATGGGGCACTTAAGGAGGCCATGGTTCATCCCCTCTTGAAAAAACCATCAATGGACCCAGCCGAATTGGCTAACTAGCGGCCGGTTTCCAACTTGCCCTATTTGGGCAAGTTAATCGAGAGGGCTGTGGCAGTCCTTTTACAGAGCTTTTTTATGACACTTCCATCCTAGACACCTTTCAGTCCGGCTTCCATCTGGGACATGGGATGGAGACAGCACTGGTCGCCCTCATATATGACCTTCAGAGACATCTGGATCGAGGCGGATTGGCGGTGCTGTTGCTGTTAGACCCGTCGGCAGCGTTCGACAGCTACTGATCCACTGCCTCAGTGACACCGGAGTTCAGGGGCTTGCCTTACAATGGCTCACATCCTTTCTTTAGGGTCGGGGACAAAGGGTGGCACTAGGAGATCAGCTGTCCCAAAGGCATCCACTGGTTTGTGGCTTGTCCCAAGAGGCAGTACTTTCCCTGATGGTATTTAACATCTACATGCGCCCCCTTGCACAGATTGCCCAAAGGCATTGGCTTGGGTGTCACCAGTACACAGATGACACCCAGCTCTATCTATTGTTGGGCTGCCAGTCTGACTCTACACTGGAAGATATGGACCAGGCATTGCAAGCTGTGGCTGGTTGGCTTAAACTAAGTCGATTGAAATTGAATCCAATGAAGATGGAGGTCCTGTGCCCTGAGTCGGGGCAGTCCGGGGGTAGGGATCCCACTCCCGACCTTCGATGGGGCACAGCTGGTGCCAGCGCCGGAGGTTAGGAGTTTGGGAGTGTTCTTGGATGCTTTCTTAACTATGGAGGCCCAAGTAGCAGCTACTGCCAGGTCAGCCTTTTATTATGTTCAGCTGATTAGGCAGTTGTTCCCTTCCTCGAATGCAACGACTTGGCAACATGAGAGCCAGTTTGGTGTAGTGGTTAAGTGTGCGGACTCTAATCTGGGAGACCCGGGTTTGATTCCCCACTCCTCCGTTTGCACCTGCTGATGTGACCTTGGGTCAGTCACAAGCTCTGGCACAGCTGTCCTTGAAAAAGAGCAGTTTGTGTCAGAGTTCTCTCAGCCCCACCCACCTCACAGGGTGTCTGTTGTGGGGAGGGGAAGGGAGAGGAGTTTGTAAGCCGCTCTGAGACTCCCAGTGAAGGGCGGGGTATAAATCCAATCTTCTCCTCCTCCTCCTCCTCCTCCATGTGATGTTCACCTCAAGATCGGACTACTCTAATGCTCTCTACATGGGACTGCCCTTGCTTCAAATCCGGAAGCTGCAGCTAGTGCAGAATGCGGCAGCCAAGCTGCTGATGGTGTATCCCTAGGTGGGAGCACATCCAGCCTGTACTGAAGGCACTGCATTGGCTGCCGATAGCATACCGGATTCGTTTCAAGGTGCTGGTTTTAACCTTTAAAGCCCTACATGGTCAGGGTCTGGCATACCTGAGGGATCACCTTTCCCATGTTCCCCGGAGAGCACTGTGTTCAGGGACACAAAATCGGTTGGTCCTTCCAGGCCCCAAGGATACCAGGCTGGCAACAACCAGGTCGGCGTGGTGGCACCTCCATCCTGGTGGAATGAGCTCCCGGAAGAGATCAGGGTCCTGCGGAACCTTTTACAGTTCTGCAGGGCCTGCAAAACGGAGCTCTTCCACCAGGCATTTGACTAAGGAGCCGCATCATACACAGAGGAGTGTCCCTGTACCCTGGCTTTACCATCTTTATCTTCACCTTCAGCCTGTGCCCTGGCCTACCATCGTTGTCTCTAGCCCATACCTGCCACATAATGTGAGTGAACTGAGCTGGTATGAAAGTTATGGTAATCATACAGTCACCTAAGTCATACAGGAAATAATGTTTGCTCTTGTTTTATCTGATAATGTTCCAGCATTTTAACTGTGTTTTAATTGATTGTTATTTATATTATATGTTTATATGCTTATATAGGTTTTAATGGTATTTTTATAAACTGTTGTGTAAGCCACCCTGAGCCTGCCTTAGCGGGGTGGGTGGGGTATAAATTGAATAAATAAATAAACTATAAACAAACATGCCCATTTTCAATGCAGTTGTGCTAAGTCGGCAGCAAACTAATTTTCAAACATCATCCGCATCAAATGTTTTTTCACTACTATCGACATAAACAGGTTGCTTACCTGTAACTGATGATCTTCGAGTGGTCTTCTGTGCAGTACCACAATCCCACCTGGCCTTCCCCACTGCTGGCATCTCTCGATCATTTCCCTTATTTTTTGTTGAGACTTACCAGTAGCAGTCAAAGGAACTGAGTGGGAGGCTGCTCTCTTGCCCACTCCAGGCATGCACAGTGCGCACCTGCTCGTTTCTCCAATGAGGTTGTGCTCAGGTACCCAATCCATGTGTGGGACTGCACAGAGACCATGAAGAAGATCATCTAGTTTATAATTATCATCATCATCTAGGGGACAAATACCTTTCATTCCTGCCCTGCTAACAAATGATACCACCACCACCAAACAGAAAAAAAAAAGTAAACCTCCAGCTACACAGTAGCATTCATGGATTCATGTAATATTTGACAACTGTCAAACAGAAGGCAGTTGACCCCTCTGCCAATCCTATTCAAAATGGACACCATTCAAACTTAGCAAAGATCCATATTTTCTTGTAAAATGTGATATTCAGTAGTTACCAAGGGACCCAGAATTAGCACTCAGGCCAGTCACACTGGTTTTCTGCTTTCCTGCTCCATATGGATGAAATACATAAAGGGAGAAATCAGACATGCAGGCTGTGAAGCTCAGGCCTGAAGAACTACTACTAGAACCAGTCAAATCTGATTGGCTACTGCTATGCCGTGTTCTGCCAAAGGGGCTGCCCAGACCAGGTGATGAACCTATAGCAGGAAGGGGGAAAAACTCAAGTTAATAATAATAAACCATAAGTCTCTGACACACTCTCAAAAATCAGCCAACAGCACCATTTTTATTATTATTATTATTATTATTATTACCTGTAACAACCAGGACATTGACTGGAGTCAGTCATAGGCACAGTATCACTCCACTCTTCGCCCATCTACACTGGCTCCCAATTTACTTCCAGGAACAATTCAAAGTCTATGAGTCTATGATTCTGCCATATGTTTTAATTGTCATCTCTGGGTTTTATTTATGCATTTTAGTTTTGGTTTTAATTGGTTTTTATGGCATACTTTTATAATGCTTTGTTTTTAACTGTTGGTGGCCCTCATTGAGCAATAAGGTGGGAAATATTAATAAGACATAGTGACTGGGAATAAACTCAGCATTCTAGGTAACATTCCCAGTGGGATTTACTTCCTTCTTTTAAACAGATATCACTCATGGTCCACATCGTGTCACAAACTACAGTTTTTTAAACTTTTCACCATTTGAAAACCAGTTTGGCACACGACAACTGTCTGATAAACTTAAGTCCTAAGTTTTCTTCTTATTATTTAACAATATATATAGTGCTCCAGAGCAAACAGAAAATGACAGACCTTTCTGCCCTCATAAGTGCCACCGAGGTAACTCTGAGATGCTTGAGTATGAATTTCAACAGGAGAAAATAGCGGAAAGGGAAACAAATCATTTCTAATGAAGTCAGCTGAAGCTTAGAATGTACGCTAACCGAGATATAACATGTCTGGAAATGTTTAAGCCCAGGGGGAAAGGGGCCAGGGGAAAAAAAGAACAAACGGGGGAATTAATATGTGCAATATTTACTTTCCTATCTTATTTACTGATTTAACTACATAAAATGCATCATGTATAATGTAGTCATCATATAAAATTGTACTGTTTGGCATATTTTTGGAATTTAAAAGTATATTTTGAGTGTGAAAAACCTTGCCGTAGAAAGTGATTTACTCATTCTAAAAGAAAATAGGCTTTCTTCAGTGCTCCCCCAATTTTTTCAGTTTTTCTATTAGAAAAATTGTGAAAATGTCCTTGGAAAAAAAATGAAAAAGCCCCCCCAATTTCTCCATTTCCCTTTGTGTCTCTATACACAAATAGTTTTTTCTTAGTATGCAACTACTTTTGCCACAAATTTCGGCACAGATACTAAAGCCACCAAAGACAACCAAAATACCCACTGTTATATAATACTACTGGCTAGTAATGCACTCATCTAGGCCATTAATGAGTAATTTAAAAGCATTTTCAATATAAAGTTTTACCTGGCGACACAGTTTTAATCTTTGGTCCACTTTGTGCAGCATTTTCTGTAGGGCAGGCTGTACCTAAAGTTTCCAGTTCCCCTCGATTAGAAGAAAATACAAGATCAAGGGAAGGAAGCTTCAGCATACATTCCACCCTTGATACAGGTAAGCAGCTGAACTTGATCTGTGAAGGCTAAGTAAAAGAGAAAGATGCAAAACAGTAACATTAGAAAACAGATTTATTAATTTGCTATTGGATTAAGATATACCAATTAAATCACAATACAATTAAATCACAATTGAAAAAATGGCTTCATATTAAAAATTAAATCTTACAGTTTCTTGTACAGAAATACAAATTCAGCATAAAAGCTATTAGGGTCAGCGATGTGCCAGATTCTAAATCTTTCAAGGTGACCTTGCTCAGTTCACAAGAAGCCGAAAAGTTTAATTTTTAAAAGTTATGTAAAATATTTCTACCCTGGATATTAATATCTGCAAGATGGCTTATACAGGTAAACAACATTAGAACCATTCTATGAAATAAAATGGCGGACACAAATTATAAACATTTGGACAAAAGTGGAATGTCTTTGGAGGGATATTTCTGAGCACCTTTATGGGTTATTGAGACCACAGTTTCTCTGATTATGCTCCTTCTTCCAAATATTGTCATCAAGAGCACTATGGCATTTTCAAACAACACCCATCCATTATTGTCATTGACTTCAATGGCACAGGAACTGCCTCCAAGTCTTGCTGTCTTTCTCCTCACCTGAACTCTTACATAAACCACCACATCCACAGGGAAGGAGGAGTATGCTGAGGTTGATGAGGACACCAAGGAGGCTGTGGACTCTTCTAAGGGATCTTGCATATCAAACTGCCCAATATCCTCATCTTGGGAGCTAACAGCTTTTAATAGTACAAAGAAATTTGTTTTAATAATTACGTAGGTAAACTTGAAACAAGTCATAGCTGTGAAAGAAATTAGTTATTTTGTCATGTGATACCTGCATAGTTCCTTTCTATTGGAGTTATAGGAATGGTTTCAAGTGCCTTCTCTAGGAAGTCCAGCAGGCAGGGGCTAATCACCATTTCCTCCGGCAAGGACTGGAGTGCAACCCAAGCATACAATTTAGCTGTTTTTATGCCACCACTTCCCTTCCCTTTGGCTGAAAGGATTAAAAAAAAGTTTAGTGAAATACCAGTTAACCAACTTTAATTAGAATACAAATTGAGAAATAGGTTTTCTAATTCACTGAATTAACAACATATCTTTGCTCAACAGCCAGAATCCTTGCCTTTTGCATATATATCATCAAGGTGAAATGACTTAAATAACTGTAATTTGAAACACCATGAAAAAGAGCCACTAAATCATTGAACAAGCTTTCTATAAAATTAAAGTGGAACGCTCTCCCAAGAGAGATCTGGGCCCTGCGAAACCTAAAGCAGTTTCGCAGGGGCTGAGAAACGGAGATGTTCCGCGAGGCCTACAGTTGAGGCAGCGGTGACTTATTAGTATTGGCCTCAATCTCCCTCTAAGATGTCAAGTCTGGTGAGCAAAAATTCTACTTTGTGGGCTACTGGTATTAAAGTTATGAGCGAGAAATTTGGCTGCTGCATAAATTAGTTTGCTCTGGAGCCATCCTTCCTGAGCTAAGGCAAAAATGTGTGAGCCAGAGGCTAAAAAACTGTGAGCTAGCTCACATTAACTCAGCTTAGAGGGAACACTGATTGGCCTCCCCCCATGTGTTTCCATCTCATATTGTTTTATTCATCTGCCCACCCCCCGTATTATCAGCTACCATCAATGCTCCCTCTAAACTGTGGAGTCTTGTGAGCAAAAATTCTACTTTGTGAGCTACTGGCACTAAAGTTGTGAGCGAGCAATTTGGCTGCTGCATAAATTAGTTTGCTCTGGAGCCATCCTTCCTGAGCTAAGACAAAAATGTGTGAGCCAGAGGCTAAAAAACTGGGAGCTAGCTCACATTAACTCAGCTTAGAGGGAACACTGGCTACCATCTAGTGTGCACAGCCGTGAAATGGATGCCGGAGAGGTGGTATTAATCGGCACTATAAATGATATCACATTTGGATTTTAATAATTGTTGATGTTATGTTAACTATTTTATTGTATTTTATTATATTGTTGTAACCCACCCTGAGCCTTGTAACGCAGGGGAGAGCAGGACCGAAATCAAATAAATAAATATAGCAATTAAATACAACTGAAACATGTATATTTGCATGTGGCAGAAAGGTGGCCATACAAAGTTAGGGACAGTTTTCTTCAGCTTCAGAAAAGCAGGAAGGTAGGGAGTTTAGGCTGCATACATAGTTGTCATTCTTCTTCCCTAACTCAGCACTGTCAGCTCATGCAATTTTTGAAAAGGGGTCAAGAGAGAAACCTGGATATTACAGGACAGTTAACCTACCTTCTGTTCCAGGTAAATTAGTAGAAACTGTACTCAAGTTAAAATTATTAAGCACATAGAGAAACAAAGTCTGCTGAGGGAAAATCAGCATGGCTTCTGAAATCGGTTCTGCCCTACCACCCTGTTAGAGTTCTTAGAGAAGGTTAACGAACATTGAGGATAAGAGTAGATATTATATACTTGGACTTCCAAAAGGATTCCGACAAGGTATCTCATTCAAAGACTCCTAAATCAGCTTAGCAGTCATGGAAATTGGTTAAGTTGGCTAAATGACAGAAAGCAGAAAGCAGGCATAAATGGACAGTTCTTGCAGTGGAGGGAAGCAAGCAGCAGAGCCCCACGATTAATGGTACTGAGACTTTTTAACAGGTTCATAAATAATCTGGAATTAGGTGTGAGCAATGTATTGGCCCAATTTAAAGATGATACCAAATTATTGAGAGCTGGTGTAGTGGTTGGACTAGTATCTGGGAGAGATATTCTTGTTAACAGGGTCTTGTATTCTGATTCAGTACTCAACTGTTTGCATAATTTGGATGAGGTATTAAAATTGTTCAGACCCCTTTAGAACCTTGACAGGACACCCTTCATAGTTAAGAGGAATAGTTGTATTGATCTGCTTTATGGAATTCTTAGCTCCATTTATTCATCTTTTATAGTACTCTCCCCAGCTTCTGCCAAGGGCACAGGGTGTTAACATGCGAAGAGCCAAAAGAGCAAGGTCTGAGGGCGCAGAACCTGCAGGAGACATTATGGCAACAGGTAGCTTCAAGTAGCAGTGCCAGGGCAACATGTCTAATAGTTCTGAGTAACCCTAAGAGCAGAGGTCGGGACAATGTGAGGTTCACACTGGTCTATTTAAACCTGAGCTGGTAAAAGTGGCTACGGAGGCATAAGAACATAACAGCCCTGCTGTATCAGACCAGTGGTCCCACTAGTCCAGCATCCTGTTTCACAAAGTGGACAACTAGTTACTTTGGAAGGCCAATGGACAACAATGGAGCAATACAGGGCAACAGTTTTGGTTGACAGAGGTAAAATCTTTACACGTAACACAAAAATAGATACCATATTTGATCTATTGTATCATATTTGATCTATGGTATCACATTTATAATGCATCACCTCAAAACTCCCACCTTGTAAGGCACTTTCCACCACTGCTAATGTTTTAAATTACGAAGAATATATAAAACCCATTTCAGCCTGACCTCAAAAGCTCTGTGTTTTTAGCCTTGGTTTATTCTTCTGTATGGAAAACAAACTTTAGCTCAACGTGCTTGATAGATAATCATGGATTCGGCTTGAATTATGATTGTAGACTTTTAATATGTTTGCCTATGTTGCATCCAATTATTTTAAACCAGGTTAAACCTCCACCATATCCAAAACTATCTGTGAACAATTGCAGGATTCTAGTTTTCCAACAATATATATAGAGAATAAAACTGAAAGAGAATGTTTAAAAATAAATATTAAAGAATTCAGGATCTGGATCCCAGTATCAGAACGAAACTCTGAAATTATATAATGTAGACATATTCAGAAGTCATACAAATAACAAAGGTCCTAGGCAGGATGATGATTAGATCAGCGGTCCCCAATCTTTTTGAGCCTGTGGGCACCTTTGTTATTCTGACACAGGGTGGTGGGCACAATCACAAAATGACTGCCATAGGAGGCCAAGCCTGCCAAAATGTGAGGGAGCAAGGTTATTCATAACTCTAAGAGGAATTCATCAACATTTCAGGCCGAAACTCTGTTTAACAGGAAGTGTTTTAAAATGAATATATTATTTAAAAATATTTTCTTGCATACACCTTCAGTGACACAGAGATTTGTGCTGTGGTGGCAGCAGTTAAAAAACTCTGTACAGATCATCAGATCTCCAGTGGCCAATCAGAATGTGTGCTGGGCAAAAGTCTCATCTGGCCCCACTCACTTTCTAAAAGAACTTTGCTAGTACCAGGAGATGTGTTGGTAGATGTCATGGCACCTAAATGCACAATGCTGGGGACCCCTGGATCAGGACTACAGGTCTTTCCTACCTCTGCCAATCTTCTGCAGCCTTTTTGTGCAACGTAGGAAATGTGCTTCTGAGGGCCAGGAACAGTATGGAATTCACTGTAGGGGGCTACAGCACAAGTACAAATTCCATGGAAATCTTGGACACTCCCATCTTGCACAGGCACTTCTTGTGTGTGGTGGAGGATGTCCAAGATTTCCATAGATTCTGGACTTGTGCTGTAGTTCCTTACAATGTACTCTACACTGTTCCTGCCCCCCAGGAACAAATTTCATATGTAGCACAAAGAGCTGCAGGAGACCAGCAGAGGCAAGAAAGATGGTAAAAAATCATTCTGTAAGTCAAACTCCACTTATGGTTCTTTATTTAACACAATACTTCTACAGTAACAAAAACAGTCTACATAATTTACTTATTTAATGCAATCTCAACTATTTCTCAGTTTGAACTGTGGGGGACTGCAATACTTAAGAAGTGGAAAAATATAACTGAATCAAATGCATTAAAAAGCAGGAGTAGCTGCTGAAAACCAAATCAAAGTGAGTATATTTCTAATCTCTAAGTAAAATATGCATATTCTTAAAAAACCTGTAATTCAGTATACACAAATTAGCATTTCATTAACATTCAAAAGACATTAGGAAATGATTTTAAGCGCTGCAAGCCACTGTAGTCACACTGAACTACGCACAAAGAAAATGGAGGACATGAAGTGCTCTTATTTGGTGAACTAAAAGTGAATTCAGAGGAGAAATATATAGCAGAATGAATGAGGAATCAGCCAGGGTCATAAAAGAAAGATGGGCATTCTAAAAGCTACACGGAAGCTTTAGCGGCAAATAGAATTTCAACACTACACATTTGCTTCTGGTGTTAGATGCTTGTAACTATGACCCTAGCAGCCTGAGTGCTCTATTAAACTACAAAGCAGTATACAGATCTCAGCTTTGAGCACAACATGGAAAGAATGAAATCAAAGATATAGTTGAAGAGAGAAATCTCTACCTGATGGGATGGGTGGGGGTTGGGGAGGAAGTAAAGTTTTAGCCTTGAGGTGAGAAAAGGACATGGCAGTATCTTTCATACCATACAACTTGGATTCTTTGGAAAGGGTTCTTGGCAGAGATGAACCACGGGACGCATTTGGCGATTCAGTCTTTAACATCTTGGAGTTGTAGTGTAGCTGAAAAGAGACAAATTGTTAGTTTCACATCGATATAGGCATGTATAGAAATATTGCTTCTATATTCACCTGCCTTCTCCTGTGATGTCTTTCTGATAACACGCTGTGCCTTATTTCCTGTTGCAAGCCAAATGGTGGGCCAGATGGCCTGAACAACTTTATAACCCACATTCTTCACACTTCCATGCTAGAAGCTAGACCTCATGGCTCCACACTCTGGCCCACATGCAAGAAGTCACGTACACAATGAGGTAGCTGGGGTTTGGGGTCACATGACTGCAGGCGGGGTCTCCAAACTCCTAGCCAATCTATACGCACGCCTTATGTGCAGCTATGGCAACCAACAATTGGCCACACACCCCTGCTACTCGTGACTGGCTACTCATGATTAGCTTGGGGTATAATTGATTGATCCTTATGGGAGTGAGCTCTCTTGCTCTTGCTCTCTCCCCTGTCAGTGTCTGTTTTACTGCACCTGAAATGCTGTCTCTTGGAAAACAAAGAGTTGCTTTGTGAACTAGAACACATGGTTGTGCAAAGATGGGATTTATCCTCAAAATCCCTTGGTACTTGGACTATGTTGGACTGATGAATACTCCTGACTGGGTAACTATGAATCTTTAATGTTTAGTTAAGGCAAACAGCCCTAGCCTTTGTTATTTTTGTAATCTCTGGTAGTCTATGATAAGCTCTGTACTGAATAAAGATTCTTCTTATTTCTAATTGTCTCTGGTGTTTTAACTGAATCCCAAGTCTAAGTCTTGTGCCTAACCCTGACCACATATGCTACCTTGGTAAGAGTAAAAGCGTGCATCTCTGGATTGAGTTGCTACTGTGTTAAATCCCAGATGCTAAGGGCTGGAATCTCTTCCTTAGGAAAGGCAGGGACTAGTGAAAAGAGGTTCTGGTGGCAAATTGTCTGAAAACCAGAGAGGGTATAGACCATCTCATGGTTTGTTGTTTAATGTACTGAAAAGTACAGGATTCCCTCTCATCCCTGGACTGGCCTAGGTGGGCTAATCCTGTACAAGGCATTCTTTCACTGGCAGCATTCACAGCCCTTTCTACTATTTAAACAAAATAATAATCCTTTAAAACACATTTTTAGAATATGGGACATATTATTTTAAATAATATTTAATAATTAAACACTTGCTGTAATACACTACAAAAAACATGTTTAGCTGTCAGTTTGCCCAGTTCCCCCTCCCTTCCCTATGCTGGGTTTTGCCCTGACCTGGATAGCCCAGGCTAGCTAATCTTGTCAGCTCTTGGAAGCTAAACAGGGTTAGCCCTGCTTAGTATTTGGATGGGAGATCCCCAAGGAATACCAGGGCTGCTACACAGAGGCAGCCAATGGCAAACCACCTATGAACCTCTCTTGCCTTGAAAGCCCTACAAGACTGCCATGTCAGCTATGACTTGACTGCAAAAAAGCTGGGTTTTTAAGTATTTGTATTTTCATTGATAATTTGATTGAGCTTTATTATTTATTATGTTTTTAATTGTGTTTCGATGTTGCCTGAAACATTTAATGAAAATATGACATGTCAGAAGGAAAGTGACAGATTTCCTGCTTAGGCTGTAGTTTGCAATCAAGGATGGGCACAAATTGAGAAATAGGTTTTCTAACTCATTGTCTGTTCATCGTGATGAAGTCTGGCCAGTTCCTGGTTCACAAACTCAAAGTCATGGCAGGTTAACTGGCACCAACTTTCCACCAGCTTTCAAGCAGTTTGTGAAGGGAGGCATTTCCAGACAGACTGTCTCTGCTCAATCTAAATGTTTACCAAACCTTAAAGCAATGGGGGGGGGGGAACTTGGAGGGCATGTAGAGGGGGCACCTTCTTTGGGGAGCCTTAACTCAAATCCCATACATTCAATCATCACCGGAGAGCAGATGGAGGTGAGTCAGCCACTGATCCCCTGTAAGTTTGGTATCTCTAGCATGCTGGGGGGGTGGCCCTGTTCTACTGCCTCACAAACCTCACCTGTTCATTTGGTGGCTAAAAGTTCATGACAGTTCATGCCCATTTTCCTGGTGTATGCCTATTCCTATTTGCAATCAACAGAATCAGAATGCTGAATTTCGATACTACTACTGAGTAACAGATATTCATGCAATTATGGAGGCCTGTACAGCCAGAAACAAAAACGGAAGATTGTTTTCATGTTTTAACAAACATGCAGTTCCAAATCAAACAACAGAGCTTTAGCTGGCAAGCTATTCAGTGTCCTTCCCAAAAGTAGCATGACACTGAGGTCACAAAGATGTATTTAACAGCACAAAACAATAGCACCACTCTTGTATCTAATGTAACTTAATTTTCACTCTATGAAGTTTCAGTCTCATCTGACTGACTCTGATTTTAAAGGAAAATATTCTCACTGTATTTTCCCCCCAAATGGTATGGAATACTAACACAACCAGTCACATCAAGGGCTTTGTTTTGATCATGTATCTAATATTAGATCCAAGTTTTCAATTCTCATGGCCTGAACCCAAGTTAAGAACACGACAACTGCCCTGCTAGACCAACCCAATGTCCACCTAGCCCAGCATTCTGTTTCCAATAGGGTGGAAACTTTATCATAACACGCCCCTATTCCTGCACTTAACTTGGCATAATGCTCCCTCTAAGCTGTGGAGTCTTGTGAACAAAAATTCTACTTTGCGAGCTACTGGCATTAAAGTTGTGAGCGAGCGATTTGCCTACTGCGTAAATGAGTTTGCTCTGGAGCCCTCCTTCCTGAGCCAAGACAAAAATGTGTGAGCCGGAGGCTAAAAAATTGTGAGCTAGCTCACACTAACTCAGCTTAGAGGGAACACTGGCAACAACATTATTCTATTAAACTGCAAAGGAGAGTGCATACTAGAAAAGCCACACATTTAATCATATCCAGAATAAGCACATTTAGAAGCATCATGAGGATTTTACTAGTTGCTGGGCAGACAGAATAGACCGGAATTCGGCTGATATACTACCCACCCTGCTATTAGTACACTTCCTACCCAAGTACAGGATCAGGGCCTGGTATTGATCCCCACCCCACCCCGGGGCTTCAGTATCATGGCAGTAGCACCTCATGAAGGAAGCAGGTGAGTGATTGAAAGCTAGGCTTATACTGTCCCATGTTTGCATCAAAGAGAATCCCAGTGTTTTCCAGCCTTCCTCTACTTTTACCTTTACGTCCACACCAGGAATGTAAAATACTGTTGTCTCCAAGTCACTGGACTTTGTCTGCAGAGACGATGGCACTTTCTTTCCAGCCAGTAAGTGAGTAGTCGATGCATAATTAGTTTGAAATTTCTTCTTTTTTGAAGGAGACTCTTGGTCTAAACTTCTAGAACTCCGATCATAACTCCTGCAAATAAGTAGCAGAACAGAGTTAAATAGGACATTATATTGCATTATGTTATTTCTGAAGTGCAAAGTGAGAGGTGTTAAAACAACTGAAGCCAAATAATATACTCCTATACATCTAGTTCGTTTTTCTGTACCCATACATTTTAATTATTCATTCCAATATCTTGCAGTCTGCAATCTGTATTACAAAATATAACCTTAGTGGTAGAACATCCACTTGGCTTTCAGAAGGTCCCAGGTTCAATCCTTGGCATCTCTAGCTAAAAGAATCAAGTTTGGGTGATATGAAAGACCATCACCCAAGATCACCCACTGCCAGTCTGAACAGACAATACTGACCCTGATGGACCAACAGCTTGTTTCAGTATAAGGCACTATTATGTGCATTCCTGTGTTTAATTCATATCAGTAACTCCCTAGAATCTGTGTCTTCCTACTGAGAGCTAGTGATAGGTATGCATGGGAACAGAGGCCACCCACTTAAGGAGACAGAATTAACACCTAAAACGCAACAGGCTATTGCAGTTAACTGTGTGGCAGCTGAGGTGTCACTATAGTAAAGGCCCTGTCTGTAGGGACCATCTAATCTATTTCTTGGGACATATGAAACAAGGCCTCCAAAAAAGATCAAAGCTGTTGGGCTGGTTCCTATGAGTGAGCAATCTCTTAAATACCTGGTCCCAGACCATTTGGGTCTTTCAAATAAATTATGAACACTTTAAAATGTGCACAAGAGTAAACAGGCAGTCAGTGAGCTTTTTAAAGACTGGACAGGCAGTTTATTTGACTGCAACCAATCCATACTGCATCCAGACACTAGTTCAGAACATCTACTGTCTCATCTAACTTTGCTGAAGAGAAGAAGAGAGAAGAGATTGGATTTATACCCCGCCCTTCACTCAGAGTCTCAGAGTGGCTTACAAACTCCTTTCCCTTCCCCTCCCCACAACAGACAACAAATAATATATATGTCATCAACATTCTGATGACCACTCATTCCAAACCTGCAGATTACCTCACTGAATGATTTTATGCAGGGCTTTTTTTGTAGAAACAGTCCAGCAGGAAGTCATTAACATAACAGGCCACACCCAACAGCAGAAACTCATTAGCATGTTAGGCCACACCTAACAGCACAGCTCATTAGAATATTAAACTGCCTTCCCTTGGCTTGCCCAGGCGCCCCGCGGCTGCAGGGAGCCCGGGCAAGCCGGCCCTTTGACAGGGCTCCCCCTGGCCCACCCGCCTCGGAGTTGCCAGGGGGGGTGTCACTCTCCAGGCCTTCCCTCTGTAGACACGCACACAGAGGTTTTGGCTTTAGTGGGCGTGGCCAACCGTTCCTGAGCGTTCCTGCCCAAAAATAGCCCTGATGTTATGCAGTTATTAGCCTGAAGGTCAAGATGAAAACTTCAGTCTCAAGGGCAATTCCACCAGAGTGATGGCAGCAGCAGTCTTTTCCAGAGGTGTCCCATTACCAGAACTCTTGGTGCACATACTAGAGCAGATGTTTCATTTCAATATGCAGCCCTGAAATACTATTCAACTGATGCATCTATACCTGCCTCCAAGCAGGTGAGCTTACTGACTTATACCCTTCAGTATGACACATAGATCACAAAATAGTAAAAACAGGCTGCTTGCTTGTAACTGTTGTTCTTCAAATGGTCATCTGTGCTTTCTCATGATCTACCTGCCTTCCCCACAACAGATGCCTTTTTACCCTGGAGAACTGTCATTGGAAGGAAATGAGCAGCATAGGCACAACTCCTCAGGACTGATGTACTTTGCAGTTGAACTTCTAAAGGGAGGAGACTTACACCAAAATCCTAGTTCTAGGAGTTTATAAATTGTTGCTCTGTGTAAGCACAAAGCCCATCTGCACAATGTACAGAGACCACAAAGAGGTAAAAATGAAATTGCACAGATGTATTGTAGGGTCACACACTATGCGTATGAATGAGGATCACGCTAAACTTCCAAATTTTCCACAGGAAACCGTGAGATGATGGAAATTGCTAATTTTGAGATTTTAAATGTTTTTACCTCCTTAAGCTTATGTCATCATGTTCTTGCTGAAGTGTTGTTGGATGAAGAACACATTTCCCACAGTCAATTTCAACTCTCACATCAAGCTCAAAATCAATATTCCTCTCTGTAGTTGTGCCAGTCACACTTCTGTTGGCTGGAGTTGTTGGCCACCGTTCAGTAAACAGTTGGTGTACAGCAGCAAAACCTGTTGCTTTCTTACGAGAAACAGGCCTGCAGAGAGCAAAGAAATATTTACATGTAGTATTTTACTATATTATGAGAGAGTGCATAAACCTACCAAAGCTATCAGGGAGGGGTGGGGGTGGGGTAGCTCTGATTAAGTACCACATGAGTCCTGGTAGCAATAAACAGTGATGATTTCCTCTAGTCTCAGCCTATGCAAGGTGCTTTGTGATCTTATATTTTATGAAAGTACAAATAATAAAAATTCTGAATTGATGCAGCAAACTTATCTTTAAATGTTCGTTTGTATTCAAGCAACTCAAAATGTTTAAAGGACATTTCATGTCTCTCTACTCAAAACAAAAGAAAAATTAAGAACAGCAATATCCCTTAATTCAGGTAATAGAACAAACAGATGTTAATCATTTTATGCCAAATAAATAGTCTAGAAGGAGAAGAGTTACTCCATGACTATGCATATGGAACGAACATGCTACACACGATCCTCCTCATCTTCTGAAAGGCATGGATTTTTCAGCCTCAATGCTCACTATGCATATTCTAGGGCTGAAAATCCATGTGCTGCCCTTTTCAAAAGAGATCGCAATTTCACGCATCAGAAGGATCATGTCTAGTGAATTTAGCCCTTACACATAGTCAAACATAAACTAAAAGGGCTACTGTCTCGCTTTCTATTTTCACTGAGAGTCCTCGCCATACTAGAATGCTAACCAGTCAAGAGTTCACAGTGAAGATTTTACACAGAATGGACTGTTTTCTGTACAAGCACCTGTAATGTTTATAATAGTAATGAGTATTTTATTCTTTAAAATATACTTACTGGGCTTTTCGGTAAAAATAAGGCTTCTCTCTCTCATGGTCTTCTTCTTTTTCAGAATCTTCACTTGTTGAAGACAAACTTTCGTCTCGTCTTCCTTCTTCAGGCTGGAAGGGAATGCTTGGTGAGAAGACAGCTGGAGTTTTGGGTGAACTGAATACTGAGCATGATCCTTCACTAGTGGATGAATAATGGGATGGACCATCAATGGTTACTGACAAAAGATCCGATTCTGACTCCTCAGGAAACTGATTATAAAGAGACAAAAAAGACATTGAGATTATAGTTGCTGCTTCTACCAGGGGACATAATCAGATGTCTTAAAAGCAAAGCAAATAATCTTCAAAGTCATATTCTGGACAGGCCAAATGAAGTCATACTAACGCAATGAATTATGTTATATAAATCAATGAGTGAATGAGCTTGATTAAACAACTCAGAAGGAGAAATGAGCAAACAAGTTATACAACAGCATTAAGCATAGATTGAAAGACATACTAGTATAAAATTTAATTATTAAAGCAAAGATATAGAAGAGCAAGATATCCTAAACCTGCCTGTAAATGAGAGAGATGAACAGAAATTATTAGTGAATGGAAGTGCATGCACAATGTTAGAACAGAATGTACTTTCTTATCTTAATAGAGATGCTTTTAAAATACTAAACCACTAGCAGAATATTGAGAATTTTAAGACACTGCTTTGAAGTAGCCTTCACCTATGGTCTATCTTGGGATCAACAAAGATCTACACATTCAGGGTTCATGCAACATTTGCTTTAAGAGTATGCAACAGGTGTTCTATGAGGACAAGACTTTAGGCTTTTACACCAAACACAATTAATGTTATTTGGGACTAACAATGTTTATGTGGTGTGGAATACTGATCTGAATTTGTATCCATCTATCATATAATTGGATGAATAACAAAATTCTTTGTCAATTCAGATAGTTGGAAACTTTCTAATAACAAAGAACATATATTAACTAAAATGCCACTAATACACAATTTAGCTTCACACAATAAATGTCTCCAGTGCATCTCTTCACTGCTTGCCTGTATGTTAGACTACAACTAGAATGGTAAACAAAATTTTGGAGTCCAAAAATTTCAAAGTTATCTAATAGTCTACCTGACAACACTGAGCCTTTAGAGACAAGATCAGGAAAAGAAGATACTGGATTATGCTATATTGCAAGTTTTCTGCCTATATGTATTATGATACATTCTGCTTGGCAAAGAGAGATGATCAATGAAGCAGATTTTCCATGCGATTATTTAGTACGCTTGTTGATTTTAAAAGTACCTGAAAATACCCTTCCCCTGGACAGCTGGACTGTTGTAAAACTGTTTTATTCAACTTAATTAAAAGCAAAAAAGAAAACAAATTAAAACAACTCTAGAAAAGAAATAGATACATCTACAGGGAAAAAGTGATATAAAATTAAATTTCATTAATAAACATAAAAATGGCTATACTTGACAAAGTACATATTGCTTAATTACTACAAGACTAAACAAGACTGAAATGAATCATATGGACAGCATGCATATATATGTAGCACTGTGTATGCATATTAAACACACATGTGTGTGTGCATATTCGTGTGTATTTGTCACCCACCAGTTACTAGAATCAAGACTGTGCAGCATCAAACTGAATAAATTTAGGGTTTTTGTTAAGAAAAGAAAATGCTATCTTCCTAGCACACTCAGTTATCAGATGACACTTTTCCTATCCACAAATCTATCTCTTACGCCTAGTTTGTATTTCAGCATGGTATTTTAATGAAATGAAGAATAATTAATGGAGATTGCCTTACTGTGTCCTGTATATTGAAAGTTACTCTGGGTCCAGGAGATGCACCATCTACACGTATTTCTGGAAGTTCTTCACTCTCTCCAAGACGTGTACTAATCAGCAAAATAAAAACAAAATAATTTATTATATTTATCAATACAAAGATATAATCTTTCTGGATTATATCATCCATACACTAATATGGAGAGACACACATTCTTCATGACTTTTTCATTACTGTGTCATTCATTTCAGTGGTGCTGTTGCACATGCCACTGAAAGCCAATGTGATGCAGTAGTTAGAGTGTCAGACTAGGATCTGAGAGACCCAGGTTCAAATCCCCGCTCTGTCATGGACACTTCCTGGGTGACCTTGGGCCAGGCAAACTCTTTCAGCCTAACCTACCTCACAGGGTTGTTGTGAGGATAAAATGGCGGGCAAAAAAATAATGTAAACTGCTTTGGCTCCCCATTGGGGAGAAAGACCAGGTATAAATGAAGTAAATAAATAAATAAGATCTAATACTTGATAGTAACAAATTGATAAAATGTATTGCAGTTATAAGACTAAATAAAATACAATAACAAATCCTTAGTTGGAAAAGCTGGATAATCAGAAATCCATTACATCATACCAAAAAATGGAACATGGAGTTATGCAGGTCAAAAACTGGGACTATGCAGATAGGGAACTGAATTCCAAAAATCCATTTGATGAACAGTAGCACCTTCCTCCATTGAACACCCTCTTGGTTCAGGGGAAGGCACCACTGTTAGCAGAACAGGTCTGTGGGATCAAAATCAGGGGCTGGATTCTCAATGGCTGCCATTGAGTTCTAAGCAACCAGGTAAACAGGATACAATAAATGACATAATTAATAGTGGGCAAAAACCCAACCCCCTCCAGACACGGGGTTCACCAATGGTGTGGGGAGGTTTAGCTATCACTCTACTAGTACCCATAATTCCAGCCCCACCCCCATAAATTGCTATTCATTCATAGTGGAAAAAATTAAGCAAGGGTTTTTGGTCAAGATTTTTGTTCTTGTTGTTCACAAATATAAGCACTCATTTTCTAGAAGTCACTTTACCTTGTCCTGTCCATTCTTTTTAGAGGCGGTCTTCCAGATGTTGTGATGCTTTTTGATCGATTATAGCTAGGTTTGTAACCTAGTCCCCATTTATCTTTTAGTGATGCTGCCTAAACACAAAGATACATTATTCATATATTAAATCTCAATGTAATTCTTATATACCTTGACAGTTTAGAAATATACAATATGTAGGAACACTTCACACCAAGGAACAAGTATTACAAACTTACTGGATAATCCAAAAATAGAAGAAGAAGAAGAAGAAGAAGAGGAATTGGATTTATACCCCGCCCGTCACTTGGAGTCTCAGAGTGGCTTACAATCTCCTTCCCTTCCTCTCCCCACAACAGACACCCTGAGGTAGGTGGGGCTGAGAGAGCTCTGAGAGAACTCCTCTTGAGAGAACATCTCTGAGAGAACTGTGACTGACCAAGGTCGTCCAGCTGGCTGCATGTGGAGGTGTGGGGAACTAAACCCAGTTCTCCAGATTAGAGTCCACCACTCTTAACCACTGCACCAAACATACTAGTTAAGTATGCTCTATTGCAGGAGTGTCAAAGATCCAGCCCGCAGGCTGCATCTGGCTTGAGAGCAGCTGACTCTGTGCTGCTTCCTGTTTCTAATGTTGCAGCTCCTTTTCCCCAGTCTCTCCTAGTTCCTGCTTCAGGGGAGAGAAAGAAAGCCTTCCCTCCACTGACTGAGGGCTCTTTCCCCCTCCCCTCCCCCTCTGGAGAGGGAGGGGGTGGAAGAGAGACAGAAAGGGGGGGGGAATGGCATCTCATGGGACTTTTCAGAAGACCAGCAACATTTTATTCCAGGTATAAGCACACTTTTTCTTCAGAGAGAGGGAGGGAGGGAGCCAGCCAGCCAGAGGTGGAGGAGAGAGAAAGACCTGTGTTTAGACCAAAAAACATTTTATTCCAGGTATGGGGGGAAGAGTCCTGCGTTTAGACAAAAAAACGTTTTATTACAGGTATGGGCGGGAGGAGTCCTGTGTTTATGACCAAAATAAGTGTTCATGCGAGGTATGGCAGGGAGTCCTATGTTTAAAACCAAAAACCATTTTATTCCAGGTACACGAGAGAGAGAGAGAGAGAGAGAGAGAGAGAGAGAGAGAGAGAGAGACCGAGACCGAGACCGAGACCGAGACCGAGACCGAGACCATCCCATGGCACTTGGAGGAACTGTGCATGCCAGGAGCTGTTCTGCCTTTTCTACAGCTTTGCAGAGTCAGAGAAGCCATTTTCAAGTAGGTTTAGGACAGGCAGCAGTTGCAAGAGAAATAAAGTTGCTTTTGCTGGCCAGCCAATTTGAGTTTCTCTCTCAGCAGACCCCAGCAAGTTTGCCAGCAACCAGCTGTCTCAGCAGGCAGACATCGCTGCAATCAATTCTTGAAGCCTGAGCTGGTGATTCCTTTGCACTAAATAAACTTTGGTTTCATTTTGTATTGCAGGCTGCCGTCCAGGAGATGGGAACTTTTAGTCCTGCCCTCCTGAAGGTAAGCAAAGTGGGTACAACTCCCTAAATTAATCTTTATAGGCTTGAACTGTAGGAGTTATTCCTAGTCATGATTAGCTTGAATTATTTACTAAAGCGACTGTAGTGGACACAACATTCACACGGGCAATAAAGAAAATTGTTTATTGTGACCACCCATGGCAACCAATGTTTACAGTGGAGTCTTAACGAATGGAATTATTTTATAGTCAATGTGGATATTGTTTGGATGGAGAAATAAAAACACCTCTGTGCGCAAGCCCTGCCCCCAGCTCCCCGGCGCCGAAAGTGCGGCGGCCAGGGAACGCCTGGAGAGCGCTGCTGCTGGGTCCCCCGGGCCCGCGCAAAAGCGCTGCAGCTTGGGTGACGCCCGGAGAGCGCTGCCTCAGGGGGGCCCAGGCCTGTGCAGAAGCGCTGCAGCTCGGGGGAGGCCTGGAGAGTGCTGCCACTAGGTCCCCCGGGCCCGCGCTGAAGCGCTGCGGCCAGGGGACATCTAGAGAGCACTGCTAGAAAGCGAGGGGCATATCATTTTACCCTCCCCCACTATTTCCTTTTTCCCTCTACTGAAAGCCCCCATGGCCTCTCCCCTTTTCATGTTTCTCTTCTTCCCACCCACCAGCCAATCTACCTTTATTTTCCCTCATCTTCAGGTTTCCCTCATTCCCTCACCTGGGCAGGGATGTGAAAAAGAACAAACATGAAAGTCATAGTTTATAGAGTCATTTAAAAGAATGTTAAAGTGCAAAAGGGATCTGTAAACACTGCTCACCCTCATACTTGATCTGCGCAGTTTTTTACGGACATCTCTGCGAATGTCATTTACAGCTACTGACTCCAGCTGCTGATAACGTTGAATTTCTTGGTTTATGGTTCCTTCACTTGCACCCAGCTTCCTGAGAGCAGTTAAAGTAATGGAAATTCTTAGTAAGTAATTAGAAGCACCGAAACAGATTTGATTATAAAGTTATAACACTGCCTGCTGAAAGGGATGAAGTTACTACTAGTCCTGTCACAGACCATTTGTACCCATGTTCACCTTCTTAAAACACTTTCCTTTTGAGAAGGTTTTTGTTAGTCTACTGAATCTTTTTACTCAAGATATAAACCAGACAATTTCTGGTAGCCACTAAGAATTCCAGGCAATGACTTGGAGCGAAAAACTGTGAAGTGAAAAAGAGTTAGTCCCTTTTTCTTAATGTGCTGCAAATATAAGAATGTGTGGGCAGAGGGGGTGGTTAAATGAAAATTTCTAGTAAGTGATAATTCTCTCTCTCTCAGTGGTTCTGGGATACGGCTGTCTTTACTTCTAAGAAATGCCTTCACTTGGTAACAGCCACAGTTCTCAGTAGAATTACAGTACCAAGGGGAGGAGAATTTATACGACCCTTCAGACTTAGCCTATTCCCTCCCAAATCCACTTTAGACATCTGCGTGAAACGAACTGGTAAACTGTACCCAAAATCATAGAATGATGTGTGCCCACACAATTTAGGTAATGTGAAAAGGAAAATATAAGATGGATAGGAAAGAGAAATATCCCATCAGAACTGAACTAAACCACTTAAAGAAGTGCGCTAGCTCTCCCATTTAAAAAGCATTAATAAAATCCTAACAGAAATGTTCTCAGCAATGAAGTAATCAGTAAAATCAGCTGCATGTTAATTTACAGACAGGCCACAAACAGAGAGGAGATTACTGACTGTAGTCTTGGAGGTGAGGATTCTACAATGCAACAGTGTGGAGAGGGTGCTGCCAGTAGCCACCCTCCCAGATGGTGCCCGCTGCTTGAATATCTATATGATATAGCATGAGAAGCTACATGATGTGAGGACAAGTTGACTATAGTTGAACTAAGGTTGGCCTGGCTTCTGCAGTAGCACTGCTGTGGCTTTTGTGGTGCCATTTCTGACTTCCATATAATTCTCCATAAGGTGATGATATGAAGTATACTAACTACAGTATGTAAGATCTATGAATCAAGGTAAGCTTGACGTGGTCAAAAATGAGATGGCAAGACTGAACATCGATATCTTAGGAATCAGTGCTCAGGGTAAAAGAGGAGAGCGCAAAAGTGGGCATGATGGTGAACCTAAACAGCATGATAAAAAGTAGAGACATCACCCTGCCAACAAAAGTCCGCATGGTCAAAGCAATGGTATTCCCAGTAGTCATGTATGGCTGCGAGAGTTGGACTATAAGGAAGGCCGAGCGCTGAAGAATAGATTCTTTTGAACTATGGTGCTAGAGAAGACTCTTGAGAGTCCCTTGGACTGCAAGAAGATCAAATCAGTCAATCCTAAAAGAAATCAACCCTGACTGTTCCCTGGAAGGCCAGATAATGAAAATGAAGCTCAAATACTTTGGCCACCAAATGAGAAGGGAGCACTCACTGGAGAAGACCCTGATGCTGGGAAAGATTGAAGGTCAAAGAAGACGGGGAGGGCAAAGGATGAGATGGTTAGACAGTGTCATAGATGCAACGAACATGAAATTGAGCAAACTTCAGAGGACGGCGGAAGACCGGAAGGCCTGGCGTGATCTGGTCCATGGGGTCGCGAAGAGTCGGACTTGACTGTGCAACTGAACAACAACAACTACAGTAACTGTGGTGTTGCAGCTGTAGGAGAGGCAGCTCTTTCTGCTGTGAGGACATGGGAAGAGAGAACAGCAGTGTTACCTTTGCTGCTCACCAAGCATGGCTTGTCTGGAATCATAGGAAGCTTCCTTCCACTGATGACATAATTTTACAGAGGATCCTGCTTGCTACAGGCTTTTCCTAGAAGATTACTGTATCCAAGATCCACTGAATGGTTTTTGGCCTAATAACACTGTGGGCTTGTTTTGCAACAATATGCTTATAATGTTCTGTAGACAAAGCAGAAGTCCACTGATTTCAACATGAGGAATAAAATAACCAATAGTATTAAAGAAAGGCAAGGAAACCAGATCACTGAAAGATTCTGAAAGGAAAAAGCACAAACATACTTACTTCAAATCATCAATTACTTTAGCTTGTTCATTCAGTTCCCGTATGTCTACTAAACGTTTAACATACTTTCTTCCTCTCTGCTCCCCCGGCTGGTTGTTAGCTGTTCCCTGCCTCCTACACTCAGCATTCTCCTATTTAAAAAAAGAAAGAATATATTTTCATTTCTTGTTCACAGTGCCTATGTTTTAAAAAGCAGAATAGATTTTCCAGCACCAATCAAAGCAGCATGCAAAATCAGTTTTAAAAGAGAACAGCTGATTCTCGATTTGCCAATGACCCACTAATTTCATCATCCGCTTAAATATACTCTATATAAACTACCTACATGTCCCCATGAGCAAGACCTGCCCGCTTTTAAGTGTGAACAGTTAGAATCAGTAGCATCACTCATCGCTGATCCCGACAGATATTCTACAGGAACAGAATAACGTTGGCTTTTGGGACTCAAACCCAGCAGGTGATTTACAATCCGCTGCCCAAAAGTGAGCTTGTGTACATCGCCACATTGTGGACCACCATCTGATTTCTAAATAATAATAAATAGCAAGATTAGTCTCAGTTCTCTTTATTGTCTGGCTCTTCTCTGTGGAATTCTACAGATATTTGATCATTCTACGCCTTTGAACATCTTCATGATACCTGGGTTTCTGTAACTCTTCTAGACCTACATATTCAAGTTACTACCTCCCTTACATTAATTGAACAATACTGTTGAAAACAGGAAAGACCAAAACAATTCTTCCAAAATTCAGCAGTCCTGGGCATTTCATTCTCATTCTCATACATACATTCTCATCTGTCACATGAGCTGATCAGGTAACCAGGATTTGACAGAATGTGTCGAGTGAATTTGAACTAGGTCAAGGTTTAATTATAACCTTTGCCAGATTGGAAAAAAAATTCACTTGAATTGTCAGATTCCTCCAATGGGACAGAATAAACGCTAACAGCTTTATTTTATGTTGTGAGCTCAACTGATCAAGTCTTTACCACTGAAACTTCAGCTATCTCTAAGCTGCTATTTAAATTATATTAGAATGACCTTTGGATATATTAATTAGTCCACTAACCATACTAACAGTGGGAGACATTGTATCAACTTCATCTTCATCAGACAGGTCAGCCATGTTAACAGAGTTAAGGTCAGCAATATCATCTAAATCTTCTTCTCCAGTCAACGTTGTAAGTGTATTTCCCAGAGCATTTAATCTTTTCCCAATGTTAGGATCCATGTGCACATCAATGCCACACATCTTCCACAGCACGTTAAGAGTCCATGTTCCAGCACTATTACTTTCTGTTTTAACAAAAAAAGAAATAACATGCTTCACCAAGAGATTCAAGGCATACTAAAACCAAAAGCAGGCATATATTTAAACATTCATATCCCACCTTTCCAGCAATCTGGAAAGCTTACACAAAATTCCAGTAAGATTACAATAAAAACATAAAATATATACACTCAATTCAAACAGCAACAATATGAAAAATAACAGTATTCAAAAACATTTGGAAAGCAACTCAAGACTTCTTTTCTCAAGAAAGCGATACAAAACATTACCACAGTTTACCAGAATCTGTAACAATTATTTGATAAAGGTTGCATTCTCATTGGTTTGGTACAAAGAATTGTTGTCTAGTTGGTATATTAAACAAAAATCAATGCAATACAGTGGTTATATTTTAGGGACAAGAAAACAAATGGACACATTTTCTGGTAACACGCTTGAGTTCTGACAAATCTTCCAAGAGACAATTAAAATATTAGTGTTACTATTTTTAAAAATTATCTGTCTTGAAGCCTCCCAGTTGATATTCTCACTCACGGTTGAAAGCAATGACCAGGCAGTCTATGAGATACTAGCTTTCTCAGCTTACAAAGGACACGTGCATCCTGATTTTCAGCCACTCCACCCACTGCAAACCTTCACAATTTTGGTGGTCTCAGAGGACTGTCATAGGAAGCAGGGAGAAAATTCTTCTTCATCTAGTGCTACTCTGCTCACACTAGAAAGGACCCACACCACTGAAACATATACCTTTTTACAGCTTCTTTGTTCACTTGTTAAGAGAAAAAGGCAACAGATTGTAGCTAAAGGGAAGTTTGGCCAGTTAGACTAGAATGCAATGACACATAAATGCGGGAAAGGGAAAACTAAACTCAGAGATTGAAATGCTTTTGAGTTATGGGGGGGGGGGAAGCTGTAGTGTAGATTCAGCCTTGTAATAAACCTTACCTGCAGCTGCCTGCCCTGTTGTCCTTGAACACACCTCATATGTACCATCTGGAACAACACCTAAAAGTGGAACCAGTATACAGTGAATCTACCATTGTACACTTTCTAGCTCAAACTTGTGCAACTATAAGTTTTTCCAATATTTCAGAAAAATACACTATTAAGTTATCTTTTAGGAGAAAGCACTGGTATTTGGACAATTTCTACACCAATTATGAATTCCTGTTTAATATTGTATTTCCCTGTAGCACAGGCAAAATTCCACATCACGTCTCCTTACTGACACAAAACTACAGTGGTAAAAGACTGTCTGTTTCTTTTCTCTAAACAAGAAGGTACCCAGACCTAGATGGTCCAGGCTAGTGCAATCTCATTAGATCTTGGAAGTTAAGCAGAGTTGGCCCTGGTTAGCACTTGGATGGGAGACCACCAAGAAAGTCCAGGGTCGTGATGCAGAGACAGGCAATGGCAGACCACTTCTGAACATCTCTTGAATGTTGAATTCAATTCATTCTCTGAAAATTCTGGAGAGTTCAGATTAGTGGTGGCCATCTATACAGATAACAGCAAACCACCTCTGTTTGTCTCTTGCCTTAAAAACCCTAAGAGGCTGCCACAAATGGCTGCAACTTGACTGCACTTTAAACACAAACAACACAACAAACAGAAATGCTTACAAGCATTCATGACTAGATCTCCTCGTACTTCTGGCTTCCAGTCATCCCAGCTTGTTTCAAAGCCATCAGCAAAGCGGATACAGAAGTTTTTAAAATGACCTTTGCTAACCAGCGATTCTGAAGAGCAGGCAGTGATTAAAGTGCTTTCAATGGTCAAGACTAATGCAGAGCCAGTGTCCAAATCAGCTGAATGGTTAGACTGTTTATAAAATAAAAAAGCAAAACATCTTATGTAAGTCTGTTTATTTCAGTCATCAGACAATTATAGTGCGGATATTTACAATTAGAGGTGCTGATTTCTCAGCCAGTCATTCTTCTCTACAGTTCTGTCATCATACACACACACACAAACATCCCATACTGACTTATAAAAAATTACTGTAGAATAACTGGGTTCTTTCTTTCCGAAGAGGTACTGGCAAGGATCAATCAACAATGGGCTACCTGGTACCTCTTCTACTATTAATCCCCAGCATGCATGCACCATTTACATTACAACAGCGGATAAACTTTCAATTAAGCCTAATCTATACAAAAAATTTCTTCTCCACCTTTAGGGGTTTAACAATAAGGATATAAAATTCCTTTAGAGCAGGGAGCATAATCTAGTTTTACAAAACATTTTACTGCAATAAAACAGTTTCAGACATCATCATTAACAAGCAAACTAGCACATGTAGAGGTCTACACACAGCACAGGTCTGAAGAATTTCCAATGTAATATGAACTCATGGGACTATCAGAAACATCTAAATCACTCACTTTCAGCTACATTCTAGTATACATGGGGAAATACAGCTCATCAGATGTTGTGATTGAGATAACACTTATTACTTACATAGTACTTATTCTGTGTTTCTTTCTGTCCCCCAAAATTAATCTTGTGCCCCTGCCTCTGAATCTGTACCAATATTAAAAGCATTATATTTATATATTTTGGTTATTGTTTTCAAAAGATCTAAAGCATAACAGGATATGCACTGTACTCAAAATGCTGTGTCACTTAAATATTGGCTTAAGTTGTATTCTATAATACAATTTATAGTATACACCATAAATCCTAATTGTTTAGTTTTCAGCAGTTAAACTGGCGTTTTCCAGTCGAGGTCACACTAGGTCTCATAAGGAGTAGTCCTAAACAGGACTATTTGGAAGCAAGTCCCATTCTCTTCAACTGGGCTTACTCTAGTGTTTTTAAGATTGCAGGATTGCTCCAACAGACAATTACTTTTTTATGGTTCCACAACATTAAGAATATATTTCAGTGACTTTCCATTTTATTCCCATTTATTAAACAATATGCTGTGTTTTGCTGAAAAGGTTTTGAGGAATGTATCTTAGCATTAGATCTTTCAGTTACAAGGTAACATTATCCAGTATCAATGGAGACATTTTATCCTATTGTACTCTAATGTGCAATGACCACAAGAGGAACATATGTGTATTATTTATCTTATCTGAGCTTTTAACAGTTTATTTATACACTGTTTCAAGAGCTTTGGCTGTGATGGAGTAAAAATTATGCACATAAATAACAACAGGAATGTCTGCTATATAATTTATGATGCGGAAAAATTGTTTTCAGATGAAGTGGGTGTAGGGTTGCCAGCCTCCAGGAGGGACTTGGAGATCTCCTGCTTCTACAACTGATCTCCAGCTGACAGCGATCTGCTCCCTTGGAGAAAATGGCTGCTTTGGGCGATGGACCCTATGGCGTTGTATCATGCTGAGGCCCCTCCCCTCCTCAAACACCACCCTCTCCTGGATCCACCCCCAAAGACTCCAGGTATTTTTCAACCCAGACCTGGCAACCCTAAGTGAGTGAGAGACTATGCTACCATTGCTTTCTTGAATGAAATGTCACAAATAAAACTTGTTATAATATAGATTTTCCCCCCAGTTTCAGGGACTCAAATGTTCATTATTAACTAACTCGTAAGATCTTTATAAATCTTCAGGCGTCATTTTATAATCCTTTAAAATCAAAACAGCTTCTAAATGAAGTTGTATATTGTTCATGGCTACTATTAGGTATGTGAGATAAAAATGATTAATAGAGAATTAAATAGTAAGAAAATACTTTTAAAGTTATTACATCCAGGCAGAGGAGCAGGATGGAATTTTTCCAAATAAATTACACAAATAGCAAATTAAATTTTACACTGAGGAAAGTATTTTGCTTTTTGGAACAGTTCATTTTCATAATATCTAACAAGCATGTTAGAAGAATTTCTAGAAATTCCTTTCTACCTCAAAATTTTTGTTCCAATGTGATTGAGATAAATTGTTAGTTTATTACTATTTTTAAAGTTCACATTGTTAGCATCAAAATATTAGCTTGGCATTTCAAACTATAGTTAATGCAATATTAAAACTTCAGGAAGTCTTTACAAAAAATTTTTGTTTGCAGACAAACTGTTCAATAAAACTGTATAGGCTTCAATACCTGTGGTGTGTTTGTGATGGGCAGGCAAATCCCTAAATCATTAACTGTTAGCTGAAGAAAGAGCGTTCCAAATGCTTGAGCAGATGTCTGCTGGATTCCAGGTAGCATGTCAACTATTTCCTTTGTAGCCACATGAATGTCTTTATGCAAGGCCAGTCTCTGTTCATTCCAGTTGTCATAAGCAGCCTTATAGTTCAGCCAGAAAAGCACAGCTTTTTAGGGGGCAAAATATTATGTACAATGTTAGATCAAAAGTGTGCATAACGTCACCTTGATTTTAGCAAAAATGAGTTGTGCCTTAGAAGAGCAAGAAACATACATGTGGTGTCTCAGTTGTGTTATGCTTCCAAAGTATGATCAAGAACAAAGGCAGGATATTACCTGTAATTTTGATTTTTTAAAAATTCAAACGAATACATTTCCCTCCCCAAATACTGGTGTTCAGAATGCATTTCTATCTTGATACAACAACAGACACATGGTCTAGCAGTACCTCTATCAAAGGCCACAGGCTGAGCAAAAACAATTGGTCTGTTTAAAGTGATGAGCACAGCTTCACGATCTGATGAGCCACTGATTTCCTCTCTGAGGGCATTTCTTAATCCAATTCTAGTCTTAAAATAAGCCACCTGATGGAAGTCTGATCCAGCTTCTTCGTAAACCTTAAGATATTACAGAGATATTAAACATGAGACTTTAACATAACAAAGGACCAAACCTGATATCATACAAACAAAATAAAATTTAGGACAGTTGTTTGTTTCCTCTCAATGTTTTACAAAGCTCTTTTTGACATCTCTTTTTTTACCTTATTTTGAGAACCAAACAGTGTGTGTAAATTTACTTGATGTTTAACCATACGAAGTATGGTAACTTACTTGATGTTTAACAATTTGTCCTAATGCCAGATTCAAATCCACCTGGCATTTACCAAAGAGCTTCAGGTAGCTGCTACTACCAGGCATTGCTTTGGTTTGTATTCTATTTGACAGCTCCAGTTCTATCAATCCTGTTTCAAATCTTACGGCCCTCATTGATGGTGTTGTGGCTGTCACCTGGATACCCTGAAAAGGAAATCAAAAGACATTAACGGTGTTGTCTCGCAAATATTTTTAAATAAAAGTTTTCAATAAGAAGTTTTCTGTCTTTCCACAAGTTTCATGAAAAAGTAGTCATCTGTTTCCTATTCTAAGCTAAACATACAAATTCTTAAAGATGTCTAATTTGATGGCAGACTACTATGAGATGATCTCTTTTAATAAGAAAAAAGTAAAAAGACTGTGCAGTTTCTTGTATTTTTAGTTTTTCCTAAATTGGAATAGGCCAGCTATCAGCCCCCACTGCCAAGAGAGTACATAGGCATCCTTTCACTATGCCTGGACCAAGATCCCTATAAATTACTTCAATGGTTATTTAAGCTAGTTGCTAATTGTTGTAAGCTACTTTGGAAGCAGCGGCGTACCAAGGGCAGAGCGGTCAGAGAGGTCCACCCCGGATGCAGGCAATAAGCATAATCTCCATCCCTGAGGGAGGACTCCCCCCAGACTCCAAAGAGCCTGGACGCTAAGGCTTGGGTGTCAGCTTGCACTTAGTACAGCTGTTTCCTCCCCCACCACTCACTAAGGATAAAAAAAGCCATCTCAAGCAAATCCTGTAGAAATTCCGCGCTGGCGATGGGCATGGGAGATTTATACTTCTGCATCAGGAAATGACTTTCATTTCCTTCTCACTTGCGTGTGCAAGGAAAGGCTTGGGGGCCATGGCCAAATGCAGCATGGCTCTAAAGAAGTAAAAAACGCAAAAAAGTCAAGGGTGGAGCAGGGAGAAGCTTGGACACCTGCAACTAGGAGTTTACCAACAGAAAGAAGGCTGCATTTTTGCAATTAGGGCACTCCCCCCTCCAGCCCTCAGCGCTACAATATATTGGCAGTAAAGGCCTTTTGGAGATGCATGTAATGCCTTAAAGCCACCTGATCCAGCCTAGACTTTCTCTTCCTGGGATGAGGCCTTTCCACTCCCGAAGGGAAAGGCCCCAACCATCAATTCCTCCCTTATCTTGGAGCTGTGAATGCCCACCACAATGTGGTAGTTAAGCAGTTAAGCAGGATGGCCAGGGGTTCCCTGATAAGGGGGAAGGGATGATTGCTTGCAAGGATAGACTGCGTAGAGATGGACTTTAGCCATTTCTCTCTCTCTCTCTCTCTCACACACACACACAAAACCACCCACTCAGGAAAAGAAAAACAAAGATGTCTCAGTTCCCCCCTCCTGACTCCAGAGAGGGGGAGTCGGGAGGAAGGAAAGCAGGCTTTCTTGCCCTCCAAGGAAAATGACTAGCCCCAGTTCCGTCTAAACCTTCTTGGGCCCAGTCTGCCTAGAGAAAGATACCCTGTTTCAACGAATGTTTCAGAATCACAGCCCCATCAGGAGCTCTGTTGGTCACAATGGAAGGCTTGTGACATCTGAAAGACTAACACAGTTTTTTTAAAAAACATCTTTCTTTATTCTTTTATTCTTTCATGGACTAGAGTCCCCAAATAAGCAGGAGTCTTGCTGTACCTTAAAGACTAACAATATTTTATTCTAGAAACAATTTATGCTGGAGTAACACTGAATTATGCCACAAGAGTGCCGCTGATTTTTCCGGCCACAGATGAAGGAGACTCACACCAAGTATAGGCAGACTCTGATCCCTAAAAAGTCTGAGAAAATCTTCCTCAGTCGCAGCCGCCATTTTTCGCTTCTCAGGAGCAGTCTCTATCCGTCTCAATGTACTTCTTTTAATTTTTAGTTTTAAACACGGCTCTCCATTATCAAATAATCTCCTTAGTCAGCGTTATCCATATTTAAGCAGAGATATATTCGTTCCCCCTTTTAACTTTTCACGGCCGCTTCATTGTGCAATAAGGGGTACTCACAAAAAGTCTTTTGTCCTTGTCGAAACCAGAGGAGGAGGATCGATAGCTGTTTCACCAATTATGATGTGTCCATCACCCGTGAGTCAGAAACATAAAAGGTTAAAAACACGGCTGGCTGCTGCTTCAGGAAAACACGGCAGCCATGTTCCTGCTGCCCGGCGCTTCTGCTTCGAGGCAAGCCGGTCTCGCCCCCGCCCTTGCCATGGAAACGGGGGGGCCGGCCAAGCCTCCTGCTCTCGCTCTTCCTCCAGAAGAATCGAGCAGAGCTCCCCCGAACCTCGGGGGGCTCCGAAAAAGCGCGCAGGAGAGGGGCGTCCCTCGGGAGCTCCGAGAGACGCGCCCGGGCGCAGCGCCGCACCGCCGGAAGTCGGGTCTGTCTTAACTTTTGACGGAACAGCTAAATGCCAGGTGAAAAGGGAGAACATCAACACACAACCATTTGTTTCCTGGAAGTGAAAAGACACACAGAGCCCCAAGAAAGAATTACTTATAATGACAGGAGGAGCTCCAAACTTGCAGCAGGCAGCCAGCCTCTACCTTCGTTAAATTTTCATGTTAACCTTGCTGCATGCAGCATTTAATTAGTTGCGACCACGTGATATTCCATATAGACAGCCCCCTTGGACCAGAGGATCATCTAAGCCAGCAATGGCCAAGCAGAAACTCCTGGGAACTCCACTGGGAGGCCAAAAGCCCCTCCAAATGGCGGAGAGGCTGCATTCCCCATAAAAACTCACTAAAACAGCTTGAAGGTATAAGGTGGCGTTTAAGCAACAGGAATGGGGAGGGAGGATCCCGCTTGCGACTTGGGCTCTAAACGCCCCCTCCCCTCCCCAATTTCAATCCAAAGCCCCCTACAGATCCAAGCGTCTTCTAAAAGTACTGCAACTAGCGTGAAGCCCCCACGCACTGAGCACTCGCGCAAGGAAAGCAAAGTTGGGGGTCACATCCTCCTTCTTGCCCCCACATGCAGGTGAAGCTGCCTCACGTCGAGTCAGACCCTTGATCCGTCCAGCTCAGCACTGTTGTGTCCCTGGAAGGCAGGCAGAAAAAGGTCTCTCTCTCAGTACTCGCTTACCCGAGTTCTCTTTCGCCCTAAAGATGCCAGGGATCCCCCTCTTGCAAAGCCACGGCGAAGGACACCCAGCCGGGAAGGGCAAAAGGAGGAAGAGAAGGAAGCCCTGACGGGCGGGACGTCAGGAGAGGAGCCACGGACGACATACTTATCCACCCACCGGCGCCTCGCAGGCCCACCACTTCTACCAAACCGGCTGCTTCTCTAACCCAGCGAAGGCTCAGCGTGCCCGCGATGGCTGGGCCTACCTACCGCGCCCCTCCGACCTCACCTCTGCTCTCGGATCCCCCTCGAGACGCCGACTAAGCGCGTTCCCGCCCCGCATGATCCACGAAAAGAGCCGGTCACTGGGGAGGAGGGAATCAGCCTGGGTAGTTTTCCCGTCACTCAGGAGGCGCCGGGGGCTGGTGACCCTAGCTAAGTCAGCGCACTACCGCTAAAACGGCTCCATGCGCGCAAAACAGCTCCCAGGTACGACTCCGCGGGAGGCGCAGCTCACCTCCGCAGCTACGAACCCAGCTCGCGCACGGACTGAGCGCTAGCCTCCAATAAGTCTGAGAAAATCTACTCCCGGCTGTATAAATGTCTTTTAAAGTGATCTTGAGTTGTCCTAATATCAGGAAGAGTGGAACAAAACCAGAACTAAGAAACACTGTAATCTAAATTAATGCCTTAAAAACAAAGGAATCCTCCAGGATTTCTGTTTCCCATATGACATTGCTTTCCCCAATTCCTTTTTTATGTTGCTCTACTTGTTTGGTGTAGTGGTTTGGTGTAGTGGTTAAGTGTGCGGACTCTAATCTGGGGGAACCGGGTTTGATTCCCCACTCCTCCACTTGCACCTGCTGATGTGACCTTGGGTCAGTCACAAGTGCTGGCACAGCTGTTCCTGAAAGAGCAGTTTGTGTCAGAGCTCTCTCAGCCCCACCCACCTCACAGGGTGTCTGTTGTGGGGAGGGGAAGGGAAAGGAATTTGTAAGCCGCTCTGAGACTCCGAGTGAAGGGCGGGGTATAAATCCAATCTCTCCTCTCTCTCTCCTCTCCTCTCTCTCTCATGGCCCTTTCAGTGACATTTCAGTTTGGAAAAGCTACTTTGACCCCCGTGGCCTTCTTCATACTGACACCAAGCGGGGCTGGCATCTCTCTTGCGTTGCCAATGGGAAAGGTGGGAGGAGATGAGGCAGAAATCTCTGGTATGAGGAATGAGATGGGGAACTGATTCCCAGAAGGGTGTGTCCTGAAAATTCCTCAAACCCCGCCTTCTTTCTTGCAATGCAAACCCAACCACAGATGCTTTGAAGACCCTCCTCCTCTCTCCCTCCTCCTGTCTTTGCTAGGATTGTTTTTTCGCAACAATGGGTGTGTGTTTCAAAGAAAGAAAAGCCTCTCTCTGTTCGCGGACTTTCTATGGAGGTGTAAGTGAGGTGTTAAAAAAATTACCCACTCCAACTGTCAAATATACTAGGTATGCCAGTGTTTGGAAGCCAATTCTTTTGGCTGAAAAATGAGGTAGAATACAACATAATTAAAAAATAAAATAAAAGTATGATTAAATCTAGGGCTAATCTTAAACCTTAAAAGGCAGAACAGTAGGGATCTGTTACCTCTGGTGAAGCAGGACAGACACAGAAAAAAGAACAAGAAACACCCTCACACTGAGAACGAGTTAGTCTAATAGCTGATGCAAACCTGTTTGTTTTGGCCCAAAAACTGATAGATGCGTAACCATTATCATGATTTTAAAATGGGGAAAAGGTACCACTAGTCATGCCGTGATGAACATACATGATATAAAAATACCTTAAACTGCAGACTTAAAGAGTAGAGGAGAACCTTTGGCTTCTCTCCATCCGTCGTTCCATCATGTTCATTCCAAAGAGGAATAGGTTGTTCTCCTCCTGCAGAATTTTACCAAGGATTACATGTTTTCACATTATTTATAAACGAAACCTAAGTGTGGAGTAGTGGTTAGACCAGAGGTGTCAAACATATGGCCTACAGGCCAGATCAGACCCCTCCAAGGCTGCTATCCAGCCCGTGAGCAACTGGCTCGTTCCTGCTTCCGTTCTAGGGCTGCTGCTGCATTGCAGTTTGCTTTCCCAGGTTTCCTCAATCTCACGGAAAAGGTAGACAGCCACACCTCCCTTCCCTCCATTGACTGAGTCTCCTCCCCCCTCCTCCTGTGGGAAAAAGGGAGGGGGAGAGAAAGAGAGCATGCACCAGAAACAGCAGAGTTGGAGTCAGTCCCATGGCACCCTTAAGACCAAGAAAGTTTTGTTTCAGGTATAAGCTTTTGTGTGCAGGCACACTTCTTTGGAGGGAGGGGATATTCTTCCGCTCTGCTGTTTACTTTGAGACTTGATCTCTGTCTCTCTCTCTCTGTGGGAATGAGACAGAGTCTCTGTTCCCTCCATTGACTGAGTCTTCCACCTCCTTCTCCTTTGGGAAGAAAGGGAGGGAGAGAGAGAGAGCTGCCAGAGAGAGTAAAATTGGAGTCAGTCCCTTTAAGACCAAGAAAGTTTTATTTCACTTCTTTGGAGGGAGGGGGATTCTTCAGAAAATGCAGTGCAAGATCCAGGAGGTGGCTGTTCTGGAGGCTGAAGTTTAGAGCCATGTGGTCTGCTGGTTGCAACATGTTGTTGGGGCTTCTTTTTATTTTTCCTCTGTCATGCATGTGGCCAGAGGTTTAGCAATCTCTGCAAACACTGCTTTTGCAACTGGAGGTGACAGATGGGAGAAGGGCCGAGGTGTCTGCAAGCAAAGTTCTATCTCCATCTGCCCCCCCCCCTTTTGCAACAGGCTCTCCTGGCAACAAGTTGCAAGTGCTTCAGCAGGGTGTTTCTCCTCAGCTGGCAATGGCCAATGGAGGGGAGGGAGCAGCCTATCACTCAAGCTCTCCCTTCCAGTGAAGAATTAACTCCTCATCTCCTGGATCTCTGAAATTGCTGCACTAGGAAACCTGTTGTTAAGTGCAATCCATCACAGAGGGGCTTTTCAAAGGCTCTTTTTGCAGATTGTTACTAATTTTATTAATCTGTGAAACAATTAATTATGTGACATTTATTTCCTTTTGTCTGTCCTGAACTGACTGTCCATCAGCTTCATTTGATGCTCTCAAGTTCTCTAGCATTTTGGGAGAGGGGGGAAATTCCTCTTTGTCAATGTCAACTATCTCCATCCCATGCATAATTTGATAAACCTCTCCTGGAGAGCCACCACCACTCTGAATAGATCTGGGGGGGGGGGGGGGGAGGCTAGAAGCTTGTAATGCCCAGCCATTTCATGTTTTCCCTTGGGTCCTAGGCTCAGAGCGTTGACCATGAGAGCAGGCTGGGGAAAGGGTTTCCTCCCCACTCCAGGCAGCATGGGGGCATTAGCCCAGTGCTGCACTGCTGGTTCTCCAGTTTGCCTATGTGGATTTTCCTTTGCACCTGATTTGATGCAATAATATAGAGCAAGAGGTGTTAAGTTATCAAAGACTGTTAAATAAACAAAATATTGCAAGAGTGTTGGTGTTTTAAGTATGTTTGTATTTTAAGTAAAAAAATAATATATTTAATTGTGTTTGTCTGTGCCCTTTATAAAGTTTATATATTCACTACCCAGCATTACATTTTATGGCATGCATGGCCTGACCTGACAAAGTCACATTTATGTCAGATCCGGCCCCCATAACAAATGAGTTCGACACCCCTGGGTTAGACTGTTGGACTCGGATCTGAAAATCCGTTTGAATTCCCAGTCTGCCATGGAAACTTGCTTGGTGACCTAGGGTTGGTCATAGACTTTCAGCTTAACCTATCTCACAGGGTTATTGTGAGCATAAAATGGAGAATAGGAGACCAATGTAAGCTGCTTTGGGTCTCCACTGAGGAAAACAGTGGGACATAAATGAAGTAAATAAATATGATCCATCCAACACAGCTTTCTTGAAGAAGGCTTCTTATTCTGAAGTCAATCTTTTAAAAGAGGATCAAGATTTGAAAGTCCCAAAAAGTATGGCACTGATTTTTCTAGCACATGATGATGATTTTTTGCTTCATACACACCATAAACACTGGGTTGGCTTCAACCAGCTTTTCTACTTGTGAAAAAAGACCATTAAAAATGTTATGCTGAAGATTATGGGACCTGAATGAACAAAAGCCATGTAGGAAAGAAGTTGTAAGGAAGATAATTGTGTGAGATCTAGGGGAAAAGCTGGCTCAATCTAACCTACTAAGAAGTAAAATTTAACTTAAATTCCAAAGACATTATACTTACCTGAAACTTTCTGTATTACTTCATTGACCTCTTTCATGAATACTTTCTGTACAAAAACTAAATGGTTCAAAAGGTCTGTTGTAAGATTATGTTCAAATGAACCAACCTGGCAGAGAAACAGACATCTATTCAGATTATGCTTATCATGAAAGAATGCATGATAAATCTAACTTCAAGAACACAGCAAAAAAATTCAACATTTATTCCTGCACTAAAAATTTCCCACTCTAAATAAACCAGATTAAAAATTTTTTAAGAACAAGAAGAAGAAGAAGAGGTTGGATTTATACCCCGCCCTTCACTGGGAGTCTCAGAGCGGCTTACAAACTCCTCTCCCTTCCCCTCCCCACAACAGACACCCTGTGAGGTGGGTGGGGCTGAGAGAACTCTGACACAAACAGCTCTTTTTTAAGGACAGCTGTGCCAGAGCTTGTGACTGACCCAAGGTCACATCAGCAGGTGCAAGTGGAGGAGTGGGGAATCAAACCCGGTTCTCCCAGATTAGAGTCCGCGCACTTAACCACTACACCAAACTGGCTCTCTGAAATTGTGTGCAAAGAGCTACATGGTAGCAGCAGAACTATGCTTCAATCTTACAATATAGCAGTATTCTTCAATCAGTGGTATGTGTACCACTGGTGCAACACAGGATTTCTATAACTACTACCGAGATTTTGCTTATCCTCAATGATAAATATAATAACAGACTGCCTGTAAACATATAAAGGTCCTTCTCAGAAAAAGCATGGTAGGACCCAGGTTTTTTGACAGAATGATTGCTGGAAACGTTAGATATGAAAGGCTGAGAACCACTGTGTTACAGTATCACAACAAAAATACCGCTACATGCAGAAACAACTGTTAATATACATGTATAATAAGAGAACTTTCTGAGATAGAGGTAGTCTTGAATACGAACCTCAGCAACACAACGCAAGTAATTTCCCTGTAGATAATAACCCTGTTTAGTTGGTAGTTCATCTATACTCCATGTCTGATCTGTATAGCTGTCATGCTCCTCCATGATGTATTTACCCGACATGGTTACAGGAGGAAGGTTAAGACTGGCTGACGGAGGGATGGTAGACATATCAGTGGCAGAGACTTTAGAAGTAAATCGCAGCCTGTGATTTGGCAACTCAAATGTAAACCTTGTTTGTGCACCTGTGAAACCAGGAGATACACCTAAATTTAGTATTCTATATTAGCAGTACAAATAACTACAGAAACCGCCACCTTCTTTCTGCTTCAAAGGTCAGTACTACCCATTCTCTCTCTGCAAGTGAGGCTAAAGCAGCTCAGTTAAATTGGCTGTGTGTGGGGGAAACATTTCTCTCATCCCAAACCCCAACCAGATTTTCACCAAGGTTCACGTGTGGCAAAGATGTTGTGGTTGAACTTTAGCAGATGTAGACCATAGTAAAAATGTTGGAAATTCTGAGAACTGTTCATATGCCTTCATGGCTGTTCTTTCAATGGCGATATGCATGACAAAGGGTTTTTCAATATCACAATATACACTGATAATAATTAACACTTTCCAAATTACAAAAAAATGGGAGTACTGTCATTTTAAAGTCTCCAAAGAAAGCCACTAGATTAGTCCTTGCATAAAAATGAGATGTCTAATATGATGTTCCTCAAAGACCAAAGTCATAACCAGGAGGAATGCATGTTTCTTTACTCGTAAGCATAAAGCACTCAGCAGGACTTATGACATTTTCCCATTAAAATAGCCCAGTCCCCGAGCCTTGGCACACTATGAATTGCTTTTGCTGTACTCGCAAGTTTTCAAAGAGATTCCCCAGCAATACTGAAGTGCTGCTGTTATTAAATAACAGCCAAAAACCTTTACATGCAAATTTTGTCATGAGTTATGCTGGACTGTAACCAAAAGCAGTATTTCAAACTGCAATAAGTGTTGACCAATAGTTACTATATAACTTTGTTCCTGTCCTCCTAGCAGGTAGTTAAAAAAAAAAACCCGTAATGACCACATGCCCAAAGAAGCTTTTGACACATATCTCTTCAAGCATCCCTTCATGCCACATACAGAGTTTATAGGTGGGAGTCATCAAAGGAAAGCAGTAAAAAAGTGACTGGAAGCATCTACGCTTTTTAATGTGCCCATTACAAGTAGAATTATTACATGATTATTATTATGTATTACAAGTGGAATTTGAAGAGAAGCAATATAATAATAATATTATATTTGTGATCTTCCCTAAATAGAGATCTATGAAGCTTCATGGAAACATGGTTACCTGTCATTCCATGGCTTCTCATTCTTCCCATCTTGTACTCAGCTTTTAAGGACGGCAAGAGGGCTGCTCCAATAGCAATTCCATCAATCATGGCACTGAATTTAAGAACAATGGGCTTCTTCTCCAAGCCTTCAGGCAACTGCGGAAATTCATTGGTTTCAATAGGCGTCTGGTTTACGCTTGTAGGCGTCTTTTCTGCAGGTAATGGCATTGCAGTATCTTCTTTTGTAGGCTGTGGTCTGTTTATATTTTAAAAAAACACGAATTATTAGACACGATAAAAGTTGGATCCCAGTTGCCTGATTACAATATATAATATGGGTGTGACCGCGCAAATTTACAGGCAGTTTCCACATGGCAACCTATGTCAATTAAAATACTCACACTGTAGATGGCTGCCTGATGAGGTCAGAGATCTGTTTTGAAAGCTGATGAGAACTCCGCACCATCATGCTGTGAAGGGTAGCCGGATGCTGAGGAATGTTGATACTAATAGCACCTACTTTGAATACTGCAGCATTATTTGTTTTCAGCCCTCTTTGGGCACTGTAAAGAGCCTGTGATTTGGCAATGCTGCATTTCACCACCGTTCTAAGAAGAAAATTGTTTATATGTTTTTAAAAATAGTTTCAAAATGCAGAAACATATTTTGCATTACTAATGAATTATGTTAAACCAAGTTGAATAATTTATTAGCAATTTCAGGAAGCATAAAAGCCATGCTTAATTTGTAAAACATACCAGTTTCTGAAAAGCATACTCATCAAATCCAGAAGACTGGATTATGTGGAGTTACCCACTAGCAACTCAATAGTTCACAAAGTTTACACATTTGGCAAACCAGCAGATGCAAATGTTCAGTTATTACCCTTCAGGAGATTCCAAATCCAGAACTTTAACCAGCTTTTGAAACACCAGCCAAAGATGATATCAAATTAAGCACGGGTATATGGATCCATATTGTCAGTTTATGCAGTCATTGCGTTTAACAAAGTACATGACCATGCACAGCAAAATAATCACCACAAAAAAACCACCAACAACAGTACATTTGTGAACAGGAAAGCTACGTACACACAAACACCATGCATCTGTCTGTACAAGATTTTATTCTATTTCATTTATGAACAATTTTTGCTACTGATTACTACCTGGAGAGAAGTTTTGCAGTATCTAACTTGAAGCAAATTCCTTTATCTAGCAAAACACTAACATTTATTCTCAGAACACACAAGCTTTTAATGACTATTATATTCCTGATGTGAACTGAAAACACAAAAAAGCATTGAAGCAAAAAATATGGTTATTATTTGAATATAGCTGATAGTGCCTCTCCCATCCTTCACTCAAAACTTAATTGTACGTTTTCATGGCTCAATAAGTAAACTTCCACACTTTCAACCCAATTTTAAACACGAGATTCAGAAAAACCATTGCCAGAAGTAGTACTGGCTAGGAATCCCAGCCCCCCGGTCTGGGAGGGGGATCCCCTGATTTGGAGCAGGCTTCGTCACTGCCGGCCAGGGGAAATCCCACACCAAATGACATTTTTGGGCCACCTCCAGTAAAACTGGAAGCACTGCCCCCAATGCGATGACATCATCCAGAAGTTACGTCATCACACAGGGGACGGTCTGGTATTTGCACAAAATCTATGGTTTGTTCCGGCATGGTGACGTCACTGCATCAGGGACATCGTGCAACATGCTCCCCAAAGCTCCCGCCGGCAGAGGTAGGGGAACTGGCAATCTTATTACTGGCTCTGGAAAATGGAAGTTCCTCCTACATTTGAGACTTTTGCCAGTTTAAAGAGCAACTGGAACCTCCTAGGCTCCCAGGTCTTCTAAACTGCAGTCATTAAGCTTTTCCAGTGGTAAAAAAGGGAGGAAAGGGTCCAATTTGACATGAAAAACATTGTGTTGGGAACCATGGCATCTACATGGACAAAAGTCATTTGTGCGGTGATAAGGAGAGGAATGGGCCAGGACTGAGCAAAAAAGTTGACAACATCTCACCCATTCTACAAAAGTCCCAGAGATTTTATTAACATTTACTTCTGTGTAAGTGCACTTAGTAGTTTTTATACTACTTTGCTCAGAGACCTGTAGCTTATGTGGAAGAACAACCCAACCCTTTTTTTCTATATATTGTTTTGGTAAGTTTCACACCCAAGGTCACTTTAAAATCTCTCATGCACAAAGTAGCTTTTGGTACACAAGGGGCATTTCTGCTCAACTACTGTATCAGAGTCCCCAACATATTTGATTCTGTGTACACCTTTGTGGGTTTATGAGAGGGAGCAAAATGGCTGCTACAGAAGGTGGAGCCAAACTCAAAAGGACTGCTGTAGGAGTCATACCTCCTGGGAAAAAGGAAAGCCTGAAGGGTAATGAAATCATGCACTGACTAAGGAAAGCATAGGTGCTTACCAATCTCCATATCAGCCCTGCCTTACAATGGCCTTGGCCCACCTTCTGAAAAGCTCAGCAGGCACCAAGGGAAATACTGGAGGGTGCCATGGCACACATGGGCACCACACATTAGGGAACCCTGTGCTGTATCACATAGAAGGGTATGGTCCTCAGTCAAATAAGATCAATCAGCTCCTGAAGTAAATGGGACGAGTTTCTTCTACATTCCTACCTCTAAGCAACATTCAGAGTTCAATTCTCTTTGGCATGTCTTTAAACTTTATTCTTTAACTGGATAATTACAAGCTATTTTGTTTCAGATTTCTTGTTTCATGCAAGATGATAACACTGAATTAAGCATGTGGTACAATTTTATATCTGGCATTTCCAAACTTTTGAGTGTTGAACCATGAAACTATATGAATGTGTGTGAGATTCTGTTCCACTCTGCTGTTAATCAATATTGAACTCTTGATGTTGGATTTATAGCAGAGCTGTTATGTGTAATTCTTCAGTGGTATTGTGTTTTTCTATGGAATGTGTTGGTCTTACTGTGCTTTTACTTTTATATTGTGAAAAGGTTAGATTTTAAAAATAAATAGCAGGGCTACATATCTGAACCCAGAATACTGCAGCAAGTTTAACTGTATAAAGTTTGAAAATCCAAGACTGTTCTGTGGGTCTTACAGATTGACAAACTGCTTGTTATATAAACTGTTTTCCAGAATGCTGCAATCAGGATTTTGATACTGGTGAATTAGTGACACTCCTGTAAAACAGAAATTTCAAGGGGAAGGTTATAGTGGCCAACATGTTGCTTCTACGGCAGGAAGCCCATTTCTTCCAAGTGCACCTAAAAGATATAGCTTCCCCTGTACAAGGTTCAAGCTTGCAGTCCTGGGGTTCATCTACACAAATGACTACAAAGTCCTTATGTTCACTGGGCAACAACACAAGGACTTCGCATCGAAAATGCAATACGAATTTTCTTTGTCCCACACACACACTGACTCTTTTCTGTTTGTGACCAAAGATGACAGGGAGAAGCAGCTTTATCCTCTTCCCACCCCACCCCACCCAGCTTTTCTTGCTTCTGCAAATTGCCCAGTGGAGCAGTTATCGGCTCTATAGTGCAATTAATACATAGCCATGTAAGTAAACATGATTTTAACAAAGAAGCCAACGGCTCCATCAGGTGTTTGCAAAAAACGAAACAGCAGGGGGAGAGGCTAAAGCTGCTTCTCCCTGCCTGCTCTGGCTATGAGCAGAAAAAATGGTATGTTTAGGAAGCAGACAATTCCCTTTGCAAGTCTGAGACAATGTCCTTATAATGTAACCCAACCCACTGCTACCACCATACACCAGATGTCCAAGACCAAACACGACAGGTGCCAGCAGCAGCAGGAACCTGGGGAAGCTCTGCCTCTGGCCCACTGGCTAAGACGAACCCTGTAAACTCCCAAGAGTATTTCTCAATCCACTGCTATGCTCAGGTCTTCAGGAATCAGTAATGGCTATGAGTTCTTTCAAATTCCAGTCCCCTCCACTGTGGAACTCCCTCCTTCCCGGAAACTTGCCAAAGGCTATTCATAAGCCTCTTCCAGAAATAATGTAAAATGTGTTGATTTTAGTTGGCTTTTAGTAGCCAATGACAGGTTTAAAAAAAAATAAATCAAATTCCACCCTAATATATGTCAAATGGGTAGGATCCAGCAGAATCTACAGCAGAAAGAACACAGTTGTCTGCTGCACCCCTTTCCTCCAGAAGTCCCTTCAGTTCCCAGGAAAGCTGATTCCTGGGGTTGCAGGACTAATGTGGCCTAATGGGTGAGGAGGGTAAGGGGGTTGCAGCAGGGAAGGGGATGAAATCATCTGTCCCCTCTCTTCTTTCAATAGAGGTGCACTTGCAGAAGAGGGGGGCAATTTCACCACTTCTCCCTCCTTACTGCAGCCTTCCCCAAACCCAGGTGTCTGTCAGTTCATGAAGGTTCTGTGACCCCAAGAAAAACTTTTCCAGGATTGGGACGGGGCGGGGGGGGGGAGAATATGGCAAGAACCTGCGTCTACCAGTGCCTCCCACTGAAAGATCTATTGGAGTCAGTCCTAACACTGTTACCTATGCTACCTCTCTGGGAGTTTCCAGTCCACAATTTTAGCAAATAAATAAGTGATCACAGCCAGGTTTAAAAAATTTTTATATTCAGTCTTTCCTATCAAAATGTGTAACACTATAGCCTCAAGACTGCACTGTGTTATCTCCAGGGGTCATTTCCTGCAGGAGCGCACAGGAGTGGAGCTCCGGCAGTAAAGAAACCAGGGGGTGGGCACATGCAACAAGCCCCGCCCCTGATCCCAGCAACCCTGGGCCACAAGGAGCAAGAAGCAGCCAGGTAAGTTGCAGAGCCCCCCCCCCCAAGATAGCAATCCAAAATAGCCCAGTGGCACCTTAAGGCCAAGGTTTATTCAGATACAAGCTCTCCGTCCTCTGTGAGGGTAGATCTGCGTGTGTCCCCCCCCATAGCTAGCAATCCAAAACAGTCCAGTGGAGCCTGAGCAGTGGGTGTTGCCTTCTGACACCCTTCCGGTGATGTCCGGGGGGGGGGAATATGCAAATAAGTTATGCTAATGAGTTATGCTAATGAGCTCCTGCACCTCTTTTTCTACAAAATGACCCCTGGTTATCTCAGATAATTTCAGAGCATGCCAACTTGCTTTGTGACACTGGTTAATTGCCATGAGCAATTACACAAGGATCATTTCACAGACACTTTTTTTTAACTGCTAAATAATTCTAAATGTTGTTGCCCAGAACCTCTACACCCTGACCTGGATGGCCAGGCTAGCCCAAATCTTGTCATATCTTGAAAATTAAGCAGGGTCAGCCCTGGTTAGTTTTTTGATGGGAGACCACCAAGAAAGTCCAGGGTTGCTACACAGAGGCAGGCGATGGCAAACCGCCTCTGAACGTCTCATGCCTTGAAAACTCTACAGGGTTGCCACAAGTCAGCTGCGACTGGATGGCACTTTCCACCACTAGAAACTCCACAGATATGACAGCTAAAAGAAATAATCCCACAAAATTATGAATAGCTCTTTTATAAAAATAAAGCAAGACTCTCAAGCTCAGATTTGATTTTACACTTGAGAGTGAGTGTACCTAAACTTTCACAAAATATATGCCATTATGTAGCATAGAAATATTTTATCAAATATTGTGGAAGCAAATCCTTTTAAGTTTATAATATACAATGTGAAAAATCTAATAAATAATGAACTGCATCTGAAAACCTTCAGCAACCTGCTAAAAACCATTTGAATTATTCCCTGCAATTCCTCAAGCTAAAATAAACCCCATAGAAGATGTCCTGAACAGACCAAAAACCTGCTAAAACTAGGATGTGGGTGGTTTGGGCCTACCCTGGAAGTCCTGCCTAGCTAAAATGTGGATTTCCAATCTAGATTTCAGTTGGGGCAGAGTTTATTCTCAATCTTGTTTAGGATTGTGTTTGCAACATAAGAGACTTTAAAATACTATTTAATTCCCTCCTCCTCTTTTTAAAAATCTGTACCCTTCTTCTATGACAAAAACAATTTCAATAAATTCTATGATATTAGATGCTGTATGTGACCTGCCCCCCTCAGTCAACCAACACAAACTAGGATTTTGAAGAACCAGGTTTGAATTTATATTCCATCCTAGGAGCTCGCTGGATAATCTTCGGCCAGTTACTTACTCTCTCTCAGCCTAACTAACCTTACAGGGCTGCTTAGTAAGGCTAAAGCAGATCAAGGGGGAGTGACACTGTAAGCTGCTTTGGGTCTCCCCTGAGAATGTATGTATACATTTATATCACCCTGAGCCTTCGGGGAGGGCGGGATATAAATTCAAAGATAAACAAACAAACAAACACTGGCCCTATTTTGGATCACAGCAATATGGGATTCTGAGGCATATCCTGAGCTCCTTGAACTCTTGTTGCATATAGAGAGAGCCATTCCCAACATGTCAACAGTGAGCCAGCTTGTGTAACTTAGCAGAAATGCATGTAATTAAAACCAGCCTAACTGACTTGTGTGATCACCACAGTTTGCATTAGTTTATTTGTACAGTGCATGTATATTCCATTGTGAAAACCAAGTCAGCTTACATCGGGTTCCCAGCTGATCTCCCATCCAAGCACACAGGCACATACCCGCTTAGCTTAAGCAAGGCTGCTGTATCATGTGCCCACCATATCCTGGTCCATACTGAAAGTTATTAGCAACTGTAGAAAAGCAGCTCATCAGCAAAGCTACATTTATAAAACCCTCTAACAACTACCTTCTGTGCTGATGTTTCCAATCTAGGCTGATTAGTATGTCCTATCAACTATATTCTGTTTTTCCTGCACATTCACTGCAATTATGGAGCAGCTGGGTACATTTCAAGACAATAAAATGCATCCTAACTATACCACACACAGTGCTAATTGCAAGCCATTTAAACGTAATGCAACATACAGAAATTCTTCTTTGGCTGTGCTTCAATCCTCCAGTCTACAGGTGAAGATTGGAGATTGCGAAGAAACAAAAACAAAGCAAAATAAAGAATAAATAGTCATGCAGAAGAAATTAGTTAAGTATTTGTAACCCACAATTTGACCAATACACTAAAATATTAATATTTAGAAGTGATCTCTCACAGGCAAAGGAGCCCGTTTATTTCAATTAGGATACCATTTATGATTGCATAAAGGGATCTGTATACAGAGGCAGTTCCCTTTCTATTGAAGCAAATTACTATACATAGACAGAAGCAGCAAGTTCACACTTTTAAGGAAATTTTATATAATGCAGAAAACAGAAAAGTAGTTTCAGAAAAAAGGATCCAACAGTTAGCTGGTTTTTCATGGCATTTCAAATCTTTCAATTATGAATATTTTAATAACTAAGCATACTGAGGGTTAGCTTGGTAGTTCTGAAAAAAGTGAAAGTAAGCTCCTTTTTAAAACCAAGAATGCTCTGTATTGTCTTGCTATTCTAATTTAGAAGGATCAAATGGAAGAAAAAAATCCATGCACTTTCAACTCAGTTGTGCAAAACATTGGAAAAGTGGATCAGTTAAGCAAAGCTGTCAAAGTGGTATTCATGCACAAAAGGTGAAAACATCTGTATTAACATCAGATGTTAATTGTAAACAATGAAGTAATTAGTATTATGCAGCACCGCAGTCTCTGAAAAGACATGTTTGCATATGAGGCACACAGCATAAGAAGTCAACTGCTGTTTTAAGAATTTCCATAGCTGGTCCAGTGGCTCTAGCACAATTTGGATGGATCCTGCCAGTCTGCTCCACTGGCACTGGTGCACTGCTCCAGCATTTGAACTTTTTGCTAATGCAAAAGCCTCCTCTCCAGGTAGAAGAATCTGTTACATCACCAGAAGGCACCTTACATAGAAACAACAAGACAGCAGAACAGACTGACAAGGTTCAACCCACTATTAACATTCTTGTTGTAATAAAGCTGCACAGCTCATGAAATTCCCGATCACAAAAATCAGACAGAAATTTGTCCACTATCCCATAACCTGATACTAGCAATTCAGCTATAAAACTAAAATAATTAATTTCAGGTTGAAAGGAAAGGGAAGAGAAAACAAGAGGCGTACTTAGGATAAAATTACAGTGAATAGAAGATGGGCAAAGGACAAAATGCTTAGGGGTTGTCAAAACCTGCCCTGGCTAGCATCTCTCAGATCCATTCATGCTCATGTTGAGCCAGAATTCCTCCATAGCTGAGTGGGTTCTGCCTCTCTAGTTTCTGAATTTGTGCACAGCTCCCTCACTGATTGGGTCTAAGTGGCCAACCCTTAATCCGGTATTCCCAGCAACTGAGCAAAAGTGCTAGGTAAACTGTAAAACAAAACGGACATTATTATTAATCTTTTAGATTTAAGATGGCTTCAATGATCATTCTAAATACAGATGTGAATAGATATTCTATGAGATTCCAGCCACTTCACACTATGAAGCAGCTGTTCATTAATACTATTTGTCCCTGAATATCATTTGTGGGTGCAGTTAAGTACCCAAAAGGAAGACAGAGGGACTCATGAAAGACAGTTCTTTGTTAGTGACTTTTCTCTCTTAGTTTTCTTCCACATTGTAGAAATTTAGTTAAATTCAATGCCTAAGAAAGCAGTATTGCTCTTCATGTTATTTTGTTTGGGAATAATGGATGCTTCCCAACTGGTTAGAGAATCCTTATAAACGTCTTCTTTTTTTTACTTTGCACTTACTGAATGTTTGGTGTGATCCCTTCCAGCAGAACAATATTAACACCACCTATGTGAGCGGTAGCACTCGTCTCAGTCATCTTTTGATGAAGTATATCTTTAAATTTAAAAAAAGGTTAAACCTGTGTGAAATTTTATATTGCTTGCATTCATTTTGATAAGAACATAGGCAAAGTACAAAAGAGCAATTATTTTCAATTGTTAAAATGCATTTACAAGAACAGAATAAACAACTGAGATGTAATTTTAATACAAAATTTTGGAGTTACTTAAATATATCATTTGGGAGAAAATACAATATTATGCCTCTATTTATTCCACTGTATGGTAACAATTTTCTCCATGTATTTTCTTCATGCATTTCAGTAAATAATATACATTGCCAGAAAAGGGGCTTTCCAGATTATATGACATAATGACATATTTATTAAACCACAACAAACATATAGAAGAAGAGATTGGATTTATACCCCGTGCTTCACTTGGAGTCTCAGAGCGGCTTACAAACTCCTTTCCCTTCCCCTCCCCACAACAGACACCCTAGATGTAATTTTAACCTAGATGTAATTTTACTTTACTTTACTTAATTTTATAATGACCACAGATCAGCAATAATGTATTTTCAGAGAATCAATCTACCTTTCATTTTTTCTTTGAGTGTAAAACTCCCATGGATTCTCTTCAGCTCAGCTTCCATTGTTAGCCCACCAATATCTGCTTCAAGATGCGTGCGGTTCACCATGCCTATTCCAAAAACTATCAGGGTCACATGCTGAGGTTCAGATGTGACTAAACTGCGCTTCCTCTGTGTTCTGCTTAAGCTGCTGTTATCCTGTTCATTCTCAAATATAACTCTGCATACAGGTTCAGTAGGACTCCGAACACCTACAGAAAACAGATACCAGTAAAGCAAAAGTACAAGAACAGAAAAAACTGAATTCATAATTAACCTTTTTTTAATAAGTTCAATGCACATGGAATTCAGTGCACATGGGTAAGAAGTTTCATAGAATGCTTTAATAAATACAGGAACCACAATGGCTTAGATCTGCTGGAGATTTCCAGAGACAGAAAGGATCAACAAAACAGGACTTCCCTACCTCTCCCCTCTTACAGAAGCCCAAAATACCCTCTTCTCAAATGCTACTCTTGGGAGAAAGGGGACCCCCCCCCTCAAAGAACAGCAAGAGGGCAGATTGGAGGCTGCAGTGGAAGGAGAGAAATTTGCAAAAAATCCCTCCCTGTTCTGTCTGTGGAAATCCTCTGTGATTAACATGAATCAAATATAAAGTTGTCCCTAATGCAAAAATAAATAACATTAAGAGACTGCAAAATAAAAACAATTTTTTTATATTTACACTTTGACAAACTCTGACTTAGTATCATAGATCACAACTCTGCTAAATCAAATAATAAATGGCAGGCAAGGAGTATTGAGTGGCAATTACTGCTGTATGTCTGAATCCTGATTCTAGTGATTTTCTAAGTACTGCCGACTCTCCAAAAGCTCTCTTACCTGTTGGGCAAAATGTTTCAGAAGATTTTTCTAAAATCCCTGTTGGATCCAAAATAAGAGAATAAAAGTTTAACAGTTTATACATATTTTGCCAGCATTCTGCTGAAGGCTCACTCTGTTCCGATACAGTAATCGAATCAGAGTCGTCCATATGAATGGTCACATGATCAACAACATCCTTTGAACCTTTCCTGGATACTTTAGAAGTTCTTCTTTCTGACCTCCCAAGGGAGTTCTTGTTTCGAGATTCTTTTTTATTGTTCTCATTATTTGGACGTTTGTTTTTTGCATTGTTTACTCTGTTGCAACCATTGAGGCTCCCTCGAGAGCTGCGACTGAAGTCAGAAGAACGGAAGTCTCTGTGCTTGCGGGTTTTAAAGGTCGGCGTTGGAGAAGCGGAACCAGCCGTGTACCTGCTGAGCTTGATGTCTGTCTGTGTAGCTTTTATATCATCTATCATGGTGCTGAACTGGTGAATGAGACGCACCAGTGCCATATCTACATGCTGGCTTATAGACTGGCAAGAGATTGTAAAATTGCAGTGAAAAGTGCTATAATGACGTTTGTTGAAGTCATGAAAGGCAAGGGCGCTGGTGGGGTTCTGAGGTGTGCAAACTGATTTCTCCATTATAACAGCACTCAGGCTGAACGTTTCCAACATTAATGCAGGTTTAAATTCAAGGGGAGGGAGATTAACTGCTCCTTGCCTAAGAAAGAAAAATAAAGTTTTAAAATTAGATTCTTTAATTGTTATGCAGCACTTAAATATCACTCTCTTTTCGAAGGCTAATTCTTCCTTGGACAGCTTGCCCGTTTACAGTGCTATGCAATGTCCTATATTAACACTACAATCAGATAAGCACTGTAAAGTTCCATGAATTACAATTTTTGTCATCTAGTGCTGCAAACTAAGGACCAATTCCCATGAGTGAACAGAGAGAAAAATTGAGTGTTTCCTCATTAATAATTGGTTACTGTTAATAGTTGGTGCTGCTTCACCACTCTTCCAGCTTTAATATGCAATCACAAAAGTTTCTAACAGTACATTGCCAGAGGGGGAAAACACCCACATACTCTCAAGAAGGGACCTTAATGCAGAACTATCTAACAGCAATTAAAATTATATTCTATGGCAAGTACTATAAAAGCCTACCACTCCAACTTCAACACCAACCAGTTTCTTGTACTCCCAGTCCAAAATTTTCTTCTATGTCTGAATTACATCTGACTTTTCAGGAAGACACAAAGAAATAAACAAGGTCAACTATTCCAAAACATAAGAACATAAGAACATAAGAGACGCCAATGTTGGATCAGGCCAAAGGCCCATCCAGTCCAACACTCTGTGTCACACAGTGGCCAGAAATACCAGTGCCATCAGGAGGTCCAGCAGTGGGGCCAGGACATTAGAAGCCCTCCCACTGTTGACCCCCCCCCAAGCACCAAGAAGACAGAGCATCACTTGCCCCAGAGCCCCTAGCTATACCTTGTGGCTAATAGCCACTGATGGACCTCTGCTCCATATGCTTATCTAATTCCCTTTTGAAGCCATCCATGCTTGTAGCACCCACCACTTCCTGTGGCAGTGAATTCCAAGTGTTAATCACTCTTTGGGTGAAGAAGTACTTCCTTTTATCCATTCTAACCCGACCGCTCTGCAGTTTCATGGAGTGCCCACGAGTTCTTGTATTGTGAGAAAGGGAGAAAAGTACCTCTTTCTCTACCTGCTCTTTCCCATGCATAATCTTATAAACCTCGATCATGTCACCCCTCAGTCGTCTTTTCTCCAAGCTAAAGAGCCCTAAGCGCTTTAACCTTTCCTCATAGGGAAAGTGTTCCAACCCTTTTATCATTCGAGTTGCCCTTTTCTGCACTTTTTCCAAAGCTATAATATCCTTTTTAAGGTGTGGTGACCAGAACTGCACACAGTATTCCAAATGAGGTCTCACCATTGATTTATATAGGGGCATTATTATATTGGCTGATCTGTTTTCAATACCCTTCCTAATAATCCCCAGCATAGCATTGGCCTTCTTTATTGCAGTCACACACTGTCTCGACATTTTCAGTGAGTTATCCACTACAACTCCAAGATCTCTCTCTTGCTCAGTCTCTGCCAGTTCAGACCCCATCAATGTGTATTTATATTTAGGATTTTTGGCTCCAATGTGCATCACCTTGCACTTGGCCACATTGAACCCCATTTGCCATGTTGACGCCCACTCGCCCATCCTTGACAGATCCCCTTGGAGTGCCTCACAATCCTCACTGGTTTTCACCACCCTGAACAACTTTGTATCATCCGCAAATTTAGCCACTTCACTGCTTACTCCCATCTCCAAATAAACAAATAAAAAGCATGCGTATTCTTAAGATTTGAGCATCATACCTTCGTGCTCTTTTGCTTCTTCTATCCTTCGCTGTATCTGAATCCACAATGTCTGCTCTAAGGCAATCCAGAGTCCCTGAGAAGGAAAGATGCTCTCCAAAGTACATCCGATAGCAGAGTGGCACTGCATCCTGAGACTGTATTCCTATGTGACTCAGAAGAGGTTTAAAAACAACCTATTAAAAATGACAGAGAATTATAAAATTATTTTGACATCTCCAAAAACATAACTACAATCTTGAAGTTGCTTCTAGTATTTCCTGCCATGTTGGTCTGCAGTAGAAAAGCAAGATTCAAGTCCAGTTGCACCCTAAAGACCAACAAAATTTGCAACAAAAACTGAGAAATTAGTTTGCATGGAAGCATAGTTTCACAACTACAAACTTCATTTTCAGTTGAAAATGAAATTGACTAAGGTTTCCTTGGCTACTGAAAGCCTTAGTCATGTTCTTCTCAAGAGTTGTACTCCTGAAGAATCTAGTATCATGATTACTCTGCCAATGTAGTGAAAATTAAACCAATGACTTAGAGAGTGTTTTGTGGTTTGTTGGTTTTTTTGCCAGAGTGGCTGGCATACTTTCCTCAGTCCACTAGACCGTCATTCTTTTAGTCGAAGACCAAACACTCTCCTAGGCTCAGGAGTGACTCTTAACAACTGCATGCATACAACTGTGCATGCATACAACTGTATGCATACAGCAGAGCTGGAATTGCTCTGCAATTAAAGCAAACCAGTCCACTGGGACACAGTAAAAAGGATAGACACCTGACCATTGTGTCAAAACACAATAGTAAAGCCAGATCCCAGGTGGTGCAGAATGACATGGTGGATGCAGTTGCCTCAGAAACCCTCTCTCTGAGCCATACTGCCTTGTGTCTTACAGTGCTTCACTACATTGTGTAGCTGCAACTTGTCCCCTCTTTGATAGGCTTGGGACATCATAGCACAGAGCATCCTTAGCAGTGCTCAGACTCAAGGAAACAGCACAGCTTTCAAAGGCCTTTCAAGATTCACACACACATGTGAAGCTGTCCTTGAAAAGAGCTTGGAAATGTCAGCAAGTACACAATGCAGCAGTGTGTCACCCACTGGTTCATACCGTTAACACACTGTATGGCCTGGCCCAGCATCTCTCAAGAAAGTATTTTACTGGCTTGTATATTAAATTCATCTCTTCATGTCTTATGTATAGTTAAGGACTTTTCCTTATTATTGTATCTGTTATTTTTTTTTAAAAAAATGTATAATTATTTTAATTGTGTCACCTGCCTTGAGGGTGTTTTTTTGGTGGAAAGGCAGAATGTAAATGTAATTAAATGCAAAAAAAAATCTTCGTTCGTTAAAGAGAAGCTAGTGAGGAAGAATGATACAAAGCATAAAGAATACATGCTTCACTTGAAAAATCAGAAAATCAAATACTGGAACTTCAATAAGTTTACATAATTACATGGAAAAGAGCAAGAGTCCAGTAGCACCTTAAAGACTTACAAAATTTGTGGTAGGGTATGAGCTTTCGTGATTCACTGCTCACTTTTTCAGTTCTGACTCTGCAGACTCTTACTCTTTTCTACTGTTACAGACAGACTAACACAGCTACCCATCTTCATCTATAATTACATAGGAAAACCAAATACAGACTTCACATTTCATTTGCTGTGAAAAGACTTGTCTCCTTCAGTTTTAAAGACATTCAAACACTCACCTGGGCATCAGCAAGCTGAACAGCAGGAAATCCCCGGTTACCTTCCTCTATACCAGCGATATCATCCTGACTGGTACTGTGTTGTGAATGTGTTCCATCCAATGTGTTCTGATCACTGGAAAGTACTGTATTGAAGTCAGATGCTGAAGGTATAGTAGGAAGATTTGGGGCTACACCTGCAAAACAATACCATGTCTGTCTTAATTCCTTTGATTCACACCTAGTTCTGAACAATGCAGTCTTATTCAGTTTATACAGATAAACAAAGAACTAAACTGAAGTGTAAGGAGAAAGATATTTTGCACTATCTTGTCAGTTTAAGTTCGTACTACCCACATATAGAAGAAATTACAAGGGTATGAACATTATCAACTGTGACCTAGTCTTCATGGGTACAGATCAGGTGAAATAATTTGAAATAACTTTTCATGTTGTGGAGTTCACTCCATCTCTCTTTCAAAGAACAGAATGTTCAGGTACTACTGGGGTCCTTGATTGCTTAGCAAAAATAAAAATCATGACCTGTTCCCTAATTAGTGAAAACTAGAGGCCTTCAACCCCTAATTTTTTGGAGAAAGGCTGCAAATGCGAACATTGTGGAGTGTTCCTCTCCTGGAAGACATCAGCTGCCTCATGGCTTTAAATCAGGGTCTGGCACAGACTTTACTTGTGGCCTTCATTGAATTCTAGGCAGCAATATAATCCAGGCATTTAGGCTATCAGCTGTCATAACTAAACAGGCCATGCACTCCCAAATGCCAGTTGATGGAGAATAATTTTTTATGGTCTTTGTGGGTACTGAAATTTACTGGCTAGAAGCAACATGCTGAACTGGCTAGATCTTTGGTCTCATTCAGGAAGACTCTCCTTATGTTTCTAATTCAAGTGATTTGAAGACATCATTCCTTTTTTGACGTTTTTCTGATTCATTCAGAAACCTCAGGAGTAGCTTATTTGAAAAAAACACACAATAATATTAAAGCTTCTGGTTAATACCTGTTGGAAGACTATTGTGTCCAGATTTGGTGACAGGAGATTCTTGCACCACACTGCCTCTGTTGCCCACAGCATTTGACATCCAGTTGTAAAAGCTCACCGATGATGGCTCAGTTAATAAAGGATGCTCTGACAACATCTCAGAGGGCATTGTATTCACTAAGTAGGCACCAAATACAACCAAATTAATTTATCGCTGTATATCCCATAAAACTGGCATTCAAGTTATATAGGGAGGAAAAACTTTCTCAGTTTCTGACCACAAGAACATATTCTAAGGAAGCAGAGAAAGTCAACTGCAGAGCTAATACTAAATCAATAAAACATGAATACAAAAACAGGATATTTAACAGGCCCCACCATCTGGCCATATCTTTAACTAAATGAATAACCCTCCATTACTGTGTCCCTGGCTCTGCAGATACTAGTGCATAGACCGCTGTCCTCAAAAGTTCACTGTTATTTGCTGCATGTTTTCATTTTGCAACAATATTGGCACTCAACATTTCCACTACTGAACATAAGTAGGTGACAACTGAAAAAGTACTTTAACTTAGATTGTAATAATGACACCAGATATATACAGTGGCAAAATAGGACAACTTTTACTGTAGTTTGTGGACTGGCATCTACTACATTCTTCATGCAAACTTATTGTAAATAATTTTGTACTGAAATACTGAAGTTGGGTATGACAATGAATTTTGAAAGTCTGGTGCTGGCTAAGCTGCCTGCTTTAGAGTTTTCACATGTTTATAGTTTTACTGTATCTTGCCTTCAATATTTGGAATTAACATTGCAAATTTGACACTAAAGACTCCCTATTAAGCAGGAAAAATAAACTTCTAGTGGGTTCTCTTGCAGTATAGGCTTGCCAACAATTGTCAAAACACAGGACTGCAATCTTTGGACTGGCAGTAATAAAAACTCTCAACAGCCATCTTTGATTACACTTTGGTCTAACTACCAAAAATGGAAGCACTTTACAATGTACTTTGTACCTGTTCTTGTTAAAGAACTACTTTTAGGGGCTGTTGCATTTCTTTGAGGAGTTCCTTCCAAGAGATTGTGTAGGCTAGGAAAACTTCCTGTCAGGTAGCTGAGCAGACTTTCTTTCCTTGGACTTTCTTTGATAAGCACTCCAGAACGTCCAACATGCACTGGTGAGTCTGTAGCTGTATCTCCACTAGTGTAGCTCAGGGAGTGATATGGATGGATACCCTGAAAACACAGAGATCACATTAAAAATCCAAAAGCCAAATCCTACCCATGGAAAAGTTAACAGAAACCTAAAAGACTGGTTTCTTTACATAGTAACATAGATTTGGAGTTAGATTACTAGAGCTGTACTTACCAAGAAACTAATCAGGGAACATAATCATCAAACTTCAACACTGATTACTTATCTGTTTTTCTTCCACAAATGCTATACCCATAACACAAAGGCAGCAAACTACTCAATACCAGTCCTGGGAGAGCTTCAGCGCCCTGTTTGTTTGGCCCTCCAGGTTGGCTGCTGTGTCAAACAGGATACTGGACTAGATGGACCACTGGTCTGATCCAGCTGGGCTCTACTTATGTATTCATCTATCCATCTTTCACCCTTTCCTCACTTTCAGAATAAAACATCTTTACCTTTATTTTAAGCGCAGAATCACTATGTGTATGAGTCTTTGATAGTTTTCTCATAATCTCAGCACCAGTCACTGGCCCAGAAGATCCTCCAGCAGGTGGGGGGCGGGTACCAGTCCCTTCCAAAAGCATTGTATGTTCACTGACAGTGGCTGAAACATGCAACAGTTTGTACAAATTAATTACAAGGAAATGTAGCCAAAGCCATTTGTTATTGAGAGCACTTATTACTGGGCTCGTCTGAAAGTGCTCATTTACATTTGGTACACAAATTGCAGGCATTGATATAATCTCAGTTTAAGACCTTAAACTTGGGCCAGTTGATATTTCTAGGAGTATAATGAGGAAGTTGTTCTTCCCGCCTACACTTTTTATGCCTGCTGGCCACAAGTGTAAACTAGCTTACAATTTGTGTGCTTTTTTCACAACTGCCTTTGTGTCGAGTTCTCTTTGCCGGTTTACATAACCAAAGTGAAGAACTTTACAGAGCAGCTTGATTAGAGTGCTTCCACCACACTGTATTTAAGATGAAACAAAATGCCAAGGACCTAAATAATTTATTGGGTCTTTTCCAATAAACACATTACTTTTTCAATGGTTTTGTGACAGACAAAGAAGTATTTCAACACAATTAAGCAATGGTTAGCCATGGAATTGTGTTCAGAACTACAATATTCTCCCTCTCATTGGGCTACATTACTTCAGAAAGAGCTGCCAGTACTGAATGATTATGTATTAGCTGCCACAGTACATGTTCAAGAGCAGAGCTGAAAATTCCTAAGTTTCTATTAATTTTTTTCAGTTGACTTTAACCCTAATAAGCAAGGATAGCCACAGTAGCAGATTGTCAGATATCACTACTGTAGAGTCCAGAACATGGCAAAAACCCCGTCACTTTGTGGACAAACTGAAAACATATTTTAAGATGGATTACATAAGGGGCAATGCAACAGAAGAAATGCACTTGTGTTTACAGACCAATCCTGCCAATCCTAATCACGTTTAAAACAGTTAAGTCCCAAACACTGTCCTTGCTGTCTGATTGGCTTCTGATTTAAATGAAACCTTCTTCCAAGTAAGTTTGCTTAGGACTGCAGGTTCAAATTGTTCAGCTAAGTAAACTTCTCTAAAGAAGTCCATCTTATCAGTAATATTCTGCTCAAGGCTAGAGGGTGGACTTCACCTTCAGGAATTGTACTACTTCTTTTTTTTTTAAACGATTTATTTATGTATTTTCCGTTACAAGCAAATACAAATAAAAAAAACATTGTATATATAACATTCTTTGGAGTGTACATTATGCATTTTTTCCAACCATTTATCTACCTTATTCCACCTTTTCTTAAAAGCATTATCATCTCTCCCTGAAGACAGGGGCCTCCCCTGTCAAGGCTGTAGCCAGCCCTCCTTACGAGGTGAGGCTGCAGAAGTTTCACTTCGGACAAACCAGTGCCTGATGGGGTGGCCACCCACTACACTCACCCTGGCTATGGCCCCGTTTTTTCTCATTCCATAGTAATCAAACTGTCTTTCAACACCAGCCCTGTCTTCTGCACAGATTAAAGGGTTTTTCTGGAGGTCCTCTGAGCACCAGTTTATGACTTCTTACAATTCAGAGGTGGTAATCGGTAGCAGGATACTTCAAAATGCATTCTGTGGCTATCGTGTGTAAGGTACACTTGGGCTTTTAGAGGTGTCGACTACCCTCTCATACCAGAGATGAAAGTCAAGCTACCATATGCCATATCTCAAAAGAGATCAGAAGATTGTTTACTGCCTGACACTGAATGTTTTGGCCTTAGCTGAGTACATGTGGGGAAGACAGACAGGCCCACAGAGGGATATTGCTAACTACTTCTTTAAGCTCTCTTCTATTTGAACAACTGTCAGTCTTGTTTCAAGAACTTACTGCATATCAGTAATTGGAGGGGGGGGGAATGACAGGTGTCTGCTGTACAAGAATCCTTCTAGGAGGACAGGGGGGTCCCCTCTACCTTGTGAAATTAGAGGACTCTCCTGTCTCCCACAAAGACAACACACTTTCAGAAGAGAAGATGAACCTCTATTGAGAACAGAAATTTATAATTAGCAAGTGTTTGCTTCTCATTTAATGAGTATTTTACACAGCAAGGAAAGTAAGCTGCTCACCAGCTAACTTCTACAGATTTTAAAATAGTCAGCAGTAGAGAAGAACAACACTGTCAGTGTGAAAAAATGTCAGAAACTCTCTGAAAATACATATAAGCTGGAATCTTGTGGAAAATCTCCACTGGTGGAAGGGATTTCTGTCAGTGCAGTGGGCTTCCTCACCTCCTCACTTTCTCTGCAACCCAAAGTGCACCCTGAAATGCTGTTCCAGGGAAACAGGAGCCACCAGGAAAAGCACAAGGACAGCATCAGAGCTTTGTCACCAGAGATTTCCCACCGCTAACTCAGAGAGAGATTCATAATAAATAACATCTAAGATAGATACAGGGTATTTATGGGCAGAAGAAGTTATTTTGAAAAGATGTCGCTGAAATACAAAGATACCTGCATCGAACTCAAACTCTGCTCCATCAGCACTTGTGTCACTCTGAAGACCACCTCCATTGTCTAAACCAAAGCCCTCCTCTTGCTGATTGGGTGCAGCTGACTGGAGTTTCATAGGCTGAGCTGGCCTATGTAAATTCACCCCTTTGAAGGCTGGTGTTACAACAATGAATTTCATCCACTGCCTAGCTAAGGCAATGAGACCTTTCTTTAAAGTTACAAGAGCAGGAAGGCCATCACTCTGTAAGACAAACACATGTCAAAGACATTCCTACAGTTTTGTTGCAAATCCAATTGTGTTATAATTTTATCCCCCCTCCCAAAAAAAAGCTTTGACAAAATACATGGAAAATGGGGAGGGGGGCAGGAAACAGTGAGGCCATCTTCATAGACATTCCTGAATTGTATGAATTTGTACATGTCTGATTTGCAAAAAACCACAGCCTTAAAAAAACACTAAAGTATTAAATTAAAAATTATGCAATAATTCAGAAATGCATTCAACAGAACAGGTTATACTACAGAAATAATTTTTAAAAATGAACACACTTTTACTCTTGGGTCAAGCCAATAATTAATAAATTTGTCACAGGCTTCACACTTCATGTTAATTTTAAATTATACCGTTGAATTAACACCTACCTTAAATATGAAAAAAGCATTTAAATCCTTATTCTACTTTTGAAAGCTATTGCATTATAAAAATATAGACATTATGATGAAGTAGTAGGCCTGCCACAAGAAACACTAACAGACATTTCTACAAATATTTATTTAAAATACCATACTAATGTGTGTGCATTAAGTGCTTTCAAGTTGCTTCCGACTTATGGTGACCCTACGAATTAATGATGTCCAAAATGTCCTATCATTGACAGCCTTGCTCAGGCCTTGCAAACGGAGGGCCCTCGTGGCTCCCTTGACTGAGCCTATCCATCTCATTCCATGTTGGCTCTTCCTTTTTTCATGATGCCTTCAACTTTTCCTAGCATTATCGTCTTTTCCATCTTGACCTGGATAGCCTAGGCTAGCCCAGTTTCATCAAATCTCAGAAGCTAAACAAGGTCAGCCCTGTTTAGTATTTGCATGGGAGACTACCAAGGAAATCTACAGTAGCTATGCAGAGGCACGCAATGGTAAACCACCTCTGAAAACCCCATGCAGTAGCCATTAGTTAGCTGTCACTTGATGGCAAAAAAATGGTCTTTTCCAATGAGTCTTGTCTTCTCATAATGTGAGAAGCCTCAGTTTCGTCCTTTTAGCTTCTAAGTAGAGTTCAGGCTTTATTTGATCTAGAACCCATTTATTTATCTTTTTGACAGTGCATAGTATATTAGTAGTTAACATAATATTACTCCAAAACATGTTACTCATTATTCGTATTAATTGCTAACTTACCATAGTTGCATCCTCAATGATGGAATAGTTTGCCTGGTGAAGATAGTGGTGCAGTATATTACACAGCAAACAGGAAGGATTTTCTTGTAGGTAGCGGGCTAATTTAGTAAGCCTATTGTACTTGCTTCTCAAAGGAAAGTGGACGCTTTTGTTCTGAACATGTAAAGAGATTCAAAGATTATCAATGCATGCCCCCCACCACACAAATCTATCATCAGGGTAATTCTGGCATAAATGAACGGGGGGGGGGGTTTCTCAGAGCCACGAATGTCCTTTTTACTCGTTCCCCCCTTTCCTTGGGCACAGTGAGACTGCTGTTTTTCTGACAAAGTTTTTAGAAATCACAGTATGTACCTTTCTACAAACAGGCTCATGAATGGTCATCTCAAACCATTTAGAAAACAGACTCCAATATACCATTTTTATAAATTGTCAGTTCAAATAGCTAGTTAGCTTAATAAATAAGTAAATGGGTTTGTTTGTTTGGAGTACTAACTTTATATAATCTTAGAAATCAAATAGTAGTTAGCCTGGAGAACCTGATATGAAAACAGAGTTGCCCTTACCTGTAACTGTTGTTCATCGATGTCTTCTGTTCAGACACACATTGGGACGGCACTTGTGCAGACCAGCCATGCACATTTTCTTTCTAGCTTTAAAAACTCTAAGATGGAGGTGACCTTCCCCTTTCGGAGCCGGCACACATGCGAGTTTTCCTGCAGAGTGCATCACGTGCTCCAGCAGCGGGCTGCCCCCTTGCCTCAGTTCCTGCTAAGCTACCATAAGCCCTCTTAGCCTTCTTGTCATAAAATAAGAAGAATTGTCTCTTATTCATTCTTCTAAAAAAAATGTTGAGAGCTCACAGTGGGGCAGGAGGGAGGGAATGTGTGTCTGCACAGAAGATGTTGATGAACAACAGTTACAGGTAAGGGCAACTCTGTTTTCATCTTCCGTCTTCCTGTGCAGCCCCACACTGGGAACATTAGTGAGGTGCTCACCTGAGAAGGCAGAGTGAGTCTCTCACTGGAAAAGGCCTTCCCAAAATCTGCTTCTTTTCTTGCCTGCAGGTCTAAGGTGTAATGTTTTACAAAGGCATTCTCCGATGACCAGGTGGCTGCTTTGCAGATGTCAAGGAGCAGGACCTTGCAGTTAAAAGCAGTCTGGTACACTCTGCTCAACTTGTCCGCTTCTGAATTCAGTGATCCCACTATATGGGTGGCTTCTGGGAATGGCTCAGATACTTAGAGCCACTTCCCATCCTGCAACTGCTTCCTGGCAGAGCCTCTGGGAACCCGTACCACCTGGCTTGTTAAGGTAGTACATTGTTGCAGTGCTGTCTGCTTGAATTAAAACCCTCTTTTCAAAGGGATATCTGTGAAGGAGGTAAGGGCAAATCTGACAGCATGTAGTTCAAGCACATAAATGTGAAGGAGGCCACCTGCCCTAAACAGAAAAACTTTGAGAATGCACCCCCCACCCTTGTTGGGAAGCATCAGTGGTCAAAGTAATTTGGGGAACCCAAAAGCCAAACTGGACTCCCGAAAACAGATTTTCATCCTGTAGCCACCAATGTAGGGATCTAACCACCACTCTAGGTATGCAGAAGTGACACCCAGGAGAAAGCCTGTTTGGGCTGTATTTCCTAACAAACCACAACTGTAGGTCTCACATATGCAGCCTTGCGAGTGGGACCACAGCCGTGATGGAAGCCATAAGACCCAATAATCACTGGATGGTTTCACTGACTGTCAGCATTTCTTACTGCAAGACGTGACCATCGCTTTAATGCTCCTGGCCCTGTCAGTGGGTGGCAAACTCTTGCCCAAAATAGCATCAAGAGTAGCCCCAATGAACTGGATCATTTCCGACAGTTTGAGACGGGCTTTCCCCCAATTTATCAACAGGCCCAACTTATTACAGTTACTAATGACCTTGTGAATTTAAGAGGTCCTGTCTGCGGGGGGGGGGGGGGGAAGAAGAGGAAGAGGGGGAGATTGGATTTATACCCCACCCTTCACTACCCAAAGGAGTCACAGAGCGGCTTACAATCCCTTTCCCATCCTATCCCCACAACAGACACCCTGTGAGGTAGGTGAGGCTGAGAGAGCTCTGAGAGAACTATCCTTGAGAGAACAGCTCTGAAAGAACTTATGACTGACTCAGGGTCACACCAGCAGCTGCAAGTGGAACAGTGGGGAATCAAACCCGGTTCTCCCAGATTAGATTCCGCGCTCCTAGAGCCAGTAATTGAGGCAGGGAAAAATAGTGCAATTTTGCATGCGTAGGAACACCACTACCACAGCCATATATTTAGTGAAAACTCTTGGCACAGTAGTCAAACCAAAAGAGAGGGAATTGTACTGAAACACCCAGAAACTGTGTCTGAAGCACAAGAATCTCCTGTGGGACTGATAAATTGAAATATGGAAGTAAGCATCGTTTAGATGTGCAAACCACATCTCCAGAGAGAGAAATGTAATAATAGAAGTCAGAGAAACCAGTCTGAACTTTGAAAAGTTTAAAAACTTATTTAATCGTCTAAGGTCTAAAATAGGCCTGCATCCCCAATCTTTCTTATCAACTAAAGAGAAGTGGGAATGAAAACTCATGGAACACAGACCCCCCGGGTACCACCTTCTCTACTGCCCCTTTCCCAATAAGCTGCTGCAACTGAGTGGCTAGCTCACGGTAGGGGTTGTCAATGGTGGTGGAGGCCAGTCGGCAAGGAGGGTGAGTCTGAAATTCTAACCTGTAACCATTAACAATAATGGATAAAACCCAAGTATCTGAAGTAATAAAATTCCAGGCATCTTTAAACTGTGCCAGCCTGTCTTGAAAACTTTGCACTCCTCTACACATTGAGACTGTCAGTCAGAATTTTGCCTACTGTTGCCCATGATCCTTCTGAGGATTATGCTGGGCAGACCGGAGTCTCTGGGTGCCTCTGGATTTTGGGAAGCCAGGTGTCTGTAACGGGCATTGCTGGTAAGAATAAGGCTGTTACTGCATCTGCCTCTGCCTCCTGTAGAAGGGGGTAGTAAGTTCGTGCTGCCCCTATACAAACGGATGCCCTTGGGTCAAAACCAAAGGACACATGCTTAAAGATCTAGCGGTTTGCCAGTTCTTTTTCATGGTGGCTAAAAATTCATCGGTGAACTGTGCAAATAAAGCCAACCTTTCAAAGGGTAAGTCTTCAACCCTGACCAAGTCTCGATTGGGAGCATCAGCCACAAATGTCTTCGAAGTATGACAGCAGAGGCCATGGATCTAGCCGATATGTCAGCCAAATGCTTTCCAGCATTAATCTCTTGCTTGGACAATTTAATGGCCTCTGATTGGATTAGCTTTGCCAGGCTCTTAGCCTTATCTGGGAGTTGGTCTACATACTTAGGCTTTCCCAAAGGAAGAGTTGGTAATCTCCCATTATTATTTGGGAATCAGCAATTCAAAAATGTAATGCAGAAGATGAATAGAATTTTCTCCCCAAGAAATCAAATCTCTGGCTTTCTCTGTCGGTGGGAAACGCGTGCTAACCAGGCTGTCAGCTTGGTTGTATATCTTCTGTAATGACAGAAGTGGGAACTGGGTGGGTAGAAAGATACTCAGCCAATTCTGGTTTGACTCTGTAGAGATTCTTGATTTTATGAGGAGTAGCCTGGACAGAAGATGGACATTCTCAGATTGGAACTGTAAGATCTGACAAACCCTCAAAAACCAGGAATCCCACAGTGCTAGGGGGAGAGTAGAGTCGACTACGGATCTTGTCTTTTGGACAACCGCAGAGGTTGCAACATCAATTTCAAGTGCTTTTGCCAAACAAAGTATTTGCTCGCCACACAGGCAGAGATCCCCACTTGGGTTGGGTCGCTGACACTGTCATCTGGGGACAGCTCTGACGCACTCTCCAGGCTGTAGTGAGAAGCTACTGAAGCTTCTTCTATATCATGGTATGGTGAACGGAACGGGTACTCAGTAGAACAGTCTCCCATACATCCTCTCAGAGCATCTTCTACATTGCAGAGCTGGGGTTGGTGCTGTTCCCACTGGTGCAGATAGGAAGGGGACAGGCAGTAAGAGGGCTGTTGATGGGCTGCAGATTGCCATGATAGAGGGGGTCTCAGTTCAAGACAGGTAGGCTGCCCTGCGGGGATCATCCTCAGGTTCGGAGAAGGAGCCCATACAAGAAACCAGGTGGAGGGGATGGAGTACAAGGGAGGACTGGAACGGTCTCTATGTTGGGATTGGGACCTTTCAATTGCTCTGCCCGTTTTGAAACTTTAGTCATGGAACCAGGCTTATCTTTGTGCTTGGACTTCCTGTGCTTTTTTGCTAGAGTTTCAGAGTGCAGTCTAGCGTCTTTAGAAGGTTCCGGTGAAGAGGAATGTGGGCGTGCCCTTTCTGCCTCAGGGGCAACAGATGGAGGTCTCTTACGAAGCACTGAAGTTGTCCTTATGGTCAGAATCGTTGGAACAGACTGGCCTGAAGGAGGGTTGGAACACACTCCAATGGTCAGAGCCGGGGGTGGAACCGCGACCACTGAACCAAGATGAGGGGCTAGTTTAGCCGGGATCAAGGAGGACAGAGCCTTCTCCCATAGGGCTGCCTTAAGTCTCGAGGCAGGATCAGCCCACACCTTTGGCGTGAGGCACTGGTAGACAGGGCAAGCCCCCACATTATGGGCTTCATCTAGGCAAAAGAGGCAAAGATCATGCTCATCATTTTAGTGCCACTGTTTGACTATTTCTGAAAGAGTGCTTTGGTTGGCATTTTGGAGGGACCACAAGCATGTGAAGCAAAAATTTTCCAACTCGAAAAGAGAACAGAGGACAAAGAAGAAAAAACGGTTTCTGTAACAATCGACAACCTGATCAACATGAAGAAATTATCACAAAGCTCTGGAATGATGAAGAATGAACAGAGCAACTAGAAAGTGTCCTGTTCTCGTGGCAGCAAAGAGAACTGAGGGAAGGGGGCAGCATGTAACAAATTCAGTAGGAAAACCCATGCGTGCTCCAAAAGGAGTGGTTCACCCCCATCTTAGAGTTTTTAAAGCTGGAAAGAAAATGCCCACAGCTGGCCTGCACAAGTGTAGTCCCAATGTGTGTCTGCACAGAAGACGGAAGATGATCAACTGATTATCTGCATATGTTTTCGCAACAGTGGGACAGTCCCACACCATTAACTGAATGGATCTGTGGGATCCAACCCATATCAATCCTACCTGGTCACTGGGTACCTAAGGAAGGTATACATGGGGACTATCCTGCGTATTCCAAGCCTTAAGCTAGGTGAACTATGGACTATATACAGGACAGACAGTATTTAGAACTGCTAAATCAGAGAGATCTGAAAATGATATCTGGAAAATTAAGCAATTTTTAAAAGCCAAGCAATACCTATCATTGTTTAGGTATCCACCCACCTCTAACGCTTCAGTCATTATACAGCCCATGACAGCACAAACTCGTAGTGTTCCTTCTGTTTCCAATTTGTTTAAGGAGGATTTCACTTGATCAATAGGAACAAGCCAAGCACCAACAGCAGGAGTTGCAGTGCTTAGAAGGTTCAGTTGCCTGTTGGAAGACAAATCAGCTATGAATGCAGCAAGTATTCCTTTTAAGATGATTTACTGAAGTCCATCTGTTTTTACTGAACAAAAACCAGAATGGTTCATTTGATATTATTATGTAAATGTCAATGACCCTGCTAGTGTCAGTGTTACTCTTTCATTGGTACACATTAGGAATTCAATCCAAGGGTATTTAAGGATATTTAAGTTGCTTTGAGCACAGCTGTGCACAACAGAAGGCGCCAAAGGAAGAATGCTAGTGAGCCATACAAAATTTAAATATTAATGCCCTGGGATAACTATTAAGCAGAAACATGCTATGACCAAACTATCAGATACTATACTTTTCACTATATTGGACTGAAAGGTCTCAGCCCAGCAATCCAAGATATTCAAAAGCTATAGAACACTGGAGGCTCTCCAGCCTCACACAGTTCAGTAATGTACGCTCCACAGATAAATCTACATTATTAAAAATGTACAAAACATGCAACAGCAATCAATACCTTGTTCTTCTACTACCAACACAATCTTAAAATATACTTTCATTCCTTTCTAGAGATACTTCAGAAAAGCTATCTCATTAAAGACATAGAATATACTAAACAGAATTGTGTATTTTACATTTGGTGATCATCCACTAAAAGCAAAATATATAACTGAAGTCAACAGTGCAACAGACTCAGCTCAGATGTATATTATTTATTTACTTCACTTATACTTTCTCCTTCATGGGTACCCAAAGTAACTTACATCATTCTCCTCTCCTCCATTGTATGCTTACAACAACAACCCTGAGAGGTAGGTTAGGCTGAGTGTGTATGACTGGCCCAAGGTCACTCAGCAAGCTTCCATGGCAGAATGGGGATTCGAACATGGGTGTCTCCCAGATCCAAGTCTGACACTGACCACTACACCACACCAGCTCTCATAACAGGCAATTAACAGCATTTATCATTACTGTACATAAGAGGCAATTAATTACTTCAGCCAAATACCTTGAAAATACGTGGGCAGGAGAGCGCACATTTGTGGGAGCAGCAAAACTGAACCAAATTTCTTTGATTGTCAGCTTCATACTACTTGAATCGGGTGGGGGAGGTCTTAATGGATGGTCTTTTTTCAGATCATCTGATTCAACTCCTTCATCCTGTACCAAAAAGGATGAAGATATGAATGAACAGGACAAGAAAGTCACTACACCGATAGACAGAGAAAGGCAGACACCCCTATAAATAAGCACACTGATTCACCCACAAAGATAAAAGTCATTAACCTTTTAACAAAAAGTGGAAGGGCACATGGATTGCAAATTTTCCCAAGTAGGATACATTAATGTCAGCAACAACTGCAAAAGGAATTTAATTTAGCACATCAGAAAAGCCTGTTATGGTAGCTAAACAACTGGCCTTAAAAAACTTTTCAAAACATGTTTTACCTGCTCATCTGAAACAGAGTTTGCATGAACATCTGAAGCAGCACTTGTTTGATCACAAGGGAGGTTTTCCTCAGACACATCAGTATTGTAACCACTCCCAGTTGGAGAATCTGAAGAATTGTTGGATGCAAGCAGTCCCCCCCTATCTGTGGCTGTAGATTTACCCAGATTTCCAAATGCACTGTATAAAACAGCACCTGATTGTCGGCCCCCTGTAAGAATAAAAAGGTAGAAGGAAGATAGTTTGTTTGCTGGACTTATTATGTATGCAGTCAAAATAACTGATTGTGTTGCAGCTCCACCTTTTATTGTTAGGTTTTCAATTCCACATTCGAACATTATCCAGCCCCATTTCTCTTGACTGGGACCTATCCTTGTTACATCTGGAATTCCTTGGTGATCAGTTTCATCTACAAAGCTAAAGTCATCCAGCTCCTCCAAAGTGAAAAGAACTTTCGATTTTTCAAAAGGAATAGCTGTTATTGCACAAGTCCCAATATCTGCAGCAAAAAAACAAAACAAAACATGTTACTCGGCAGTTACTGAAAATGGAATTGTAATGCTATGTAATGCAGTAAAAATTTGCTTCTAATAGTGAGAGATCTGCCACATATCTGAGCAATATATACCAAAAAAGGTCAGACAGTATTTCAATGCCAAATCACCTACACATCAAATGGCAGGTAAGTGCTACCTTATGTGGCTTTAATTTTTCTGTAGCCTGATATTATAATCTTTCCTTCCAGGCCAATATTGATATGCACTGGCAAATATAACCATAAGCGCATGGCCTCCTTTGCTCTCCTCAATCCTATACTGTTCCACACTTAAAATCTTCTGCAGTTCAGCTCATCATGCTGATTGGGCAAAACTGGGAACTTGGGCACAGTTCCTATGAAAGATATATCTAAACTGTGCCCAGGTACTGAGCTCTGGGGAATTATGAAAAACTCCTGCACATAGAGCAAACTGATTATACTTTCACATTAGAAAATCCCAGACAGTTAAATCACAGCAGGTACCCTCCTCTGTAGAGCAGGTAGTATAACACATAGCCCAATTCTAGTATAGGACTAAAGGTTTCAGAAAGACCATTTCCAAATTGGGATTACAAAAAAGATTACCAGTTGCATCAAGGCCTCTGAGCTGCCCATGAATGCGGTGAATGTTAAGCTTAGCTCCAATTTCTTTTCCTTTCTCTGCTCCAGCATTGGATCTCAGGGAACCAGAAGACTGAGGCTGCATTTTACTAGTATGGACATACTTGTCGAAAGTTACAGAACCTCTCCCAGTTTCTGCACTGTTTGTAGACTCTTCGACCACACCTCTAAAAAAAAAGAAAAAACTGTAAGACATATACACACACTGATTTTGTGCATAATGGTGAGGACAGGACAGCAGACGTACTCATTCCGTCAGCCAGTGTTTCCCATCAAGTCTCCAATGGGGCTCCAAACACTTAATCTATACCAGAGTTGGGATGGTAAAAGGAGAGCTGAGAGGATAGCAACTTTCCAACCGCCCATGTCCAGGCCTGCCTGCACAGCTGAGGAAGTGCCTCAATGAGCGCACCGAGTGCATTTAGTCACTGGTCACACTTGGAGCAGTACATGGGGGAGGGGGAGCTATTACATCAGCTACTGCAGATTTCTTCAAAGGTGGAGGCACCTTGAAACGATAAATGAATTGGAATGTCAGCTATACTGCTTCTTTCATTTCGGTTATATGACATGTGAGCTGAAAAACTCTGCTGTATTTTTTCTTTCCCTTAAGACTTGTAAAAGCTGCTAGTCATCTTCTTTCCTTCAAATAGCAAGTGACTGCAAAATGGACTTTTGACATTCACAAAGGAAGCTAACATATGTGGATTATATTACTAGTATTTACAAGGTGAAGCAGTCTCTTTGGATGTATCGATCCACTTTAATGTATGATACGATTCTCTGGACTTTTCATGAAGTCGTATTCCAAAAATAGAATTCTACTAAGAACTGTTTATAAAGTGCTCAGCAAACCATCCATAATGGTGGGGACAGGACAGCAGACGTACTCACTCCGTCAGCCAGTGTTTCCCATCAAGTCTCCAATGGGGCTCCAAACACTTAATCTATACCAGAGTTGGGATGGTAAAAGGAGAGCTGAGAGGATAGCAACTTTCCAACCGCCCATGTCCAGGCCTGCCTGCACAGCTGAGGAAGTGCCTCAATGAGCGCACCGAGTGCATTTAGTCACTGGTCACACTTGGAGCAGTACATGGGGGAGGGGGAGCTATTACATCAGCTACTGCAGATTTCTTCAAAGGTGGAGGCACCTTGAAATGATAAATGAATTGGAATGTCAGCTATACTGCTTCTTTCATTTCGGTTATATGACATGTGAGCTGAAAAACTCTGCTGTATTTTTTCTTTCCCTTAAGACTTATAAAAGCTGCTAGTCATCTTCTTTCCTTCAAATAGCAAGTGACTGCAAAATGGACTTTTGACATTCACAAAGGAAGCTTACATATGTGGATTATATTACTAGTATTCACATGGTGAAGCAG